CTACTTCACAATGAACAAAGACCACTCTTCATATAGCATCACGCTTACAAACATAAAGATGCCTGTATCTCCAAACTTTACAATGAAACGTGGGGTTCTGAATAGAGCAATGGGCTCGGCTTGGCCAACAGCACCTTGTGTGAAAGTTTCGCGTTCAATGTCGCAAACAGCCCAAAAAATATTTTTTGCTCGTCGTCGTCGAAGAGGTCGACCCCCAGATCCAGTTTGGCTGGTAGCGACATTGCGAAATCTGGGATTGGCCACGATGGACTTCATAGTTTGACACAAGATCGCTTTCACCCCGCCGAGCACATTGTTCTATCAAAGAACTCACGCTTCATTGTAAAGTTTAGAGATACAGGCACCTTTATGTTTTACATATGCTGTAAGCGTGATGCTATATGAAGGGTGGTCTTTGTTCATTGTGAAGTAGAATGACTATGATACAGCAAAAGATGCAGAGGGACGTCTTTGTGTAACTTAGTAGTTTTGCATGACTAGAACGATCAATGAATGTAAACTTGTACATAGCTCATCATTGGCAGCCAATAGCCCATTCCTCCCATTCACCGTTGTTGCCCAAACCAATGCATGTGAACGATTCTCCTCCACCAGCCCATCATTCCCATCTTTCAACTTTCTTGATCCGAGATGATTTGGCTGAGCTACGCTCAAACAAAGAATACGTCAAATCTTGAAAGACAGACCCTGTGAATGTCTCCGTCTTTCAAACTTTTGGACGCTCCCATTCCAAATTTTCAAATGAAGCGTGAAGTTTTTATTAGGAAAAAGTTGATCAGCATGCTCGGAGCACCCTTCTGACCAATTTTCAAGTTGGAAGTGGGCAACTTCGGGGCGGTGGGCCGCCCTCTCTTTTGTACCCGTTATCCATCATTTGGACCACCTCGCATTTTAAATCTTCACAATGAAGCCTGCTGATTTTAATTGAATGGGGTTGATCACCATGTCCCAGCGAACCTTCTGACAAAGTTTCAAGATCGAAAAGGGGAACCCCAAGGTAATACATAGTATTTCGATAAATCATGAACCTGGGGCTGACCTCGATTTCCAACTTACATAGTAAACCCACATTGCACCCTCCCCTTCCAAATTTTCAAATGAAACATGAGGTCTTTTTTAGATCAACGTGATCAACATGACCAATGGCATCTTGTGTGAAAGTTCCAGGTTCGAGAGGGGCAATCTCAAGGTCATGGATCAATTACAGTGTTCATGGATGTATACAAGAAGTGTCCGCCCATTTAATTTCCACTTCTTCCACTCCCACTTTATTTCCTCTTCCTCCCAATCTCAATTGTTGACCCATTCAAGTATACAACTACCGCCAGCGATCGATTGTCCTGCTTCAACCCATCATGTCCATCCTACAACTCTCTTGATCCGATTGTCTTTGACTGAATGGCAAGTCCATGAGTGCACACAGCCTTGTCACTCTTCTACAACACACGAGTCTCTTGACACTACACGCTCTCTTGCACACTCCTCTACTACGATCAACCGTAACAGCAGCTGCCATTAGCAATGTCTCTACTTCATTGTCTCAAGCAGTTCTCTATACTTGCAGCAACTTGCCTTACGACCTCTTTTCACGTGGACAGCAGATAGCTATTGTATAGGAGCAGCTTTATTTACGCGTAGCAACTTGCTTCAATACATACATCTTGTTATGGATATGGATATGGATCTGAACAGTGCTTTGGTATATGGGATGGAAGGCTTTGGATATGCAACGCGTGGAAAAAGAGCCTTTGACCTTGTGTATCCTTTATCAACATGATGTCAGCTTGACCATTATGCATGAGGCTATGACCGTGAACGATTGATGCATCCTATTATCGTACTTTACGTGCAGCTACTACCATCATCCTTTGTACAACCTGTCAACCATCATTACCCGAATCCACGTTTGGACACATCATGCATCAAGTGCCACCTCAAGTCCATCCATTGACCTTTGTAAAACGCACGCCCTAAGGATAGGAATTCCCCAAATCGATGTATCTCCCTCATTAGAGCATTTCATTGTACCTCTTGATCTATCTCTTGTGAAGGATGTTGGATTAAAAGGGCTACTTTAGCGGATACGAGATTGTGTTAAACCTTTTGCCTTCCTGAGTTGGACCTCATCGTGTGTAGACATCCGATGCATTGTATTACAGGAAGATTTAACATTGCTTTTATTATGCGTGAGAGGCGTATGATAGATGTAAAAAGGAATGATAAATGTCTGTTGGGGATGATTCAGTGATAAAAAGGATGCATGAATTGATAAGAGTGAAAAGTGAAGAGCTTAGGTGTGATGTTGTCCATGCATAGATCGGCCGAGGGCAAGTAGAAATAGCTATCAATGAAGTCAACCACTTGCACGCCCGTTAAAAAGAGACACATCATTGTCAGTCTACTCACAATAATGGTATCCACGTATGTCTTTGTATTCGAGTACTGTGAGCAACATTGATGATCCAAATGGCGTTGATATTAGCGGGATCAAAGTGAAGAATATTCATTGGCATAGGAACAATCAGGAGCCGCGTTGTTTCTTCTTCTCCACCCTTTTTCGCACTTATGCCTCCCAAACCTGAAATACGTCGACTGCTCAAACAACAACGCTCTGAACGACAAAAGGAGAAACGAGTCGAACATCCATTTGCAAAGTACAATGAGCAGGATCAGTTGGTATGCGTCGTCTGCAGCCAAGTAGTGAAATCAGCATGGCCGGTCCACTTGACATCGTCAACACACAAGCAAAGCATTGCGCGTTTGAAGGCTGTCAAGCAGCAACAGCAACAGCAATCTTTAAAGAGATCAGCACCCGAAGAGCCCCCTGTTTCAAGTAGTAAACGGCCACGGCAAGAAGAAGAAGAGGATGATGTTATGGCAGAGGAAGACGAGGAGGAAGATACCAACAATCAACTACCTGCAGACTTTTTTGATAATGCACCTGGTGATGCTACAGTGAATGAGCATGAGGATGAGGAGCAGCAGGAAACATCAGTGCAAGAACAACAACAACAACCAACAACGAATAATGATGACCAGCATGAAGTTGCCCATCAAATGGAACACAACCTCCCACAAGGTTTCTTTGATAATCCTGATGAAGAAGCACGTGCACGTCGAGAAGCTCCTCCTGCAGAACAACTTGAGAACCGAATTGAACAAGATTATGCCGAATTCCAACAACTCATGGCAGATACCGCTATTGAAGCTGACAAGGCACAAGATGTGGAGGATGAGGAACTTTGGCAAGATCGAGATGATGACATCTTTCGACAGCAGGCTGTATTGGATGAACGTGTGGCTAAACTCAAAGCGATGCGTGAACGTGGTCTTCGCCCTTCAGCTGCCATGGCCGTGGATGATGATGAGGAGAATGAACAAGGGACATCAACAGCAACCGAGACTGTGGCGTACGATGCTAACGAAAAAGCCATTCGCGATCAAATGAAAACCGGTGTACGGAAGCTATTGCAAAAATCATCCAACAAAGCAGCACAAAGTATATTTGATGACATGGATGAGAGTGATGAGGACGAGGACGAGGAAGATGATTGGCGAGCACAGCAATTGTAAATAGGATTGTAGACAATAAAATAATAGTATTCTTTTTTTACCATAGCAACCATCCATTCTTTATTGTTTACTTGTTAGGAACATAATCACGAGACAAGTCAATATGAGATAAATGGGTGTTGGTGATCTTGAATTTACGATTACGGGTCTTGGAACGCTTTAACTTTGGCTGTGTATACACATAGGACCCATGAGACATTGCTATTCATCACCACTGCCCTAGATGATAATACTCTTACCTCGGCAACCACCTTCTTTTCAAACACCTCCATAGTTTTCAGACCAGCTGTAGTAAAAAGGAAGAAAGAGAAAAGACAATGTGTTTACTATACTAGTATTCCATGATACACTCACCCAAATATACAAACCATTTTCCAAATGCTTGGGCAAATCGGTTTCGTCGGGTATCGTGATTTCCGCCCACATCTTTTGGAATTCTGAATCAATGGGTGTATTGTAATCCATCTCGTTGTAAAATAAAACACGTGGGTTGCCATCCTTGTTGCGGATCACCAGGATCTGTCCTTCATTGGCCAACTCTTCTACGGCTTCACCCAGCTTTGCATAAGAATCCTTGAGATCCTTGTAGTCCATGCCACCTTCCTCTTTCTTATTGATCAACAACTCGAGTAAATCTTCTTTGCTCTTGATTTGATATGCAGGCTAATGGACACATCCTAATGATAAGTCATGGCTCTCTTTCTTATGCAGCATGCATTTACCTTGTATGCAAAGGTCTTGGTGTTTTGATTATATTCAATCTTGTCATTCTCCACCAGCTTTTGCCACAATGATGGGTTCTTTGTAATATCCACATGTGTGCGAGATACAATGCTCACTACGGACTGGGGCTCATCACAATCCTATATACCCATCAATGTCAATATCCATCCTCATTCTCATTCACTCCAATTCAATTCAATCCAATAATGACCTTGAGAAACTGGATCACTGTATACAACTGACTCATAGCATGATGTCCCGTGCCCGTATTGGCTGGTTGGGAGTATACTATAGCAAAACGACAATGGTCATCATGCCTGCACTATACATGGCGTCACTCAACCCAATCAACGAACCGGTTGCTTTCTTTTGTTTCTTTCTGGATTCTTGATGGGCATGTTCAAACGAAGCTCGTGTGTTATTGTTGATCGATGTATGTTTGGTTGTATGTGAATGGTCGGCTGGTCTAGCAGTTGCAGTTCTTTTCACACCAACAAGGGTGCTTGCTGACAAGTTCTTTTTAAAGTTTTTGAGCGAATCGTTCAATTGAGACATTGCAAGAACAAAGGAGGAGCAAAGAAAGAAAGAGAGCGCTGGCCATTTCCTCTGAGCTAAGTTCGGTCTTAATAAATCCCATTTTCCATTCGCTTGTTTCGGACAATGGAAGCCATCCACAATGGTATCCATGGCACTCTTGAACCACATTTCCCATGGAGACCTTCTTTACTCCTTTGAAGTATAGAATCATCATTCATGATCACTTTCAAATAAAGTAAACCCTCGTTCCTTCCACTACACTATAAGAATCCTTGTATGCTTGGCTATATCGTATATGGGAGACATCATCAGCAGAGACCCAACAATGGTCCAAATAAATTGATAACTTAATCACTGTATTGTATGAATTTTTTTACACTATCTGATGGGGTTGCTGGTGGTGGTAGTCTGTAGAATCGCTATTTCTGCGGCTGCTATCACTTGTTGTATCAGCATTGAATGTATCACTATAATCGTGTTCGGCTCGCCAATCGTCTTCAGCTTGGTTAATATGCTTTTGCAACTTAACCAATACATAGGCAGTGGTTGGGAAGAGGATCACTACAACGATAATGAGGATAACATTGCCCCATAAAACGATCTGACTTATGGTAGCGTCCATGAAGAGCATCATGATGATGGCTACAAAGTTTAAAATCAAGGCGATTCCCCAGCAAAAGGATAGGATAATATTGAAGATGCGGTATTTCTTGACGTGATCCCAGGTCCATTCAGCTCGAGACACCGATTCCTCTTGACCCTGTTCGTTTATCCAAGTGATGGGACCTGCTTCATCCAGCATTTCGCTATTGACGAGATGGGTAAACGGGTACACCTTGAACCATCGAGTGCGTATGGGTATCAGCGTGAGCAAGAACAGGACAGCAATCACCACGGTAGATATGGAATCTCGAAGAATAGCCACACGTGCATCGGCACTGATGGCTGTTAATGCCGCTGAAATGGCAAATGCTAGCACAAATATCGAGCTCTGCACGTCTACGCGCCGTCGACGGATCATCACATAAATCACACGCAACAAGGGTGGAACGCCCGATACAATAAGAGCCACAATGTCGTTGGTAAAGATTCGAAAGACGTAAAAGATCGCCATAGGTATCCCAATATTGATAATCATAATCGTCAAAAAATGCCCTAGTTGCCGCAAGAGGATTTGCCTTCGAGTGAGTCTGTTGCCTTGGCGTTTATCTTTGTTTTTCTTTTGTTCTTGGTTTATCAATTCTTGTTCCTCCCCCACTTGAGCTTCATCGGATGCCTGGGATACGCGAGCTGTCGAGTCTCCAGAAGTGTTACTCCAACGACGATCTTCGTACGGATGCATTTCCATAGTCAACTACCATAACAACACCTCATTAATAATTGATGATGACATTGCCAAGGTGATGCATTACACTACTTACATGTACTTCTTCTTGTCGCCCGTTATTATCGAACGTCCTTGGATTCTCTTGAATGTTTGCCATTTTGCTGTGATGATTGTATCTCGATATTGTTGACATTCTGATAGATTTATATACTCGATAAAATGCCATCCATGCCAAGATACAATTACCTTTATTTGGATCGTTTGTGGTCCTTGTTGTTGTTGTTGTTGCTTCAGCCAGGTCTTCAATCATTCATAGTCATCAGCCTCATATGTATTTCAAATGACATCGCCAAGAATCAAAGAATTGGTCTCTGTTAAGGTGGCGTCTCTCATATACATTGGATTTGTCGGATACAAGAGGTGCGTTATCGTTGATCTATGGATCATGAAAATGGCTCTTGGAATAGGAGAATAGGAATAATGTATACTGCTGATGAGTTGTATGCAGGATAGTTGTCAACCACGTATGTATCGTAACCCCTGAGTGGTGGTGGAATGGGAAGCACATTGTGACACGGTTTGGTGTACTACAAAAGCCTGTTAAAAATACAATCATGATAGTAGTAGGGGTGTATTTTCATGAACGTGGCGTATCATTGATGTCAAATGTGTTACGTTAGAAATAGAGCCATGAATAAGCACCTGCGAACTGGGATCACTCAAACTAAAAGAAGCATAAAATCATGGCCTTTAGAGTTGCCAAGAATCGACTATGTGTGTAACCACCGTATTAGGCTGGGGTCAAATGATTGGCGAGGTTGAGAGGAGTAGCAGCCTGATTCACTGGTACCTCTTCTTGCAACACCTTTCTATTGAGATGCAGACATGACCACCGCTACAACAGACTCGGCTTTCAACATTTTCACGCTTCCAACCCACATTGAATCCTACATTAGTCCCTTCTGGGAGACCGTGCAGGAAAATGACTACTTCCTTCTTCAACGTACCAAGCTACGCAAAAACTCGATTATGCGCAATGTCCTAGGCACTGTACAGAATGTGTAAGACGTCCCTCCACTCTCTTTCTCTCTCTCTCTCTCTCTCAACCCATCGTCAATGCTATAAGCGTGTATTGACATGTCCTTTTTATTTAAAGGCTTGACACGAAGCAATCTCCATACCGACTTCTTTATCGACGTGCCAACGGCAGTTGTCTTCAAGTCGCCGTTGCTGAAACAGAGAAACAGGCTGATACAGCATGGCGTTGGATCGATGGTATCTATAGTGTTGGTTGGGTAATGTTGGGTATGTGGATGGTGATTGATGTTTTTTGTCCATAGCCAATTTGGTTCCTCCATTGTCGGTTCTTGATGATAATGAAAAGGAAGAGTTTGTGGCAACCAAAGTCAACTCGATTGTTACGCGCAGAGGTAATAAAGTCATGTGTGTGTGGATGGAGGATCATCATGTTCCTTGGCTCACATTATGTTATGTAGATGCTGGTACGGATGAGATTTCAGCAGATGCAAACGTTCGCACAGCGTCAAGAAGCTTTAGACAAACATTTGATGTCCCTGCCACTGAACGCTTGGTTAATTGTAAGTTGATCCTCCTCCTTTTCAGGCGTACAATGATCCTGATCTTATTATAGATTATTCTTGCGCTTATTACACCAATCGATTCACCACCCAAGGATGGCTATACATCAGTGAAAACTACGTTGCCTTTTATTCTTATCTGCTCGGCTATGAAACCAAGTTGCTGGTGGAATTACGATCGATCCAAGATATCCGCAAAGAGAAATCAAAGCGTGGAGTCTTTTCTGATGCCATCAAGCTTATCATGAAAGATAGAACAGAGGTAAAGGGAAAAAAGGGGGGATGGTGGTACATAGACACTCATATGATGTTATCATAGCATTTCTTTTCAAACCTGTTCAAGCGAGATGCGGTAAGGACATTATAGATTGTGCTTTTCACAAATCCCTTTTCATTGATTACCTCGATATTAGGTTTACGATGTGCTTGTGCAGCTGACTGGATTGGCCATGCAACGTGTGTTAAAGAGCACAGCACTTGAACAATCCCCTGGGGGTGAAGTTTCCATTGATATTCGGGATAGCGACATTGATGCTGCGAGCGATAAGGATTTGGTGACCCACCGCATGGCATCTTTACCTGCTTCTGAAATCCGCAAAATGATGCAGCCTCTCAAGATGGATCTTGCAGCACAAAAACGAGATGAACGATTCCGTGCACGATTTCGATTACCACCTACCGAGCAGCTCTTGACCAGTGTCCACGCTACGTATTTTGTGACGAAGGAGGATGGCGAGGGAGGAGGAGAAGAGAAGCAGCGTACGCCAGGTCGTTTATGCCTTTCAGAATCCTTCTTGACATTCAATTCCACTGACAAGGGGCATTATCATGATGCTGTCATGCCATTGTATACCATTCGTCGTGTTGAGCGTTTGAATGAACCTACCCAAGCGTTTTCGATAAAGATTGACAACTGGCACCAGGATCATGCCCAATTTCGTCTCAATGTGTAAGGATGGATGGTTGTGGTTTTTTAAAAAAAGGGGGGATTGTAAATGATGGGATCAATAACATGGCAACTTTAGTACAAAGCAGCAATACGAGGAATTCTCCAGCCGGCTGACTGCCAATCTACGCAAGCAAATCAAGTACATGAAGATGCTTAAGCGTTTCCTTGCAACATGTCCATCCGAACTCGTGGCTGCTGACAAGTCGCTGGATGATCTTGACAAGAAGCATGGTGGTCTCGGCCTCACATTTGGATTCCCCGGCGATGCTAAAAAGCTAAAGGACAAGAGCAAGATGAAGTTGTGGAAAAAGTACTTTGATGGTAGGTGGTGGTGGTGGTATTATGGAAAAACAAAAAGGCCATATCATTGATCATGATGATGGGGGGTTTTTTAGAATATGGGCGTAACCTGACCATTGTCAAGACACCACAATTTGGACGCCTTGTACGCGTGGGCTTGCCTAATCGTTTGCGTGGAGAGATCTGGGAAGTGTGTTCAGGTGCAATCCAGCAACGCTTCCTCAACCAAGGCCTTTACAATCGCATCTTGGAGGAGAACAAGGATAAGAACTCTCTAAGTCTTGAGGAAATTGAAAAGGACCTCAATAGGTAAGTGTATATATCCATAAATGCATATTCGATTGGCTCATGTCGCATCTTGTAGGTCGTTACCAGAGTATTCTGCATACCAAACGCCTGAAGGAATCAACAGCTTACGTCGAGTATTGAGTGCCTATTCATGGAAAGATCCAGAACTTGGATATTGTCAAGCAATGAATATTGTTACGTCCGCTATTCTCATGCAAGTTATCGTTGTCTTTGTGTTTTCCTCCCGTTTCATTGAGCTCCTTTCTGATGAATCTATGTCTATAGTTACATGAGCGAGGAACAAGCATTTTACACGCTTAGCGTGCTTTGCGACGATATGCTACCAGGCTATTACAGCACTTCAATGTATGGCGCCTTGTTGGATCAAATCATCTTTGAGCACTTGTTGGAAAGCACCATGCCAATCCTCTACAACCATTTCAAAAAGACCGACATCCAGCTTTCAGTGGCATGCCTGCCTTGGTTCTTGAGCCTCTATATCAACTCGATGCCTTTGTTGTTTGCATTCAGAGTACTGGATTGCTTCTTTATGGATGGTCCCAAGATCTTGTTCCAGATTGGGTAAGTAAACCTTTAACTGTGCCCTTACATGTTTGATGAAACTAACATGTCATTTATAGCTTAGGTATTTATAATTTGCAATGTTGATCAATGGCGTATGAAATTAACCTTCGACTATGTTGCTAGCTATTCTCAAGATCAATGGTGACGAACTACTCAAGACAACCGATGATGGTGCTTTTATGAATGTGCTCAAGCATTATTTCAATTCACTACACGAGCCATTGTACCCTGATTCTCAAAACAGTAAAGCTCGCAGCCTAACGGTGAGTATTATTGCTTTAATGGATAACATACAACAAGCTAATATGGGACACATACGCAGCGTTTCAATGAGCTCTTACTCGTTGCCTATCGTGAGTTTGGCAACATTACCGACGACAAGATCCGGGAGATGCGACAGACACATCAACTCAAGGTTGTAGCTGGTATTGAATCCTTTGCCAAACGATCAACATTGCGCAATATCGATGATACAGCTGGGCTGGATAAAGAGGAACTTGGCATTATCTACGACAAATTCCACAATGTGCAATATTATCGAAGCAAGGAGAAGGGAAGTGAGCGCATGGATTACGCAGCTTTTGAGATCTTGATTGGAAACCTTGCCAGCTGGGCCAAGTTCTCTCAAAAGAACAAGGAAGGTGACCAAGAACGACAACTCAAGGTTGGCAAAACGTTCCTTGTACGACTCTTTAAGCGATTCGATAAAGGTGATCAAGGGGGACTTAGTTTGCAGGTATGCATTGTATGAATGTGTGTGTATGTGTGTGTCTCCATAATGCTCAACTTTATTGTAATAGGACGTCATTATTGGTCTTGGATCTATTATCAAGGGCGACCACAATGCACAGATCACGTTATTCTTTGATTTGCATGACACCGACAAGGATGGCTACCTGAACCGTGACGAGTTGCTTGAATTCTCAGAGTCACTGCTATGGATATTCCGTGACATGACCGATGAGCATCTCCATTCAGTGTCCACATTCCTTCGCAATGCATTCGAGTATTCGGAAACCAAGGAGGACTCGCAGGACAAGTTTCTTTCCATGGCTTCATTGAGGTAAAAAGTGATATGGACTTTTGTGGGAATTCACCAAGCTGATTTATGATGATAGGATGCTTGTGTTGGCAGACGAGCTCTTGGAGAACTTTTTTGATCATGAGTTTGCACAATCCTTCAAGTTGGTCGAGAAGCCTGCTGAACAGCAACGTAGCCTTGGACGCGAGATCTTTGATAGCTTACTGGCCACAGGAACCAAGTTTGCCAACAATGCAAAGCAGAAAGCCCTCGTTTCATCACCCTTATCATCCAAAGCATCGAACGTGTCATCACCCACCACCAGCGATACCCAATCCATTTCGACTACCTCTTTATCTGTTAATCCAAAGCAAGATGAGAAAGAAGATATCGATACAACGCCACAAGAACCAATACAGCATGACGAAGCAAAGAAACAAGAACCTACATCATCCAAGAGCGGTCATGGAGAAGAAGAAGCAGCATCATCAGCAACTGAATCTCCAAAGAAAGAACATACCAACGCTGATGAGAAAAAGGTAGATGATGTTGAAGATTCAAACGACGAGGACGAGGATGAAGATGTATTGGAAGAAGTTGATCGATTGTTAAAAGAATACGGTGATGATGATGAAGAAGAGGATGATGATGCAAAATCCACATAGCTACCTTAATTCTCAATTACCAATGGTCGTTTTATTAACTTTATATAAAATAAACACGCAATACGTGATGGATACATATGATCGAGTGGTCTTTATTTATTGATGAGATGAACAAACATGAGTCTCTTTGGCATTCCTTTCGAAGACGCTTCTATTTAAGTGATGTACATAGAACGAGAGATGGCTACAAGCGGTGTGTGATAATAACAGGGACTCTGTACGGGAAGTATACGCGCTCAAGGATCACATTATGAAGATTCACCACTGCGGAATTCCAATGTGATGACTCTACCGCGAAGCCAATCATGAGCAACGCAAAACACTAATTTTACTTTTGCTTGAATTACCACCTATTGACCTCCCCAATCAAATGCATACCAATTCCATTGAATAGAGTGCCCACTCCGCTACGAAATGATACTAATTTCTACATCCTACGATAACATTTTTGCACTTCTTCCACCTTCTATATATGGAAATTTTGTGGTATATATAGTATCGCGCGCTTAAAAAAATGTACAGCGGTCAGAGATCCCGTCTCGGATAGTATAGTGGTCAGTATCCCCGCCTGTCACGCGGGAGACCCGGGTTCAATTCCCGGTCCGAGAGCATTTTTGTTTTTTGCGTTTGGGAAAAAATGTTGTCAGTTGTTTGAACATGGCCACTTTGGTTGATTGCGTGTTGATTTTATATTGTTATGCATGTTTTCTTTTACAAGATCGGACGATAAAGCATGGAATGATTAGAAAAGACCAAAACCTTGCGTGTTTTGTACATTTGCATGATTGAATCAATCTATGTTAGACATCAAGGCAACTATGAATCATGTAGACATACATGTAAAAACCCAAGGGCATGATATTTGGTCATCGACATGATCTCAGGGGATTCCGATGGTTGAATGCCACTCGTAATTTATAACGATAGGTCATTCATTGAATAACAACTATGCTCTCTACAACAATAATCGACAAAAGCGATCCAATGCTTTGGTTGACTCCATAGTTGCTTGCGTAGCAGAGGAATCATAATAATTACATGGTACAATGATCGCTACTGGGGTTGATAGTAACAATGACACCACCAGCTCATGAAGTTTTGCTCCTTAGCAGTTGTTGTACAAGTAGGAGATGCAAACAAGGGAATATTTACTATTACTTTCAAATAGGATGACATGATGGGATGAAGTATGACAAAAGATGATGAATAATGTTACAGCTATATTACAATGAGGAACGTCGCGGGGGAGGAGTGTGCTATTTTCTTGCTTGACGTTGTCTGAGGGTGCCAAACACCTCTATCATAATAAGGATTAATATACATTGCCCTTGGTTTCATGCAAGAGATGATGTTGTCGTACCTGATGTTACCAATGGCGTCATGCGTCCAAATATTTTGTGTCCATCCATGTTACATTGTTGACGTAAATGGCGCTCCAATTCAGGCATTTCGGCCCATGCTGGGGTTTCATTCAACTGAAAATCAGGATCCACATGTGATGATGATGCTTCATTGTTCTCGGCACCCGTTTTATCGCTTGATTGCTCATTTTGTTGTGAGGGCATTTCAGTATTATCAGCATTAGATGGCTCTTTTCGAGTAGCTTTGTTTGACGTGGTCGTCTTTTTGTCTGTTGAAGTTGTGGATAGCTTTTTTGATGTGGTCGTCTTTGTGCCTGTTGAAGAAGAAGGTTCATTTGCTGCTGTTGTTGCTGCTGCTAGGGAGGAGGAAGAGGATTCGTTTGTTTTTGTTGCTAGGGAGGGTTCATTGGTTGTTGCCGTTGCCATGGAAGACTCATTTTCTGCTGCTGCTGCGGAAGCTTCTTTTGTTGTTGCTAAGGTAGATTCATTCGTTGTTGTTGCTGGTGCTGCGGAAGACTCGTTTGTGGTTGCTAAGGAAGACTCATTCGTTGTTGTTGCTTCGACTTGAGTTTCCTTGGATATCGATCGTCTTTGAGTGTCCTGCTTTCCTTTGTTGGAAATCGATGAAGAACGTGGTTGCTTTTTTGGATTGGTATCAACTGAATGTGATCTGGAAGCACGTGATGCATCGTGATGAATGCGAGTAGGTGATCTTAGACTCTTTCGTTGCCTACTGCTGGTACCAGTGGTGCTGCTTTGATTCGCTGTCGGGCTGGTCAATGAAAACGAGCGATAGCTTGTGGGTGAATGAAACGATCGGCTGGTCAAGGATTGGCGACTAAAGCTTCTCATTGAGTTGCCTTCCATGCTGCTCTCGTCAACGATGGTGTGTCGCGATGATTGTACAAGCTTCACTTGGTCGGTTGATGTGAGGTCAGCGTTGTCGTTTGCTTTGTGTCGTTTAGCAGGTCGTCGCGTCTCGATCAGCGATCTAGTATGAGTGTGTGTTGTCATGGTCAGTCCAAGCGATCCCAACATGAGGGTGAAATACTACTACCACCACCTACTCAATAGTGTGTGTCTTGAACCACTCCAAGTGTTCATTGTAGATACGACGAAGTTGGGTAGCCTTTTCATTTGCTGCTTGTTCAAGCCTTTCACGTTGTGCACGAGCCCAGTTTTCACCCTTGGCAACGAGTTCTTTATCGGCCATGAAAACGGAAAAAAGAGAGGGAAGAAAAAGGAGATTTTATATCCATGTGCCATTTTTATTGTCCATCCATCCTCCTCACCCTCCTAACAGCTAGCTATACACATTTTTGGCTTTTGAATTCATGTATCCTATCCAGAAAACGCTCTCTTCGTAAATATCGACTGGTGGATTCAAGAAGGGCAGCTCGTCGTGTATCCATGGATGATCGCGTGTCCTTGTTTCTTTGTTCTCCATCATTCTCTTGATCCTCGTCCTCGTCTTCCTCCTCAAGTGAAATGCCTGATGTTGAATAAACAGCATTCTGATGCACTTGCTTGAATCGAATGTATGCCATTTGTTCTTCCATATCCTTAACTTGTTGTTGCTTGCTCTTTAACTCCTTGTCAATCTCTCGCAGTTGAAGGTATAATGCGTATAACGAGGGTGATGAGCTATTGGATGATATCAGTATAATCCGGATACATAAAAGATGGATTAACATAGACGTACCTTGATTCTTGTGGTTGAGCAGGTGATCGCATTCTAATCCTTTCATTCTGGATCTTGCTCTCCAAATCATCAATCTGTTGGCCATACGTTTTGCATCGAGATTTAAGCTGTTCCCACTTGACCAATGTCTGCTTATCCAAATTCCTCTCCTTGAGTTCCTTCTTCAGCTTGGGATCAGGCTTTGTCTCCATGAGTGCTTCGATTGTCGACTTTTTCACGTTTACTATATATATGCATAGGATGGATGAGTGTTGTGGAAAGAGAGAATAAAAGTTAAATATCAACGTACATTTGATGGAGTTTTCATCGAAATAACCGAGGGATTGCTTGATCTGGATAATATGTGGACGCTGTGTTCGTGCCTTGGTGGCAATACCATCGGCCACAGTACTCAAGTCGAGAGCATCTCCAACTGTCCAATTGTCGTTTTGAAGATCGGTATATGTTTTACTTGCAGCACTCTGGCGTCGTTGTGATTCAACTGCTTGCTTAAGCTCTGCTTGTTTCAATTCCAACTATAATGTACATTAGATACCTTTTGATACCGAAAGTAAACTAACTTTTACCTTTTCAAAGTCTTCATTCATTGCCAAGTATAAGCTTTCAAATTCTCTAGCCATTCCCTATAACGATCCATGATATCAGCTTTGTGTCCTTTGCGTTTTTTAACATTACACTTTACCTCTTCTGCTGTAGGCTTAGGCTTAGGCTTTGGTGCCGGTGCTGCGGGTGCTGTCTTTGGTTCTGTTGCAGGTGCAGAGAATGATGATGGAGGAGGAGGAGTAGGCGTCTTTACAGCTGTGGATGGTGACTCAGCCTTGGCCATAGATCCAAAGCTTGATGATCCAAATCCTTGAGACACAGGGGGTATTTTAGCACTTTCTCCAGCGGCTGCTAAGGATGCAAATCCAGATGGCTTTGTTGCGTCAGCAGCACCGAAGCTTGTTGTGGAACCAAATACAGGCTTCTCTTGTTGTGGGCTCGCGAATAGGCCATGTCCAGTAGTTGCTGGTGGTTTTGAAAAGAATGAACCACTTTCCTTTTTATCATCATCACCACCCAATGAAAATCCTGCCACAGGCTTGTCAGTAGTTGACGATGGCACAACTTGTGGTGTTGGAGGCTTTTCTTCTGGGGCATCAGGAAGCTTTGCAACTTGAGGTGCCGTGGTCTCTGGTGCTGCAAGTGGCTCTTTTTCCTCCACAGGTTCAGGCTTGGCCTTGACTTCCTCTTCTTCTTCTTTGACAGGTATCTCGTTTTCTTCTTCCTCAGGTTCCTCCTCCTCTTCCTTGACAGCATCTTCTTCCTCAGGCTCTTCTTCTTTGACAACAATCTCCTTTTCTTCTTCTTCAGGCTCCTCTTCTTTGACGGCAATCTCCTTTTCTTCTTCTTCAGGCTCTTCTTCTTTGACGGCAATCTCCTTTTCTTCTTCCTTGGGTTCTTCAGTCTTAGCAAGTGCAGATGCAAATCCACCAAAACCAAATGTAGGCTCCTTTGGCTTTTCCTCTTGAGATGCAGGCTTAGTGGAAGGTGCACCGAATGCAGGTGTAGCGCCAAATGATGATTGACCAAAGGTAGGCGTGGTACCAAATGATGATTGACCAAATGCAGGTACCGATCCAAATCCTGAAGATGGCTTTGAAGTCTCGGTCTTGGCTAAGGATGCAAAGCTTTGTGGCTGTTGAGGAGTAGATGGCTGAGCACCAAAGCTTGTAGATCCAAAGGCAGGAGTCGTGGTAGTACTTCCAAGACTGGTCGTTTGTCCAAATGCAGGTTGTTGTTGTTGTTGTTCAGTCGACTTGCCAAGAGATGCTAAGCTTTGAGTAGGTTGAGGTGCGGATGGGCTGGCACCAAAACTTGTTGCGCCAAATGTAGGTGCTGATCCAGTATTTCCTCCTGCTGTTGCTGCTGCCATTCCAAAACCTGTAGCTCCTGTTGCTGTTGCTCCTGCTGCTCCTCCAAATCCACTTGATCCAAACATGCCACCACTAGCAGGATTCTTTGCATTGCTGCTCATTGTCAAACTTCGGAAGGATGTAAAACCGCCACCACCGCTGCCGGTACCTTGACCAGCTCCTCCAAATCCTCCAAATCCACCGGTCGTTGCTGCTGGTGTAGATGATTCATTTGATTTACCAGAAAGGAGTGCAGCAAATCCATCATTCGAACCTTGTTGTTGAAGAGCAGCACCAAATGGACTACTTCCAAAGCCAGAGGATGGTTGTTGTTGTTGTGGCTGTTTGGGTGGTTCAGATGAGAAAGCTGGTGCTGATGTTGCTGGAGCTGTTGTAGGTGCTGGGGTACTAGGAAATTCGGATGGCGCCTCCATGATATCCTTTGCATCCACCATACCATGATACTTGTGATTGCGAGCAGCCAAATCGGTATTGTAACAATGATATGCACAAATCTGATCCTCATCATTTAAGAGGTACATGGTTGGCATTGGCTTGACATTTTCTGAGCTGGTGGCGGGATCATAGGGTGGTAATGGCTCTGAAGTAGAGAAATCCACAGCAAGACCAATAGCAAATGTGTCCATGTTGGTTTCTTCAGAAAGCGGCAAGCTGGCAAGACCATTCTCTGGGAGCATCCATGTTGCCCAATCTCCATTTTCATCTTGACCAATCACTGAAATATCGGTAGCTGCACTGTGAGCAAGGATCACTGCTGTCTTCATATCACTGCTAAAGTCGCGAATGATTTCCATATACATGTTGGCGTCACGATCATCCATGCTGAATACGGGTGTCACTTCGTCGAGATGAATGTACTTTGTTGGTCTGTTCTCTGATTTTGCAAATCGTTGAATAATGAATGCATCATGGATGTGCTCGTCCGTGCCACTTTGACGCAATTGTGCATAAACTGCCAAAAAGATGTGTGTCTCGATCCATAAAACTCCCAACACTAAACAATGAAATTAGATACCTAATGATGCCACGTAATGATGGACTTACCATAACGAGATCCAGCTTCTTGCATTTTTGAAGGTTGTTCAATCAATGATTTGGAAGCGCCACTTGTATCAAATGTCTCGAGTTGACCATCCTTTTTGCCGCATACGATTTGCTTGCCCTTGGGTGACCAGCAAAGGGATGTGATATCATTGTTGGCGATGGATGCAGTGGTGGCGCCATTGGTGATATCGACAAACTTGCATTGATTGTTCTTTAGGAGCACAGCAGCGAGGTTTGGATGTGCGTCAGGATTGGGCCGAATGTCGAGGATATCCTGATCCAATTTGAATGTACTTGTAGGTGCAACGTTCTCTCGCTAAATAGATATTGTAATCAGCTACTACTACTACCACATTCCAAATGCTTCATTACCTGTTGAACAATATCCTTGGCGTGATAAACAAACACTTCACCGTTGGTAACAGTGACCACAATGCGAGCTTCTTCTGCTGTCAATCGTAAATGCTGTATCGCACCTTGCACTCTGATGAAGATCTTATCATCCACTGATCCCACGCCGCCCTTTTCAAGGCTCTTGGTTGTTGATCGTAGTGTCTTTGTTGATCCATAGATAAATCCTAAATAGGCAAAAAGTGAATAAAGAAGACCTTGTAAACCACCCTCCCTCGTTTTTTCATTCTATACCTTCAAGAGTAGCTGCCACATAGTAGCCATACACCGATGAGCATGCTAATAAAGAGACGTTTGCTGGATACTGATTGGTGTCAAATCGTGGGTATTCGTCTTGGACTTTTTCCTGCAAAGCGATCTTGGCATCGGGCACAAGACTTTGGAATCGAAAGAGCTATGAAGCGTGTCAGCATTGAGGATCGTGTCAATGGCGAGTGTGGGGATCTACCTCGGTTTCTTTGCTTGCAGGTTCGTCACCAGCCAACACCTCGAATTGATTCATGATTGCTGCGCAAGAAGGAAGAGCTGAGAGTCGCGAAGAGGAGGAGGCGCGTATTGCCGCTTCCCAAAAATTGTTTCAAGCATCGCAACAGTCATTGGTCGTGTATTTGAACAAAGGCGCAATTCCCATACAGCACACAATGATCCTATTCGATTGCCATATGTAATGATGACATGAATACATTTCTCATGCATTTCCCTCGTGGGATACACCAATTACCATATATCAACAACCCCCCACCCCCACCTCCATTCTATTCATGAGAGCCATACTCATTTTGTCTTTGGTACTGCATCATCATCATCATCATCATCATCATCATAATGCGACTTTGAATGCGTAGCACAATAAGCTATTTAGTAGTATATTTGAGGATAGAAGCTATTAATGATTACAAACGATCATGCCCTTGATGCTACAGTAACTACCATTTAGAAAAGAGGTTGCTTGTCAGCATACCCAATAACGAATGAGTGGGTGACTAAACATGTATATAAAAGGATGAATGTTCATTGCCCAGTTGTATGTATACAACACACACACAATGAGAGGAGGGTGGTGGTAAATAACATATGAAAAGCACGGGACACCACGTAAATGTGTCGGGTCATGTGAGGCGTTGATCAATCACCTTTTCCGCATTTGTCTTTTTTCGAGCCCTCTCTTTCTCTTCTCTCCTGGAACATCTTTTTCAGGGCCCAACTTTATGCAAGATATTCATTTTACTCCATACACAAACTTTGAATCCTTCGAGGAAAAACGAAGAAAGACTGCAAGAGCTTGTCTACATTGCCAAAAAGTAAAACTTGTTTCATTTGAGGATCTCTCATTTCCCATTCGTCTAATGCGTCCCATTTTCACTCTAGGCACATCTCACTTGCGACGACGGTAAGAAGAATACGCTATAGAGGCAAAGGATGTAACTCATGCATGTATGTATGTACTCCTCATAGGTCGACCATGTCAACGATGTATCAAGCGCGGGTTAACAGCAACTTGCATGGATGCTCCTCGGAGGCAGCAGCAACAACAACAACAACAACAACAACAACAACAGCAGCAGGCGAAACAAATGTATTCAGGAAATGATGCGAGTAAGTAGTAGTGATTATCATGGGTGATATGGGAGTATGCTAACTTTGGATATGTGTGGGTAGTGTCTTCCAGTGTGCATACCAGCAATCAGGGAATTCTGGATCACTCCCAACCACCGACAGGTAGGTATAATTTTGTGATCGATCGGAAAGGGATGTGTCTGAGTACTCACTGGTATTTCCTTTACAAGATGAATCACATATGGTCGATCCAACTTCATCCAATGCTGTCCTTGCCAATCTCGGTGCAGGTTTAGGATTCGGTTCTGAAACAGCTGGTTTGGAATATGGATTCATTGGTAACATGCTTGGTGTGGGAGATTGGGCAACGGCAACACCAGCATCACTTTTGGCTACAACAACGACTACCACCAATACTACTACTACAAACAACAACAACAACAACAACAACAACAACATGAATCATAATACCATCAATAACGCAACTCCCGCCATGCATCTTGGATCTAGCAACAACACCATGCCAACACCATTATCCTCGCAACAACAACAACAGCAGGCATTTTCCACCAATACTACTGCACAACATCAATACCTTCCATCCGTATTTCCCATGTCAGCCACTGTCGCTATTGCTCCAGGGGCCAATCCTCTTGCCAATGAAGAAACCAATACGAGTTCCTACCACAACAACAACAACAGACCAACCACCTCCCCCTCTACATCCTCATCACCCACGACTGCTGCTGCTATGGAAAGGAGAACAACAAAGCATTATCCAGAGAGAAAAGTGTGTCGACCTTTTAATTACGCTGAAGGATTTCATTATCTCATTGAATACGTCAAAGAAAAGTAGGTCTTGCTGCTGCTGCTTTTGCTTTTGCTTTTTGCTATCCTATTATTTAACATTTGAACTTTAGGATGAACCGGGAAGATTTGATGCGCATCAGCCGATCCTTGGCTCTATTTCGACCTTCATTCCTGGCATTGATTATGAACCTTACCGAGGATGATCTGGTATTCATGGAACAATGTATTCAGCGGACATTGCTGGTACGTGTCGGTATATGTGGATCGTGGAAAAAGATGGAAATTGTAGTGCTCACGTGAGAGCTATATACTTTTAGGAATACGAAAAACTTATCAGCTTCTCAGGAACGCCTACCGTCGTATGGCGACGCACAGGCGAAGTATGCTTGGTGAGCAAGGAGTTTCTCTTATTGACACAATGGCCACGGCATGTATTGTTGGATAAAAAGACATACATTTATGAGGTATGTAGACCATTCAGCAGCAAAAAGGATACAAGCTAACTACTGCTATTAGCTTATGGATAATCGATCCGCTGTGGATTACTGGGAAAGGTTCTCCTTGCATGCCTTTGATAACACCGATGAATCCTGTATGTCGTCTTGCATTCTTAAAACACCCACGCAAAAGCCTGTACCTTGTGCATTCTGTTTCACCATCAAGCGCGATATCTTCGATCTGCCAAGCGTGATCATTGGCAATGTAAGTAGCAAGATACACTATAAAGGAATGGGTGTTGACTTTTCTATGGTTAGTTTTTGCCAATCTTAGGATGATGATGAGGTGCTCTGAGCAATAATATCAAAAGCATATTGTATTATACTATCGCAAATCAAAGTTCTTTCTTTATCTTCAAGTGTCATTTATGGGGTTTCTCCAAGGTCATGGTTGTGGTGGGATGATGGGATTATAGGGAGGATATGGAATGACCGATATTCATGCATCAACAAACACCGATCCATGGGCTGTATAAAAGTCAGCCGTTCTTTTCTTTGTCTTTGTACATGACGAAAATGTGCCAAAAAGGGTGGTGGATAAAAACACAAGAGGGGTAAAGATCATTCATTATTAAGACAAAGAGGATTACTATTCTCGTACAAGTAGGCTGGTTGGGAGGATACAATGTAGGTGGTGGCAAAAGTCTAGTCATCTTTTTTCTTGTCTTTCTTGTTGTGATGGAGGCTCTTTTTCTTTTTACTCTTACACCCACGGGTACCAAGCACACACCATTTCACTTTGAGAACACCTGTTTTAAGAACACCAAGCTGACTAAATATGTACGGAGTAGCATCCAAAGATTCTAGGATGCAACAACAAGGTTAGCGGAGGAGGTACGACAACATACAAAGACACGACGCGCGGAGCTTACCATCAGCACAGCCTGGGCAAGCATCCGAAATGGTGGCTTCCACCTCCTTGCCTTTATGCATAATGAGAACCTTTTTGTTACACCATTTGCTCCTGGCATCTTCGTTGCCGTATTGCTTGAGATTCTATATACAGAACCCATGTTTAAGTTACGACGTATACATTTACGATGGATGATCTTATTACCAAGGCAACGATTCGGCTATGGTCGTTTTCATGTGGGCCACATGCACCTACAATAGCAGCAGTGAATCATTATTATGGATACAACAATCATGATTAAGGATATGACTTACCCCATGCACCACCTTCACTTGCAGGGTGGAAAAAAGTTATACGGCCACTGAAGAATCCATTAAACTGATCTCGCTTGTTGTTAATGGGTGCGGTGTATACCACTTTGGCATGTAGTAGTAGGAGAGATACAAGTAGCAAAAAAGCAACCAGGAATCTCATTAAAGCAAAGAAATGTGTTGAGGAAAAGAAAAAGTGTTGTGGGTTGTAAACATCAATCCGGTATCGTTTTGCTTGCTTTTATAGATATCCACAACGACGATGTCTTATGAGCGGATGTCGTTGGCATGGAAGTTACAATCACTTACCCACACACGACATCTGATGTTTTCATTCCCGCCAACCCCTTGCTTACCCCCTTTGATCCTTTTACCTTCCTATTCAATGAGCACCGTGTAGAACAAAGGGAAAGCGATGCACATGATCAAGCGAAAAACTGGATTCTTTTGAGCAAGTCAGAGAGAGAAAATGGAAGTAAAATCGAGAGCTTCATTGCGTATAAGGATAAAAGAGAACCGTAGCCAGTAGAAAAGTCAAAAAAGCATCAAGCTTTTTGTGTTTATATAGGCGACCGAGCACATGCATGCATTAACAGACCAGCTAATAATACATGCTATGCCATGCACCCAAACACACTTTTTGGCTTTGGCTCTCAATACGCAGCCACTCGCTTCAACCCCCACCCCCCTTTTCGCTGACATTTTATTTTCCATGCATGATGCTGTTGTGTTGTAGATATATAATAATGCTGTCTATGATGATGCAAAATGAACTTAAATCTCGTGCCAGGTGATTTTGAGAATGCCGGTATCGAGATCTCCAAGAGCCTTAAACACAGGAGGGGTCAAATCGAGATCGCCGTATTTACATTCAGGGCAAGCATCTAACACAACACACGTGATGATGTTAATATCCAATCCTTGGCTCTTTCATCTTTTTGATGAGTGTTGCTTACCTTTGACGGTTGCGTCAACATGTTTGCCGTTGGCATAGATACGGATCTTTTTGAAGCACCAGCCACTCTTGTTAGTCAAGGAGCCATATTGCACCGAGTTCTATAGAATCACAATTTAGATACGGTTCGAAAAATCATTGGATGTATATACGTACCATGGCAACAACATATTCATGATCACCTTCATATTCCCAGCATGCACCCATTGAGCCACCGTGAAGGGAGGGAACGAACCAAGTAGCACGGCCATGATATTTATGGCGTTTTTCAATGGAATTGTTGTGTTGTTCACGACGACGGACGGCGGTAGCAGTGTGCTTTTTGGCGTCTACCAAGATGGTACCGACCAGCAGTAAAGTAGCGAGGAAAAGGACTGACAAGAAGCGCATGTTGATGATGAAGGATGATGGGAATGAATATGTATATATGTACAAGTAGTAGTGACCAGCACAAAAGTGATTAAAAAAGAGGAAGAATCACAATTCAGTCGACCTTTTGTTTCTTTTATGTGTTTTCGCTTTGGATTTTTTTTTCTTGTTGACGGTGTTAAAAGTGAAACAAGATGGTGATAGCATCCAATGGATGATCGCGTCTAGTTGCGTCGCCGCCTACTGCGTTTCTCTTTTTTCTGGGTCCATCATCTATGGTTTTGGATTCATTGGTAAACGATGGCTCCCCTGAGGATTATTCTCACACAAACAGATGCAACACGAAAGCTACACGAGTGCCTGCATAATCCTCATTGTTACCAAATAATTGCGTATCAATGAGCGGAAACAAGGATTAGACTCATTCATGCCATTGTAGTAATAAAGGCTAACCATTCAAGCTAAAAAGCCCATTGTCATTGTTCTCTATCCGATCGATCGCCCCGAAGCCCAAAAAAAAGTACGTTGATCTGATCCCATAGTGGCGGGTCAGGATGAAGATTTTACTTTTCGGCGACAAGTTTCATCTAATTTCAGACCCCACGCGAGACGATCGATTGTTCATCAAAGGTCTCGACCGGAAGCAATCCATTCCGATCCCGTTACACAGGTACGTGGTCATTCACCGAAAGCTGCTGTACCTTTTGTTCACATGACCCATTGCAGATGGTGGGATGCTGTACAAGTGGCGTGAGGATCACTCATGCAATGGGGGAAAAAAACAACGCCATTTTTTCTTCCATCCCTCACATCATGATCATAACTTTATTGATATTGGATATAAAGTCACCCCTCACCATGGAGACAGCGGAAGTGAGATTTCTTACACACCACACACAGACCTTTTTACGTACACACACACAAGCCCAATAAGCCAACAGCATGGATTCTACCACCCCAGTCGCCGCCGCATTGATGACCCCTTCCCAAGTAACCACCACCTACGTTGCTCAGTGCCTCCGATCCAACCCAACTCAGTTTGTCAAGCTCGATATTCTTGGCCATACCATTGAGCTACCTGTATTTGCTATGCGACGACGTAATGCACTTGCACACCTTTAATGTTTTTCATTATCACCATCAGCCTTGTATATATAATGTATCTCGTTATTCCCTTTATGTAAATATAATTGCTATAAGTAAAGTAGTCCTCCTCTTACATAAAAGAGCGTTTACTCTCATCGTGCCTGAAACTGAAGGCTATAGGACCCGATCCGTGTCCATGGATGACTTGCTTTATGGCTCCGAAATCTCGGATAATTCTTCTTTACCCCGCTTTGAGTCGTTTATCTATGAGCCCTGGTGGTGGTTGGGGGAGCGTTTTTCTGCGTATGTGGCCCTTTTAAGATTATTGTCATAAACAACGGAGTGTCATTTCTATGTAGAATCAACCATACAAAAAACGATGCCATGTTTGTGGTGGTCATCATTGGGAATAGCTTTGTGGGCGTTATTTACAAGCAGCCGTATGCTCCTTTCTTGTGCTACCATTCTAGACACATCCGATTGATGCATCATCAAAGTGCAGCACTATCCAAATGAATGTATGCAATCCTCAAGCATTTTGATGTTGTTGTTGTTGCTGTGTGGGAAAAACCCGATATCGTATCGAATCAAACATGTGGTACCAAAAAAGTGACACCATAGCGGTATCCATGGAAACGTACTCTTTCGAAGAAATGGGATACAGCTTCTTTTACACAGGGTGCGTGTGTGTATGAGCTTGTTGTTGTTGTGTGTGTGGTATGTGCGTGCTGTGCCGACGTTTCATATCCGTGTACAATGCATGTTTGCAATGACAGGTATGGGAACGATCTGCACAACCTTGTACAACGATTAATCGACTGCATATGCATACACATGCTACTATCATTAATACACCACGACTCACGAGGTTTTCAATGGACTTGTCAGCTTTTTGTCTCGTGTGCACAAAAGAAAACGGGACATGAAACACATTTCCTTCCTTCTTTGTTCTTCTTTTCTTTCTCTCTTTCTCTCTTTTCCGCTGTCGATGGTTGAGCCGACCCATGTCCTTGTCGGCTATCCCATTGATTTCTGTTATGGCAATCATCCCAACAGCAACAGCTGCCACCCATGTTATCCAGAGCCAAGTTTTTTTCTCAAAAGTCTTGGCTGTGCTAATGATGCCATCGCATACAGCTTTATGGCTATAATGACAGACCCAGCCATTCATTTCTTTAATCATCATCATCATCATAATACAACAACTGAATCATCATCATTCCAAATGATGCGCGAAATGGAAGCGTGTGCTGCTGGCATCATGCATTATGCCTTTGACTACCACCATGAAGCTGAAACATGTGTGCACCAATACCTCGAACAACAAACCCTCCTAGCGGCTCCTTTGTCAACGTGAGTATCCCCTTTTATTCTTTCCTTCCTTGAATAACAGCCAAAGAAAAAGCCAACACAACGAACTAATGTAGTAGCGTCAAAGTCACATTATCACTCGTATTGTCAAGGGCAGGGTTCATCAAGTATGTGCTCTTTAGACGCGATCAAGGGAAACAATGCACGCATGGTCGGCTAATGATGATGCGTTTCTTCTTGCTTTTGCTTGTAACTACTAAAGAAACAATGCGGCGAGGCCACTCTTGGTAATAATAGTAAGGCTGTTGTTGATGCAACAAGCCATGGGTAGGTCACCTTTTTCTGATTCCATCATGCATCAACTCATTATTTTTTACCGCTTTTAGATATGGTGCAGCACAGCCGACGATGCATCCCACCACCGCCACCATCGTCAGCCAAAGTGACCTGTACTACAACGAAAATGCCGACTCTGATCTCATGTATACATCCTCTTCTTCTTCTTCCCTCATGTGAGTATATATAAATAAGATAGCCAACGTACAACGGCACTTCTAATGGCTTTAGGCATGAGGATGAGGATGCATCAGATAATAGCTGGTTTGATCCTCCGGAGGTAGAATACAAGCCAACAAGCAGTGGGAATGCAGCTTTTGCAGACGAGATGCAAAATTCCATTACCGACGGATCACAATGGAACATGTGAGCAAGTCATAGTAATGATGATACAACAACTTAACAATGCATGTATATAGCTCGGATGATGCTGCTGGTTCCAAAATGGGTACGAATAGCATACCTTATGCGGATGACGAGGTGTGTGTGTGTGTGTGTATATATGACGTGGATGGAGATACCCATCATGGAAACTAATGTAGTACATAAAGCTCAATAGCGAATATGGATACTACGATGGGGTGTTGGAATGGCTTCTTTCACACGTTCAACACGAAAACTACCAAAATATTGGACGAGATGCTTGGTCACGTGTTTATGGGTGGGTGCTTTTTTTTGTGGTATCCATGGATACGAGCTTTTCGATTAACAAGGTTTATTAGTTTGACAACGCAACAACAACAAGATGATACACGATGCGAAAAAACATCACCGGCACAACAACAGCCTACAACACCCGACATTGGCATGTCCAATTTTGATCAAGATTTCCCTGCACTCACGCCAACAACAAAGAAAATCACTCCTTCAATATCCACACCCACTTTTTCCACCACCACAGCAGCTCTTGATTTCGCTACCATTGTACGTCGCCATGCACCGCCTCATGCCAGTAGTAACAATAGCACGATTGAATCATCCACTCAACAACAGCAACAACCGAACCCTTCTGCAGCATTTAGTAAGATACGATCATGGCTGTCATCCAGCGATCGATTGGTAAAGCAATTGAATCGTCCTGCACGAATACCATGGCTCGAAACAGGCGATCCAGTGACCCAGCTTTATCGTACTGAACGGCGGCATGCCCATCAATGTTGGGCCCAAATGCGTTGCTACTACCAGATTGCACAAAAATGCTATCGACGGCAAGATTGGGCCAATGCACGATGGTATGCACAAGAGGCACGCTATTATAGGACACGCATGAAAGAACTACATCATCAAGCAAGTCGACGCATCTTTGCACAACGTAATCAGGAAGATGCCTTGTTTATTGATTTACATGGTATGCATGTGGATGAGGCTCGTGCAAGTACCTTGCAATGGTTTCATTCCATGTTAAGGGATGGGTATCGAGGCATTGTTTATGTGGTCACTGGGATCGGTCATCATTCAAGGCCATTACATCGACAACAGCAGCAGCAGCAGCAAGGAAAGTTACGGCCCGCCATTGCCATGTTTCTTAAGTCCATCTATCGTTGTGAGGAAACCAGCGTCTATGGTGATGACAAGGGTGGCGTTTTTGCGGTCTATTTATGCTCACACCGATTTATTCCATCCTCCCTATTACCCGATCGTCGCATATGCTTGTATTGTAAATTTGAACAAGAATTATGATACCCAATCACCCCCCCCACCAAACACTCTACAAAACAAGCATTTTCATTCTTCTTATTGTCAAGGGCTTGTTGACAAAATAAATCCTGCTCAGGGCCCATCAATCAGCGTGCATGAAAATCCACGCTACTCAGCCTCCTTAAAAAGGAAGAGCCAATCAAATAGCGTTCCTGAAAGAGAAAGAGAGCTATCATCTGTGCACAACAACAACAAGCCACGGATCTTTACAATGAAAAGGGCTTGTATCAAAGGGTCTTTGTGGAAGGGAGAGGGAGTATGTGTGTGTGTGTGTGTGGAAGAATCTTGGATAGGAGCACGTGCACAATGAAAGATGAAAGAGAACAATACACACACAAAGAAGGAGGATAGAGATGAAGAAGCTGCCCCCTTCTTTCATTATTATTATGATGACGATTGATGTTGTTGGATGTTGATGGGTGATGTTGGTGTTTTATATGATCTCATGATATCAATAGACAATGTAAGCATTGGGCGATGTACTCTATTGCATAAATGGTGGTGAGGAGGGATCGACATGCAAAAAGCGGGTTCCTTGCCAGTGTGCTACTTTAGGCGCAGTTTTGTACCACCTAAGAACGAATGACACAGCCCAATCTCTCCTCGCTCTCTCTTTCTTTTATTACATTTCTTTAATCCAGCCCTCTCACAACCTTTCTCTATCAGCAACACAAAAATACTCACATGGTTTCATCACCGTTCTCAGGTCGGCGTGGTCTTGTGAACCTATTTAAAGACGCGAGCCGTAGTCGAAACAACTCTCAGTCTTCTCTGCAACTCGACAACACCTCATCGCAACCCACATCCTCGTCTCCACCACAACCTCAAATGTCTCGTAGTCAATCATTGTACCACCATTCACGAGCACCCGTCGCGCCGCCTCATTCCACCGAATCGCTCTCTGATCGCCCTTTACCGAGTATACCAACTTCGCCATCAGGTCTCAATAGTCGTTCCTCCTCACGAGGAGTAGCTCCCGACTCCAAATATGCTACACCACCACAACCGCAACGACGTACCAAAGATCCAGCAGCAGCTCTCCCTCCTACTCCTCGTCAGGCAAAATCAGGTCATGGTGTCCCTTTAACCACCAAATCAAAGGATACATTTTATAAGCGATTATCACGTGCTGCTGTTGCTGCTTTCAATGCTCCAGAAGTTGGTAATCATCATCATCACCACAACAACAAAAAGGCAGTAGAAACGGATCAGGATTTGGCAGAGACGTATACAGCTTACTTGTCATTGGAGAGCAGTGATATCTCTTCTTCAGAAACAAGCAACATCCATGGTGGTGGTCCATCTCCTTCAATGCATGACAACAACCATTCTACAGAATCCAGGAAATCCGACAACAACAACAACAACAACCCTACTCCTTCTACGACCACCACCACAACGAATGACAGCAACAAAAAGAAGAAAAAGGGAGAAAAGGAAGATGAACAGCAGCAGCAGCAGGATGGAGGAGGAGGAGGAGGACTTGAGGAACGATGTCAAAAGTTACAATACATGTTGGATGCCAAGGAGAGCGAGTATCAAAAGATCTCTACGAATTTCCATAAACATATGATGGTAAGCGAAAATAGCAATAGGATGATGGTGGTGACAGGAGGCTCATCTGTGCTACGTAGTCTATTCGTGCCACCGACGACGATTATAGTACCATTCGCAGTAAATTGACCATGCTCCAATCCAAGATTGCTGCGCTTCCACTTGCTTTGAAAAAGAACGCCGTCGACCCAATGACGATCACCCATTTCTTTTCGCAAACATGGCCTGATTTATCCCCTGCGATGGATGCATTGACCGACAAAAAGACCAAAGCGCTTGGATACAATATGATTTGCATGTTTGTGGAAAAGTTGATTATGCAAGAATTGGTCCATTCCATTTACAATGTGCCGGTTTACATTGGATTACCTGCCAACGATGCTTTTGTCGAGATCACGAGATACATGGATTCATACGATCATGACTGGTCTGTGCGTTTACGGCAACAATTATGCAAGTTGGCTCATCGATCTTCCACCTCAACCCAACAACAAGAGGGTGATTCTTCTTCTTCTTCTACGGCAGAGGCAAAATCCATCGCCGACGCCAAACAGGACCTTGTCAATCGGCTGGTAAAGCTGTTGCTACACGTTTACAATGATTCAAACGCTTTGGAAAATCGCGTATCCAAGTTGGTGGAAACAGCAGCCGAGTTAAGTCTTGCCATGCATAGTCAAGAATCAGCCGTGGATCCTCTTGTCATTGCTGAAGGAACCGATTCACTGGATGAGGATCTTATGGTCACACAAAATGGCTCCGTCGACAACAGCAAAACCGTTCGCATCGTCATTTCACCACCCTTCGTATACAATGAAACGAATCGTCAATGTGTCCTCATGAAAGCCAAGGTGATTTGCTTTTAAAAAAAATACCAACTTGTATCCGTCATCAATCATCCTCATCCTTCCGTTTACTACATCACCTACTTTTACTTACTACCTCGCTCTTTCACCTTTTCCCCTCTTATACTCTCTCTACTGCATGTCTAAATAGAATCATATTGCTTATCATTGTTATGTGCAGCTCTACAACAATCATTCACTAAATCGCATCTTTTTATTATCATTATGATGTCCTCTTTATATAAGGTTTGAGTACCTGCAGCGACCTTACATCAGTACGTATTATGCGATGCAGATCATTGGTGCAACAATTATATTAGATATCATTAATACACATCCAAGAGACTTATAAAGACTACTCTATTACTATTTACTCCTCCCCATGTGCACACGATGCTTTTGATGATCGTAATGAACGGTAATGGGTGTTGGCTTTGGACCTTTGTCCCACCATTCCTGGCATGAGTACTCCTTCCATTCGTTCGTAGTAGTGGTATCACAAGACCTTCTTCCTTGTAGCCTGAACTTCGTAGTGAATGGACCCGTGGTTGGATTGAAGCCCGAGTACGTGATTTTAGGCCTCCATTTGCTTCGACTAAGAATACAAAATCGCAGCAGGTGTTCCTTGGCTTCCTTATAAGTGACCGTAGGATGTGCGAGATTCAAATCGATCAATTGTGGTAAAAGCGACAATGCCATTGTAATAAGAAGCAAGTTTTCGCTGCTATTCATCACGCTTTGATCATCGTACAGGTGAAAGGATGCATGCGTTAATCGAGTTTGCTGTGTATGTTGAGCCCAAGTGATAATCCCTGCTACGCTCAATGCGTTGGATCGGCCAATGACAAGCCGTGACAATGATGTGCATCCGTTCCCCACTGATTCCAGGATACCATCGTTCATCAATCCTCCCAGATGTAATTCGATCGTCTGTAAACGTGTTGCTCCTTGAGTCTCAAAGAGATCGGATATGCTTTGTGATACATGTTGATAATCATCTTTTTCTCTCACGGATATGGATGTTGGGCACTCGAGATAGAGATGGCGTAACGTTGACGATTCAGTGGTATGCATCATGCTCGCAAGTGTTGCATATACATCGGTCTCATACAATGCATGGCTCTTTAGAGAAAGGGAATCAAGGCATGGACATGCTCGTAAGAAATCGCAAAGCTGACGGCTGGTGTAAGATTGCATAATCCGATTTGGCGAATCGTGAAGAGTCAAGTATCGCAAGCGTTGACATGATCCAGGAAAGACAAGGGGTGGTATTGGCTGCGTATCCATAATGCGAACAGGTTTACCAATACGCAATACAAGCTTGTGAAGGGTGGTGTAATGCTTCTCAATCATCTTTTGCAATGTGGTGTTATACCCAGCTGGTGGGATCATCATGCACTTCAAAACTTTCAATCCAGGGCCATCACGTGACATGGCATCATGTTCAAAGGGATCATCCCTGTATGCTGTGTTGATACTGATATGCTTGATGTTGGGACAATGCTGGTCGACTTGTTCAAGGATATCGTTTGTAAGCAAATCAAATCCACCCAATAGCGGAGATGAGTAGCTCTCGTCAAACACCAATTCCTCGAGATGGGGACATTGGGATACGATCGTTGGTAATGCTGAAGTGAGCTTAATGGCGGATAGAGCAAGGCGTGTCAAAGGAAGGCGTGGAGGAAGTTGAACCGGCAAGCCGATTTCAATAGGAGCAGCAGGCGGTAGTGATGAGAGGTGCGTTGCCATGCAACACAATTCTTGAAGCTTGGAACACGTGATGAGTAGTGTGGAGAGCCATGCTTTTGCAATCGAGGTTGACAAGTTGCCTTGTAACCATACACGCTTGAATGTTTCCTTGTTCATCAAGACGAGTTCATCAAACCATGCTTCGATCACGTCGTCCTTTTGTACATCATACACTTTTTCAATTCATGCATCAGCTAGATGTAGTAGTAGCAGCAGCCTTTGCGTGTGTGTGCGCGAATAAAATACCTACCCATTGTCTCAATTTGCCTACATCCATGCTTTACGATCCTTGGTCCAATGTCTTTGTGGCCAAATGTAGTATCATGAATAGTGTAGTTGTTGTCTGATGACCGAAATGACAAATGGCGTATCTTGTCACGAGGTGCATGCAGGAGTACTCTGTTCAAATCTGCGTTGCTGATATCGTCCTTGTTGTCACATGTGACTACAATAACAATTGTGTCCCACATATCCTCCCACTCATTTAGCAGAAATTCGCGCCAATAACGGCATGTATCTGCCAGTTGCAACCTCGATTCCAAGGTCATGTATGGTAATGCCAGCCTCAATATGTCCACAGGTAGAGTGATTGTAGTCGTCGTGGTGGTGGCTGTTGTCATTTTGTATAAAAGAATGGTAGGTTCCCGCGAGAGAGAAAAGAGTAAGAAGAGTAAAAAAAAGAAAGGCAACAGGAGAATCGTCTTTGTAGAGCAGCTAATTGTTACACCTGGATGATCTTCGTGTCACATTTTCATTTTCCCTTTTATTGATAAAAGCTTAATAACCACTATCACTACCATCACTACCATCACTACCATCACTACCATCACTACCATCATTACTATCACTACTATCACCAGGGTACAGTTCTTCAAACTTTACCTCACCATGGAGATTGACGATCATTTGATAGTAGTCGGATGATTCAACAAGTATCTCAATCGTGTATGTATCCTGATCAGTCTCAATGCATGTATATACTAGACGATCTTCTTCGCTGGTGGCCCAGGGCGAGGCGTAGGATATCTTCAAACGCAATGTGTTGCGACTAGCTGGAAAAAATCGAGCAACGGTGTTTCGTACACGGCGATATTTGCAGTTGGCGGTGATATCGACATTGGTAAGGTATGGGAGCGTGGAAAATACGAGTATATCGATCATCTTGGTAGAGTCATTGCAAAGATCAATCGAGAGGTGTGTCAGTTGAGATTGTCGCATATCCTCGGCGAAGTCTAAAAGTCCACCCGTTGTAATCTTGTTCCCTTTCCCAATACGTAACCGAGTAAGTACGTGTTGTTGCTGCTTGTCGTAACGTCCGATGGCCCTGAGTACTCGATTATCAACCCAACGACCCATATCAAGATCGACAATAGAGAGCAGTTTCATTGTATGATCCTCAAAGACACGGCACAATGAGCCAATAGCCGCACCACGATATTGCTTTTTATTCCCTGCACGTTGCTCGCATTTATCCGTTTCATGATTCACCAGACGTAATACGCGTAAACGTTGTCGATCAAGCTTATCGGCGATGGTTTGAAGCACCTCAGCGGCAAAGCAGTCGATCAATTGAAGATATTCAAGCGAATGGCATTTTTGAATGATGGAATTCACCGTGCCGATCGATAGTGATAATTGGTTGATATCGGAGTCGCTCATATGCCCGTCATCTTGTAGAGCAATGCATAAATCACGCACTCTGGGAATATCAAGTTGACTCAATCGCTGTAAATATCGCATGGGACGACCATCATTCATTGACCAAGGCACCAATCCATTGTGCACCATTGATATCCTCCCAAGTGTTGTGTGATGCTGCTCGATAAATGATGTTAAAGCCTGGTCACTTTGGTTGTCTCTGTAATGATCCGTCGATAGCTGGAATGAAAGCGATTGTAAACCAGATGAAGTCGTTGTCGGATGCCAGTGCTCGTAAGTTGATGGTTGTGGATTGATTTCGACCTTTTTAATCATCGGACAATGTCGATCAATGGCTGTCAACATTCGACACAAGAGCCGTTCGTTGTTGGTATCATCGTCATCGTCATTTGATCCAATTTCATAGTCATCGAAGCTGATCTCTTCCAAATAAGGGCAATGGAGCAATATCTCTGGGATGCATTGAGCAATGGATGGTGATGTTGCTGATATCCGAACAAGTGGGATCGTCAATGATGCAAGCAATTGGTAGTCGGCAAGTGATATTGAGGATGTTGGCATGAGTACTGATCCATTGCTAGAGTCCTTGTATCCAACACAACGAAAAGTCTCAAGGTTTGGACATGCACTTAAAACCAGGTACATCCACCCTTTGGAATATTGCACCGTCTCTGATTCATAAAGCTCCACTCTTTTCAATGTCGTCTTGTTCATCTCCACCAGCTGATGAAACCAATCCCATGGTGCCACATCCCTTTCAGCATAAACTAGTATACCCCAAGTAAGTGAAACACAATACCAGCTTGGATTAGGGTGTTGATACAATACCCAATGATTCTAGTTGATTCCATTTGTTGGTAACGAGCCGCTTGCGTGCATTCCAAGGCATTCCAGCATCAATAATCAAATGTCGTACTTTGTGACCAGGGATGGTTGATAGCAAACGCTCCTTTTGATCACCGAGACAAGTCAATCGCACCGTATTCCATAAACCCGGCCAAAATCTGAAAACGTACGTATTCCAATGCTTGCATGTCATTGCCAACTGCACTTGGGACTTGATGGGTAACAATGACAATATTTGATCGATGATTTCCCCTGATAGCCGCTCGCTGATCCAGCTATTGCGTACAAGCACATAGTGTAACACCTTGCGTCTCATAGATTGTAAATCCTTGTATCCTGCCATATCGACATTCGCATTGGCACACCCCTCGTCACATATTAACAACGCGTCCCTGAGCATGTCTTGTTTGAGATATAAGTCTGCTGCAAGCAAATAACCACGAGGTTCGATAGGATAACGTCCAATAGCCTTGAGAACGTCGTCAACAGCAAGCTTCAGTTCACCAACCGCCTGATGGGCACGCGCACATTGCATGTGAATCTTGAAGGGGAGCATCGTGTCAATGTCGTGCATAGCCGATTGGTAGTGTCCAAGAGCCTTTGGGTATAACGCATTGTCGAATGCCGAGTCTGCAGCTGCCAATATCTGCTGAAGATAACCGAGATCGAGCTGCTGTTCTTTCAAGTTGTGTTGGGTACTGCATTCAACCATTGGAGCGGTTGGTCAAATAGCTGCTGGAGGAGAGTGTGCGGAAGAAGGAACCAATTCCACAAATGGCAAGCACAAGCGATTAATGCAGCAAGTAGAATGAGACACCGACACATGGTTCATTCATACATAAAATAGCATAGTCATTGTGTTGCTTTCTTTGTTGTAATAATAAACCAGCCTCAGCATACTTAAACCCATATTTATGTCCCCTATAAAATCACCCCTTTCAGCCGCAGGTGGATCACTTGGACTCAATGCTCCAAGATGCTTGACCACCACTATCAGTTTGATCCATCATGACATCAATCCCACGCCCACTCACATATAAATAAAAGGCTGTTGTCATCATCACCAATACTATCATACGCCCATTCTTGCTACTTGTATGCATATCATCAATCATCAATTTGACCGTGTTCTTTGGTGGGCTCTTTGTGGTAGGTATAGCTATCATTGACAGGCAAAAGGCAACCCCATTCTAATGGGAAATTTGGAACTCCTTTGTAGGTGACATAAATACACATATGCAACACCCAAATCAGTAAGCGTTATCCTATTTGGCACACTCAAGGACATGAAACACGCCACCTGTTGGCTCTCTCACACACAAACACGTTGATTGATTTACTTCCTTTTTGAAAAGAAAAGGTCCTAGCGATAGTGTCTTAAAAAGCGACCCGTGGTATTTGGCTGGACGGAGCGATAGTCATCTGAAAACTCAAGTTTAAGGCGTATGAGGACTGGTCGAGACACCGAATAGAACACAGATGCTGGGTCTTGAAACTTGGCGTTCCTTGGATTGCAATTTTGGTGATACTTTGAAAAATGCAAAATGTCGCGTTCCAAGCCGATGTTGATGTAATCCAATGCCCGGTATGCCATATCGATCGAGTACCTTTCTTGGGCAAAAACATGAATGATGTTGATAAGCATGGTAGTTTCGATTCTTTCGGTTCGCAATGGTGGATCGATTTGCTCAAGATAAAAACACAAGTACTTCAAGGCGAGATGATGGTTTGGTGCATGTCGAACAAGACTGCAAATCGCACGCTGAAAAGAATTAACGGCAACCTCACGATACGGCGTACAACTGTATCGTGGTAACGTGCCCTCCTCGTGGTATGGCGATGGTGGTGGCGTCGTCTCTTCTTCTCCTCCCGTGGATGTTGAAGCAGCAACAACATTGCTGGAAGGCTGTTTAATAAGACATGGTCTTTTGCCCATAGGGTCGCTCAATCCCATCGCATCCATGAGCTCGTGAAAGACTTCTTCAGCCATAAAGTAGTTTTGCTTTGATTCTTTTAGGAGTGCAGTAACCCTCTTGGCAAGATCACTGCACCTAAAATCGAGAGATAAAGTCATATTGGTATAATAAACACTGTCAAACGTGAGGGAGAAGTGGAAAAAAGAAGACAACAGCAACCACAAATTGGGATGGACATCTATTATGATCATTCCCACGTCCTCGCTTCATGTGGCTGTAGGCCTACTACATGTAGCACTTTGGTAGCCATGGTGACGCCACCACTTTATCAATTGTGAGGGTGATCACACGACCAATTGAAATGTATCAATTAATGCTAGCTAACGTCTTTGCTACATGATGTATGGATTTTACTTTTAAGATGAAGATGAAGATGATGGCCAAACGATGTTTTATTTTTGTTGCCAGGTTATTTTGTTGCCAGGCTACCTTTCCTTTAACGTTGTCCTTCGCTAAAAAGCCAACATTATTAAATGCAGGATGATGTTCACCATACATCAGGCAATAATACGTAGTAGCTAATACCGAGGAACCAGTATGGTAGTGTATCCGATGACATAAGGAAGAAGAAAAAAAGGGAGAACGTTGCATATAGATATACGCCTTGCATGGTGATAGTAGATGAAATACATCTACGCATAATAACAAAGAGTGAATACAAGGGCGGGAAGCGGAATGGAGAAGACAACAGAAACGGCAGCAGCAGCATTGCCCTTATGCAGGGAGGGGGATTGATGTACCAAGGCTGCTGGCGGTGGTGGTGCAGGAGAAGTGAGGAGGGGAAAATACACGCTAGAATGTACGCCAGCAGAATACCAAGCTATGGACCACGCAAAGTAATGTCATAACAACAGCAGCAGGTCAATGCTTATGGAGTGTCCCATTTGAATAAGGGGCTTAATATCAGAAATGGTTCCACCACAGCAAGCGGAGAAATGGAGCTGGTATGGGTTTTTCGTTCCTAAATACCCAAACACAAACACATCGATCTGGTTTTCTTTTTGCCACATGCATGCTACTACTACACGTAATGTATCATCACGCTTGATCTTTTCACTGTATTTGTAACACCCACTTGTGGGTGTTATCAGCAATGCTGTATCACTTTCTGCAAGTCTATGTTAATGGATTATCCGAAAGGTTAGGTTGATGACATACATACGTGTGATTGAGAATACATAGCATTAGTGAAAGGGGAAGGCCTAGCCTATGTAATCGGTCTCTGCACAGGCGGATGATTTTTGCGTGGACAAAGGGAGCGTTCCCCTTTTCGCAATCCCTGAATTTTTGAGCGTCGTCGTACGTTTCCTTCTTATCCCTTGTTTCGCACATCCATCGTCGACCTCACACACACCAACTGCAGTGTCGGATCACAAATGTGTGCAGTATATTCAAGGAGGCAACGTTTACTATAGTCTCATCGATTGCTAGTGGTTCACCCCCCTTCCCTAAGCAGATCTCCAGCACACATTTTCTATCCCCAACTATTATGACCCCCTCTTGTTTCTAGTTAGATGTTAAGATAAGCACAATAAAAGCCGTTGGCATTTGGTTGTCGTTTTGTAGAACGACTTTTTTTGATGTAAAATGGCTTACAATAGAAAAGATGAATACAAAAAGCAAAGGGGCAACAAGACGACGGTGGTAGTATCGTGCTGTCAGAAATTTTATGATTCAGATCCCAGTAACTTCTTCCACATGCAAAGCGAGAATCATATAAAAAGGACTAGCTTTTCTCCCGCTTCCCTTTTCCTTTCCCCTCACGCGCCCTGTCGAAATTAACGCACCACCACGCTCATCCTTTTGGTTGTCTAATATCTATCATTTGTCGTGACCAACGGCTATTGTTCTTTTTTTCTTATTATACATCATTCATACATTTGTTGTTGTTTAATTCTCAACCTTGATCACGTCTTATCCTCTCTCTCTCTCTCTCTCTCCTATCAATTCGCTTAATACAATGCCCGAAGCCGATGATCAATCCAATAATTCACCATCAGCTCACGACTTTCCACAACCACCAACCACTACCGCTGCTGCCGCCAATCCATCGACTCAACAACAACAACAACAACACTTGAACAACAATGATGCTGCTGCTGCTGCGATCGATGAATCGTTGATGTTAGAAAAGGGAGCTCCAATGCCACCACGAAAGTTCTACCGACAAAAGCGATATTGGATCGTGTGTTCTATCATTACATCCATCATTGTCGTTGTGATTGTATTGCTTGCTCTATTTGTCTTTTACCCAATGATTGCTCAATTCTTGATGAATCAATCAGGCATTGAGGTGGGCGATGCAAGGATTACGTTTGATCCACCCAAGGATAATCTTCAAAAGCGAGGTGTGGTGGATGCATCATCGATCACGCCTGCCGCCGATCTTAATTCAACCTTTTTCATGTCCATGGCAAGTGATTTGACAAACACGGGCCCTTTTCCCGCTGCATTGCATTTTCACAACCCCATCAACGTATTCTACAATGACACGCTACTTGGAAAGATGACGCTACCTGACAGCAATATTGCGCTTGGCAAGGGGCATATTGATGCTGTCACCCCATTCGAGATTGCAAATACAACATTCTTTGCGCTTTTTGCAAAGGAGATGCTGGCGGTTGAAGAATTCAAATGGCGTCTCAAAGGAAAGCTTGATATTACTGCATTAACTAGGTACGTTGTTCGTGTACAATAATGGGGTCTATTACGATTATCCTCACGCATTGTATCCTTTTACTAGAACTGCTACGGTGGATCTTGATAAGGAAATCACTATTGCTGGCAAGTCAATGAAGAGGATCATAAAAATTGCTCCCATGCTATCACGATGCTAACATTAGCTAATCATAGGCATGGGTGGTTTCCCCAATGTTAAGATTGAATCATTCAAGCTGCCAGGGGATGATCCAAATGGTGGCATCTTTGTTGAGCTGGGTACAGTGCTTACAAGCCCATCTCCTGTGAGCGTGCAATTAGGCACGATTTCCATGAACATTGCATACGATGGTGTTGGTTTGGGCGTTGTCTCTGCACACGATGTGGTGTTGAAGCAAGGCGAAAACCATATTTACCTCAAGGGTACGCTTGTTCCACAAACGGATCAAGGTTCACTTGACAAGGTGGGAACCTTGTTTTCCAACTATATTGCTGGGCGTGTATCACAAACACAAGCATCCGGTGTATCTGCAGCACCCAATGGTGTTGATTCTGTTGGCTGGTTGAGCGAAGGTTTCCAGTCCGTCAAGCTAAATGTGGGCCTTAGTGCAGGTGCCCCACTTGATATCATCAAATCGGTACAATTGGGCTATCTTGATTTGGCGTTTAGCAATGACAAGCCGTATGCACCGATTATGTCAGCACCCAATGTAGTTGCAGGCTTCCATATCCCATTTGGTTTCTCGCTCAACATCACCCAAGTGAAACAAGATTTGGAGTTAGCCAACAGGGAAACGAACACAAGCTTTGCACGTATTTCAACGCCATGGATGCCAAGTGTGTGCGACCAACAAGCAGGAAGGTTATCCTTTGGCATGGCCAATGATTCACTTGAAGCACTTGATGGTCGCAAGCACGAGTTTAATGACTACACGTACGCATTAACGGCAAAAGACATGTACAATTTTTTGATCCGAGGACATGCAACGACGCAAACACAGACACCCATTGGCAATATTACGCTTGAAGGCATTGGTTTAAATGTAACGACTGGTTTGCATGGCTTACAATTCCTCAACAGCACGCCAACTATCATCCACGGCATTGATGTCATTGGGGGCCAACCTGATCATTTGGAGCTTGCTATCAACACAACGATGACCAACCCATCCGATTTTAGCATATACACTGGCAATGTGGCGTTTGATATGAAAGCCAATGACACCAGGCTTGGAACAGTGTACTTGAATGGGTTGAAGCTTAACCGTGGATCCAACACCATGATGGCAGCAGCGGCTTTTGATCCGAAAAGCTCGTCGACGGGGCAACAGCTATTGAGCACGTTTGTGATGGGCCAAGACAACAGCGTTGGTATTACCGGATATGATCAATCGACGTCTATTGCTTCATTGGCTGATGCGCTTGGTGCCATTTCCCTGACGACCACACTACCTGGATTGAAGACACCTCTTATCCAATATGCCAAACTTGTTGTCATGAATGATACCATACAAACCAGCATTGTGCATGTGCAAGTGGGTATAGCCAATCCATTTACGGCCAACATCACCATCACAAGCGTCAAGTCAGCTGCTTCCTATCATGGTATGCCCATAGGCAACATTGATCAGCCCATGAATCCTCCTTTTAATGTGCCTGGTCATGCAACGGCCAACTCCTCTGATCTCGACATGAGGATGAATTTGGAGCCTTCCGCTGTTGCCTTGTTGTTGCGTGATCTTGCCGTGCGCTCACAAATGGATACACGTCCTCTGGATGCATTATTGACCATGGGTGGATTCCATATCAAGGGCCAAGAACAAGTGAATCCTGATCCAGCGTTATTCCAAGGATTCAATATTTCATCCTATGTCATGCAAGCGATGCAAGCCTTGGTTGTGGATTTGCAACTTGAATCGGGATTGACCATTGGCGCCTATGACGACCTCTTGCGTTTTGCGCAAAACAATGTGCCCATTTTGACCGATGACACGGTGACACGGCTGATCCCAGTGGTTGGTTTACCCATTGTGCAACAAATTGTGGATGGTGCCAAGCTTGAATTTAGCACTGTGACCTTGTCTGAGCCCACGGATACGGGATTCCATTTGCAATTGGCAGGCTCACTTAGCAACACGGGACCCATGGCAGCCAACATTAGCTTTGCACAACCATTGAACGTCTTTTGGAAAAAAGGTACCGATGCAGAGATTTTGCTTGGTACAGTGGCCATGGATGCGATACAAACACAGCCTAATATCGGTGCCCAATTCAATGTGAGTGGTCAATTTGCCATTGCCGACGCTCAACGTATGGGCGAATTTGCTGCCTATCTTATCAACAGCGATGAGTTTGTGTGGGATATCGTGAGCCAAGGTGGGGTCAATGTTGATGCCATTGGATACGTCTTTACGGGTATCAATATGACTAAGTCGGTGACACTCAAAGGTGCTCAAGGTTTTAAAAATTGTGTCGCCATCCATTCATTTGATCTACCAGCCAATGACCCTGCAGGTGGTATCCAACTTACTGCCCAGACTGAAATCAGGAATCCTAGCCAAGTTGGATTTGTATTATCAGGTGCTGCATTCGAATCATTCTTTGACAACACGTTGTTGGGTCCTTTGGCATCGGCTGGTGATGCTGTATTCCCAGCTCAAGGCACCAGCAACATGAAAATGAATGGCCGGCTTATCCATCAAGATTCTCAACAAGGCCTTGATGCTGTTACAGAGGTGTTTTCAAATTACTTGGCGGGCAAGTCTTCACCCTTAACGGTGAAGGGTGTATCTGGATCGGGTGCCAATGGACCTGTGGGATGGCTGACGACTGGTTTCAAGAGCATTAGTATCGACAATGTTACACTTCCAGGCCCTGATAAGGTGCCGGAATTGATCCCATCCATCACGCTTGATGATATGCAACTTGACTTTACTAAAGAAGCGTATGCACCTATCGCTGGATCAAACCACGTGCGTGCTCAGCTCAAGAATCCCTTCGGCTTTCCACTCACCATCAGCTCACTCAACATGGATGTCGATGTATCCTATCAGAATCAACGTACAGCTCATATGCATATCCCTGATGTACCTTCATCCACTGATCCTCAAGGCGTTATCAATACGGCATTCTCAAATGTGCCCTTCAAAGTCGATGACAGTGCCCACGGCGTATTTAATGGATTTACAAAGTCGCTTACCGAAAGTAACAGTGTCACATTTGGCATGGCTGGTAGTGCCAATTCGGTGGCAGAAACAGCTGTTGGATCACTCAAGCTGCACAATATTACGTACAATGTCCAGACCTCATTGAATGGTATGTTGATCACCATTATCTTTTATGTGGGATGCTCATTATTATGATCTTTAGGTTTCAACAACTTTGGTGGAAAGACGACTATTGTTAAGATGGTTGTATCTGGTGGCACAAAGGAGGTAGGTTAACAAAATGTGCTTCAACAAAGTGGGTGAATCTAAACGATGAATGTTCTAGTACATTGAGGTTTCATTGACCGTTTCATTTGATAACCCATCCAATATTACGCTCAACATTGGTGATCTTGATTTTGATGTGGTGATGAATGAGAACCAGGTCACGATTGGTCAAGTGCATATGAAACAAGTTGAGCTGAAGCCCGGCACGAATACGCTGGATGCTATTATGCATCTTCACAATGACGACCACAAGGACGTGATTGATCATGTGGTGAGCATTTACATGACCGATTCGCAAGTAGCCTTACGTATCCAAGGAACACCTGCCTCCACTGTTGTTGAGTCTCTCAAGGATGCCCTTGCCACGGTGCATATGGATACAGTGATGCATGGTATCCAACGGCAGCTGATTCCCAAAGCAGAGGTTCAAGCACAAGCAACCGTTGTGTTGAGCAAGCAAGCCAAAGCTTGGATCACCCTACACAATCCTCTTGGTACACCGTATACACTCTATAAGGCTCAAGTCGATGTCACCAATCCCAATAATGGCAACCCCTACAAGATGGGCTCAGTGGATTTTGTGCTCCCCGAACCACTTAAAGTTCCTCCTGGTCAAGATGTACGTACAAGTGAATGGCCAGTGGATATCGATGCCAATGCTTTGCATTTATTGGGTCTACTTGGTGATGGTGAATTGGATCTTGACTTGCAACCCAATGTCACTGTCACGGTGGGAGAGAACGATGGAACAGGGTATTACACTTCTTTCTATTACTATCAAGACAAGGTGCCAGCATCCTTGGATATCCAGGCCCTTGGAATTTCACTTCCCAACGATGAAGATGCAAAGAATGGTACTCTTCTTGGTGGAATTTTATAAAAGTGCATAATAAACATGTGTGATTTTTGAGTATAACAATGGGGTACTACTATCTATGGGGTTATATGTATTAACTTGGTAGTCATTGTGCTAAGCAAGTAGGAGGAGGAGGAGGAGGAGGAGGAGGAGCGTACAGCAACAACGCATGATGGGAATTTGGTCGGAAGTGGTCCGCGTGTATCAGATCTTCTTCCACTTTCCCAAAACAACGACACAATGTCTTCAGCTGAAAAGGACTACAACGATATGACACCCGAGGAACGTGAGGTACACGATAAGGCTGCTCGCGAGAAAGAAGAGGCCGAACAAGCTCAATTGCCTTACAAGTAAGCACTTGATTGGGAGTTGGCATTGGCAGCGTTTGACATTTAGCAAGGTGGCGACAGACATTGCAGGATGTTGATGTGACCATTCCTGTTCCCAAAGGCACCCGTGGACGTGATTTGCAAGTGGAGCTCAAGAAAAAGTATATCAAGGTGGCATTGAAGGGTCAATCGCCACTTATCGAGGCAAGTCTATTATCTCTGTATGCGTGTTTATCTATTCGATCTCATGGATTTGGGTGCGTGTATGTAGGGCGAGTTATGCAAAGAAATCAGGGTTGATGATAGCACTTGGACACTTGGTAAGAAGAAGAAAAAGAGTACAATTGATGATACAATGTATTGATGGTCTCTATTAGACAACCAGCAAGAAGTATCGGTGCATTTGGAAAAGAGCAATCAAATGACATGGTGGGAGAACGTCGTGACAAGTGCACCCAAGATTGACACCAAAAAGATCCAGCCTGAAAACTCAAAATTGGATGAATTGGATGGCGAGACACGAGCCATGGTGGAAAAGATGATGGTAAGTGTAGAGAGAATGTGTGTTATGGTAGGATGAATTTTAATTGGTGTGCCTATCTAGTTTGATCAGCGTCAAAAGGCGATGGGATTGCCTGATAGCGACACTTTAAAGAAGCAAGAGATCTTTAGCAAGTTCAAGCAACAGCATCCTGAGATGGACGTAAGTAAAAGGAAGAGGAGGAAGTAAAAGGGAGCAAGAATATGGTTTGCTGACATGAATGCAATGACGTTTTTCCAGTTTAGCAATGTAAAGTTTGAGTAATTGAACAATGGTATCATAGCTTTATACAAGTAGTGCTCATTGTGCATGTGCGCGTGTGTGTGTATTTGTTGGGGGATGGATAAGGAAATACATGTTCTATATATGCAATGTCTTTGAATAATGGAGGAGGAGGATAATGGGGGTATGTTAAGAAAAATCCCATATGGATTCTTTCGAGACTTTGGCCTTTTCGACAATGTATTTGTTTTCTTTGTATTTCTGCGCTTCCTCAAAGGCATGCAAATACTTCCATCCAATCTTGGTTGCACAGACTTTGCAAGAGATATCAGCGACTGTATGCATGCCGGTCATCAACATTCGTTCTTCCTTGACGCCTATCGAGACATTGACCACCCTATCAACTAGAAATGCTGGCCCATGCTAAAGAAGGAACAATGAGCTATCGTAGAAAATAGGCGTTCCTTTGTAATAAAACTCACTCTCCCCTGAAAGGCTCTGGAAATAATACCGTCATGCGAAAGTAAATGGGAATGACAAGTGCTGCATGTGTAGATGCGATTGTCTGAAAGATAGGTGGGGTGTCGTTTGCTCACCATGTTGTTGATGTATTTTTTGTACTTAACGAGGTGAAGGATATTGGGAAGGGTACATGGCCAAGGGGAGACACAAAAAAGATGATATGGCGTAAAGGCAGTTGAGAGAGAGGGAGGCATGGTGCCTCTTTTATATATGTATACAGCACACGTACCATGAGGATCACATGGATCACCGGCTTGTTATCCAGCCCTTGAAATATACATCTTCTTTTGCTCATATCTTTGTCCATTAAAATACATGCATTCATTGCTGTAATGACTCGTACTACCCTTTATGCAATCACAAAAACATTATTAGAGACGTTGAATGTTGTGAAGATCCATCATAACATCAAGATGTTTTATCAGCCGTTGATGTCTGCAGGACAGCAACTGAGCCACGAGGGATGATCATAAGATCTCTCTGTGTGTGTATTCGTGTTTCCACTTTTTCATCATTCATCACCCAACAAATGCTGCATAAAGTTGTGCAAGTATACGTCAACATAATAGATAGAGGGCGGCAGGATCTGCACGTGGTTGCATAATCATGCAATTCCTTCTCTTTTTATATATATGCGTGTAAATCTATAGGGATAACAGGGTATTGACAAACTTTTCAATCTTATCCGCATCCTGCCGGGCCATTTCAATGACCATCAATAGCTTCTTGATACCAATGGCAAGACGTTGTTCCATGCCAGCTTGTTGCAATAACGACATGGTGCGTTGACGTTCGGCATCGGTGAAGAGTCCCAATTGCTACATAACAAAAGGAATGAGTTATCTTTGTTCATCGAGAAAGAGACACACCACAACTCGTATTTTACCTGTAACACAATGTCAATGCCTTCCAGGGACGTGATGGTGGGAACATAGATCTCGGAATTGAAAGCATCCGCCATATCCATCTGATCAAGAACCCGGCGTTCAGTTGTTGTTCCCAGAATCAGCAGACGACGATCCTATCACCGCATTGTAAACAAAAATTATCCATTTTACTGCCACAGCCCCATTTATCTTACTTTTGGTGGTTTCTTCTTGATAAGCACAAGTAACGCTTGCAAAACGGCATTGGAAAATCGTGGACCGATAGGTACCCAATCTATACATTGGATGATTAGATACGCTCTTTCTCTTACCACATGAACAACATACCAACAAGACGTTCGATATTATCAATCACAATGACACTGAAGGGTGACTTGTACGAGTCATTAAACACCTGATAGGAGAAGAAGAATAAGCAACATGCAACATTGTGCCAAAGCCAAAGGTTTACTTACCTTGTGGATCTCCGAGATTTTGGCCGACTCGGTCATTCCGACCATGGTTTCAGGGGAAATAAGCTTGATAAAAGGGAATTCGCTTTCCAAAGCAATGGTAGCAGCCAATGCTGTTTTGCCACTTCCAGCAGGACCATGAAGTAATACACTGACCACGGGTGTGCGTGATGACTGACGAACCTGATCGACAAACAGCTTGCCATCGGCTAGTATTTGCTAAAGGTCGCATGTCAGTGGATGTAAAAAAACACAACACCACCTGCTTCCTCGGCTTTAATTTACCTCGATATGGGGACCAAAAGGAATAATGTGATTTTGAACACATTGCTGCAACTCGGTCTCCGATACACCAAATGCAGGAGGAACTTCTTGCAGGGCCGCTAAAAAGTCATCCATGTTCACCTTCATGTTTTCCACATCGGGTGCCACGCCTGCTACCGTGCCGACCTAAAATCACCATAAGTACATAAACATGTGCTTTTAGCACTCCTACTTACCTTGGTATGGCGACTAAAGGCATAAGAAGAAGCTGCTTTGACAACACCAGAGAGTTCAGCACCACTGTAATTTTTGGTCAGGTTGGCAAGTTCATCAAGGGATACGTCTGAATCCAAAATGTCATTATCACGCATCTGGACAACACCTCATTAATCACAAGGAAAGGATGATGCAGGGCGCCTCTCTCTCTCTCTTTTCTTTACCTTGCTTGTATGGATTTTGAGAATCTGCAAACGGCCATTTTCATCCGGCAATCCAATTTCCATATGAACCTCGAGACGACCTAGTATGTGCAGCAGCAACGTGTCATTTGCTGAATCCTCCTACATACATATCATGGGGGGTTTTTTCTTACCTGGACGCAACAAAGCTTCATCAATCATGTCCTTGCGATTGGTCATACCAATGATCAGGATGTTGTTCAGCTGATCTACACCATCCATCTAGTAGACAATAACGTTAATGACGTGATCCATTATCCTCCTCCTCGTCTCCTTACCTTTGCCAACAATTGGTTCACCACTGAATCACCAACACCCGTGCTATCACCACGGCTGCCACGCTGCTTGCAAATAGCATCCAATTCGTCGAAAATGATGATATGCAAACTTGATTCTTCTCCTTTGGACTTGTACTCGGCTTCTGCATCGGCAAAGAGCTTACGCACGTTCTCTTCACTTTGACCCACAAACTTGCTTAGGACTTCAGGGCCACTGACCACCTTGGGTTCTTGAGCGTTGAGCATTTTGCCGATTTGTCGAGCAATCAGTGTCTTGCCCGTACCAGGTGGACCATATAACAAAAGACCTTTGACATGTTGCACGCCCAATTTCTCGACAATACTGGGTGGGAAGATACGAGATGCAAAAGCACGTCGAAAGATAGCACTGAATTCCTTGTCAAGACCACCAATACCAAGATCCTCAAACTTGAAATCAGCCTTGATCAATTGCTGTGCCTTTGAACTAAGCGGTGGTGAGCCTACAATGTACAACATCCATGTGATGAATGATGACGCTTACGATTTCTTGGCACCCTTGAGACGGATGGTGGACTCGCTCGATTTGCTAAATTGGATCATCGTTTGACGCATCAAGACGCCGCAGGTGGCTCGTGAATTTCCTTCAGCATGAACATCAATCTCGCCCTTGGTTTGTCGCTTGAGCGTCTCCAATTCAACCACTTCCATATCCGTAATCTTGCATGAGAGATTGATACCATGGAACTCAAATACCAACAATTGACCCACGGAAAAGATTTGATTGTGAAAGTTCTAGAATACAAAAAAGGTAAATGATTTGCACATTGTTGCCATCTCTCTTTATATAAAGCCTTACATTGGAAAATGCCTCGCTCATCTTTTCGGTATCAAAATCATCCGTGTTCTGGGTACTCTTGCGCAGGAACCCAACTTCCACTTTGAGCATCGCAAGATAGATATCCACACCAGTAGCAAATGGGTCGTATGGCTTGACAGAGACTTCTTCATTCAATGAAAATTGGGCCCATCGTCGTTGCATAGCACTGGTACCGAGCACCCCTCGTTGCATAGTATTGTCTTGTCTGCATAATGTACCTCCATAAGCATACTTGTCATAGTTTCACCACCATCCATCCCCAATCAACCCAACCCTTACCTTGCAGTGAAAATATATTGATCGTTGACCAAAAGATAGTGTTCGCGTGGATCAATTTGACCCGGGGCAATGGCCACAACATTTTGCAGGGCATAACCATCGGTAGGCGACCTTTCGATAGTCATACGCAATGCACCATCGTGATGGCTGTGATGGTTGTGATGGGCTGTGTATGATGGTGGAGCACCGTGGGGCGATCGATAATCCATAGCAATGGTGGTAGTGGTGCGTGTGTGTGGTGTTGAAACAGTAAAGAGAGCAATGGTTGTGCCGGACTTGGTTGCCACGTTAATGACAGCCGGCAATGATTCGCTTTCATCCCATACTATGCACTAGAAAGGAAATCACAGCTCAAGTGTGCCAAGAATCATTATCCATACATAGCAATCCTCTAAAGCAAATGACACAAGACATGTTTTTATTTGCACAAAGCGCTTTAGATACAGTGAGATAAATGTTGGTTGTGAAAAAAAGAGGGAATTGTTCATAAACACACAAACAAACGAATGGTATATCAGACAACAAATGAAACAAGGAATAGTAGAAGAAATATAAAGGGAGAAGAAAAGAAAGATGAGTTCTCTATCGCGAGTTCATGAAGCCACTGATCCACGAAGTACGCTTATCACGGGTAGGAGATTCCACCATGGATTCTTCAGGTGCTACAGCTGCTGCACCGCCTCGAAGGGGCTTTGCAATGCGTCCAAAAGAAAGAGCTCCCATAGGTCCTTGCGACTTTTGTTGTGTGCGAGCTTGTTCCAATCGTTCACGGACAGCGGTCAATTGTGCTTCAAACTTTTGGTTTTGCGTAATAAGTTTCTCTTGAGCATCCTGCAACAAAGTCTCCAAGCTTTGAATGCGTTCGTTACGAGCAATCAGTTTGCGCTCAGCCAAAGCAACTTCCTTCTTGAGTGATGCATTTTGATCCACAAGCTATGTACAGATTGTATTAGCACCTTGAATAAGATCGATATCCCATCCATCCCATCACATGCATGAAAGAACTTGCCTGCTTTTGTACATTGGTGAGTTGCTCAAGATTGCGTTCAAGGAAAGCCATTTTCTTTTGCTGGGCCTTGTTGTTGCTGGCTTTAAGGACATTGTTGTAGTGTTCTCTCGTCTCATCAAGCGACATTTCAAGCTCGACCACACGTTCACAGCGACTTTGCAAATCACGCATCAACGCCTTCTTCATGACTTCAAAGTCGGCCAATTGTTGGGCCATAGACTTTCGCATACGCTCAAGATCCTTTTCCTTCTCACTCAATTCTCCATTGGCAGCAGGTGGAGGTGATTGCTCAGATAATTTGCCCTGTTTTGCGTGTGATGATGATGAATGTCAATAAAAAAAGGCCTTCTTTCACCTATCGCCCCCCATCTTACCTGAAGCTCTTCAATGGCAGCCTTGAGATCCACCATGGCATTGCTGATACGCTCACGGGTTTCAGACTTGAGATCCAATTCTTTCTTGAGTTCATCAATCTCCTTTTGATGTGCCTCCTTTTGTGCGAGATGCGTCGCTTCCATCTTGCTCTTGATATCAGATACCATTTGCTCGTTCTTTGCTTTGGTACCGGATTCCTCTTGTGCGATCGTCTTGTGCAACAATTCCTCATAATCCTTCTCTAATCCAGCAACGCGTGCCTCCAAGTCGTTCTTTTTACGCTCAATGGCCTCTTTTTCGAAATGAAGGTCGTTGATGGTCTTGGTGTGTTGATCAACGAGGACATTAGACTCGGCTAACTCCCGTCGTAAGGCCACCAACTCATCCGTGCTGATATTGTCACCATCCAACTTGCTAAGAGCATCTCTGATTTGACGCTCCTTTTCATTGATTTGGTTCTAACAAGGCATGTTTTAGACATACATATAATTATACCATGTCAACGAATGGTGTTTCTTACCGATGGGTCAAAACCAGACATCATCTGAGCCATCTTTTCAGCCTTTTTCTTTTCCTTGTCGGTACCAGTGGCATCCTTTTGAGCGCTTCGGACTTCAGCCAAGTTCTTTTTAAGCTCTTCCAATTCGGCTATCAGGTCTTGGTTGGCTTCTTTGAGTGATTCAACGGTGATGGCATTCTCTTTGCTCTCATAAGAAATCTTTTGCAGCTGCAAACGCAAATCGCTCAATTCGGATGTCATTTCTTGGTTCTCTTTGGTGACCAATTGCTCTTGTTCCTTGTAATAAGTCATCTCCTCCTTGAGTGATTCAAGTAGCTTTTCTCTTTCGGCAAGCTCGCTTTCCTATAATACATAAGGGCATTGTTAGGTGTCATTTCATTTAAAGATAATAACTTTTTACCTTTTCAGCGATTTGATCGGTGAGCTCGTTTTCACGTTTCATGTATTCTTCACGCTCATCCTTTTCCAAAACAACGGCTGGTGTGGAAGGACGAGACATTTCCTCGGTGACAGCAGGATTTTTAAATCCTGGAGCGGGAGGCAATGCCTTGAAATCGCCTTTGGAAACCTTATCCATGGTGACCCACTTGTCTTCAGGCACCTTGTTGCCGGTACGCCAGATGTTGACTTCGCCTTCAAGAGCAGCAATGTAGGATTGGAACGTGACAGCCTCTGACTTGACCTTTTTGAGCAAAGCCTTAAGTTCAGCAGGTGACAAGTCGGCATTGACCTTGGCCTTGTTCTTGATAGTCTTGGCACGTACACCGAAACGGAGGGTGGAGAGGGTTTCAGCTTCATTATACGAGGATGGCGAGCAGTTGATGATCAACGTGGTACGCGAGTTACCACCCAATGACTCTTGCAAGATACGCGTAAGCTTCGAATCACGATAGGGAATGTGGCTCGACTGAAAACAAAACGTGAAATAGCGTCAGCATACACAACTCAGAATGGATTAGAGCCGAGTTTGTTTGTTTTACCTTGCCATCGGTGAGAGCATTAATGACCATACCAAGAGCTGTAAGCGACTTGTTGATCTTTTTGGCCTCTTCCAATGTTTGGCCAGAAGCACCCGTTTTGCCCACCTGTAAAAGGGTGCATATGTTTGTGTCGTTAGAGCGAGAGATATACACTTTTAAAAGAGTGATCGATTTTTTTTACCTTTTCGGAACCAGCCAAATCAACCAGGTACAGTTTGCCACTCTTGGCAGCACCGGTATCCACATTCTTTTGAGTGATGGTGATTTGGACGATGGAGTGACTTCGGGAGCTTTCAGCGTTCATGTCTAATAGAATACATACATTAGCCCATGCAGATATGGAAGGAGTCCAACAGGGGGTGGTGGGTTTGCATATAGAGTTCTACTTTACTTGTATAGGCAACGACACGATTGTTACCGCCACGTCGCATGACCTCGTACACTTCTTCGCTGGAGCCGACATAGACTTCAAGTAGATCTTTGACGTAGATGCCCTTTTGCTTGTCTTCATGGATTGGAAGGTTATCTCTGGAAGCTGTATATGAAAAAAGGACGCGTGGATAAGCAAAACAAGGGCGAGCATCCAATGCAGGGACACGAATGATAACAACGTACGGTTTAGTAAATCTCGGACTCGCTCCATGTAGATTTCCATGTACGACACTCGCACTGTGAATTCAATGTTGCTCGGCGATTCCATGATGCTGGTAAAGATTTGCTCAACGATACGAGGTGTAATGCCTTTGGTCTTTTCATCGTCGATATCGGCGCCCTGAACAAGAAAAAAATCTCAGCCCAAAGGGATCACGATATGCATAGCGAGGATCAATGATATGCATACATACCATCATCGTATAGGTTTTACCCGAACCCGTTTGACCATATGCAAATACGGTGCCATTGTATCCAGCAGTAACATCTATACATCACCATCCGCTATGAGATAAAGGTATCATGTATGTATGCATCTTGTTGTGCTCATATTACCATCGACAATACTCTTGACGGAATAGTCAAACACGTCTTTTTGTGCCGTGTCGCTGCCATACACCTTATCGAATGCAAAGTGGCCTTGGAAATCCTTGCCCTGTAATATGGAACCCATTCCGATGAGCATTGTATACGTGTATATGGCGTTGACATGTCAGTCACCTTGAGCTCGAGAGAGGATCCTTCATCGCCAATGTCAATGATGGGCACACCGCCTTCTCTTATCTCCAGCGAGTTTTGTGGACGGAAACGACAAACGACCTTGATATTGTTTCCTGACATGCTGGATGTATAAAAGTAGTAAAAGAGAAAAAAGGAAAAGAGAAAGAGAGAGAGAAGGAGAAAGGGGGGGGAGAGTCAATACAACACACACGCACACACACACAAAGTGTCTGCACACAACACGGAATCACCGGAAACGGCGAGCAAAGGTGCAAGGTGGAGCCTGAATTGATGTGCCACAAGGTGGTTACGGTTACACACGGATGCCGGGGATGACATTTATCATGCTTTTGTTGTATCTGTCGTGCACACATGTATTCAACATGCAATGCTCAGGTGATCACCTATGCCATGGGAACTCATCATTGCACACGTATACACATGTCATCGCTTACAAAGGGCATCATTCGCTGAAATTTCAGACATGTACTTATGCATGTGCTTGTCTTTATCGTGTAGCACAAAAAAAGCTCTACTCGGAGGAGGAGATAAAGGGCCTTCCTCCATAGGCTATCCGATGGTAGAATTTATTATCACTACGAATAAAGATAGCCTTCTTCTTCACTCTCACCCATTTTTGTACCAAAGGAGAGCATTGATAATAAGAATGCAACCTCTTTGAGATCGTGATGGAGGCAAATTCGGAGTAAAATGTTGATACCCACATACATAGCTCCTCACCTTCTCCTTGCTTGCAGCAAATAATAATAAAGATGATAATCAAAGCTATGGTTGATTGTTTGACATGTGGAATGCCCCAAAGTAATAGTATCACGTGATCCACCTCTTATGTATGGGATCATCCATGTTTGCATTAGATGCTATGCGTGTTCTCTATTTGTGGATCCAGATCTAAGAAAAACCCGTTGCCATGTCTTCAGCACCATAAAGGTATAGAGCCACATGCATCATTACTTTGCCAGATGCATCCATATTACCCAACAATGGAAAACACAAAGAACCTCAAGAGCAAGGCTACAACAATGATACAAGAAGTATTACATAGACGCTTTCATTGTGTCATTCCCACAAAGAGCGTGGGATAATGGCTTTATTATTGTAGAGTATCGAGCACATGTGATCTTTTTACTACATCAATGAACATCCTAGCATCGTCTAAAATGGATGCTGCTTGTCTCCTACTACAACAATTACCATATAACACAACTCTTATCTATTGAGACGCCCTGGATGCATTTAATAGACAATCGGGGGACGAAGGGATTGTTGGATGGCGTCATCCATCTCCAACACGACCTGAGGGAAGGGTGCATGAACATGAGTGGTGGTGCAATTCCAGACTGTTGCCATATTAGGTGAACGATTTCCCACTCGTTCCTCTCTACTCCTTCACCTCTGTCACCGTTCCTCACTCTCTCTCTCTTTTACATAACCCATGGCAGCCAATTATTGGGCCTCATCCCAAAAGTAGGTCGTCTTTATATACAAACACCTTTAATGTATACTAACTAGATCACTTTTTCTAGACAACACTGGCTTCTCGATCGGTGGAAGTTGGCGATCAGTCGAGAGCAAGATTTGCAGCATGTGTCGAGTGAATCGGATTACGTGAAACTCAAGATCTGGTTTTGTCATTGTAAGTACTCTAATGCGTGCCCAGAGGTTCTTTTTACTTGAAGACTCACGTCGCTATGCGACCATCCATCCAGTGATACAACGACTTGCAAAGCGGTTGCAGCTACGCCAACAAGTGGTGGCGACAGCCTTTGTGTATTTCAAACGTTTCTATGCAAAGTAAGTCCATGTTCTATCATCCATTGTAGCGTCATTGATTTACCTTTTTATATCTATGTGTGTAGTAATAGTCTTCGAAAGACGGATCCAGTGCTTGTCTTGGTGACATGTGTATACCTAGCAACGAAGATTGAGGAGTGTCCTATTCATATCAAAGTCGTTACCCAAGAAGCGAAGCATCTTTTTCAACGTAAGCCCTTTTCATGGATCATTATCATCATCATTATGGATCATTCACCACCACGCTGTAGCTGAATTTGGTGGATTCCCCTATGACAGTTCCAAGGTGGCCGAGTTTGAGTTTTATTTGCTGGAAGAGCTTCAATTCTATCTTATCGTTTGGCATCCCTATCGACCCCTTTTACAAATATGCGAAGAACTGGGAATGCGTGAATCCGGTATCCAGTATGCTTGGTTTATTGTCAACGATTCGTATCGAACGGACGTGTGCCTACTTTATCCACCTCACATGATTGCCCTTGCCGCCATTTATATGACCGTGGTCCTTAATCATGCCGATTTTGCACCAGGTTCAGCAGGAGATCGTACCGATATGCGTCAATGGTTTGCCGATTTGAATGTGGATATGGAAAGTATCGTGGAGATTGTCCAGGATATTCTCTCAATCTATGAAGTATGGAAGGATTGGAAAGAGGATAAAATGATGCTGATATGGAAAGAGTTACGATCCTAGAACTTCCGCCCACAACGCGCATACACACATTCTCATCACCACCACCACCACCCTCGTCATTGTATTCCATCTGCCGGACAGATCTTCCAATCATCATATCCCAAAATTATAGGCCAACCCCCCACCCACCCACCAGCTATGTGTTGCTCTCTCTCTTTCTCTTTTGTCATTAGAGCCTCCCATTCATTCCTTGTACATTTCATGATTTAGCTTTTTGCAAAGAAAGAAAAAATACAAACGTTTTTTTATACACGCTCACACACATGCACGCACACACAAAGAAGCTTGATTGCCGTACAATCCATTACTATCACTAGCCTGTTTTATGTTAAAGGGTATTCAATCATGGGGGGGGCAGGACCAGGGGTGGGGGCCACCTTTCAACACCATGGTCAAGATTGGCAATACTCCCATAGCCTTGTCAATAACTCTGGTCCAAGCGAGTAGAGATCCATTACAACTTCATCTATTAAGGAGCCAAAAGATATTAGCAAATTACCACAAGCAAGGTCACATAACGCACACACACACACACACACACACACATACCTTCTTTTTCTTCCACGATCATCTCATCCGTCCTCCATTTTTCAATAAGTTCTTGTATATCTGCTAGGCGTGCAGTATCCATATTACTTAGCCTTCGGGCAAGTTCCAACATATTAACATTCTAGAAGGGAGAGAGAGCGGGTCAATAGGGTCTATTCATAGCAGCGAATAAAATAACACTTACATCAGGTATTCCCCAAGCACGTCGCATATCAGGACTCATATCCGATCCATGTATTGGGTTCACGTGATCAAGATCACTTTCAGTATACACGTCGTCAACGATATGTGCTTCTTGACCATTTCCATCATGCTTGTGATCATTGTCTTCGCCTGTATTGCTGTTTTCGGACGAGGAGGATGAACCATGATGATGTTTACCATATCCATTTTGCTGTGGTCGATGATGATGATGATGGTTGTTGTTGTTTCGACCGTCATATGTATTGCCATAACTTGAACCTCCTGAGGATTCAGATCTACCTCCACCTCCACCTTGGTGAGTGGGTACTGTAGCAGGTCGTTCATCTGTGTCGCTTAAATCTGACATGTAATGATGATTATTGTGATGCGGATGATGGTGATTATCGTACTCGGCCTGTGGAGTCTTTATGCTCCGGGTATAGTCGTACGGGCTAGTCAACATACCACTGGTGGCAGCGGAAGGGGATGCAAAGGATTGTGGCGAAATGGAATAATTGGATGAATAGCCGGCATTCGGTTGTTGTTGTTGTTGTGTTGCAAACATGGGTGTCGAAGGTGACATGGAAGAGGCACCAGCAGCAGCAGTAGCAGCACCGGGTTCTATTTCACGTGGTCGAGCTGTAGCAGCATTGGCAGGTGAACGAATCTTTTTGTTGGCAATGGATGAAGAAGATTTCTCTAACGAGTTGGCTCGTCGTTTCCTGCCTCCATGCGATGATCGAAGTAATGCCAATAATTCCTGTGTTGGGTTTTGGAAGACCTTGGATAGGTGTGTGTGTGTGTCAATCCTTATCCTTCAACCACATCCAATGACACCACCACCTCCTCCTCCCCTCACTTACCACGGTGCGTATCACCGAGTAACTCGATTGCATAAAGCTAAGATCAAATAATAGCACCTCGGTGGCAACATTATTGGCAAAGTTCAAAACAATGCGCATGTCAAATTCGCCCCATCCTTTTTCTTGCAAGACATAGGGTTCCTTGGTTACCACTAAAAAGTCTAGATTAGATCCATTCCAATCTATCCATTCCCATCCCATGATCCTACTTACCTCGACGAGGATTCTCAAACGTTGGATGAAGAATGTATTCCACATGATCCAATAGTTCGGATAGTCGTCCTTTCTTATCCTTTCCATTTTCCACAGCAACCAGCTTGATCTTCCAATTACGCAATGGATGGCCTTCAACTGTTTGTGCATCAGGGCCCTTGATGATACTGTTTTGAAAGGTGATCTTGATATCCAAGGTCGGTTCCATCTATTGTATGTAAACGTCAAAATGAAAAAGTTCACCCCTTTACCTACTTTTATCCACTTTTCCTTTACCTACCCTGATAGTTCAGCTGCACTCGCCCACTTGTTCTCGATACGTGTGTGATATGGATAGAGAGAGTTGTACCCGAAACTTGAAGGGAGGTAGGTGTTGGTCGTTCAATCGATATGCTGGAACAAAGAAACAAGCACAAGAGCTGTGATTAGTCAAGGGTTGCAACAACACGTAGCGCCGATCGTGCATGGCAGAGCGAACCTCTTGTTTTGGAGTTGAAATGAGACACATACAGCGTGTAAAGAGGGATCACTGCAATGTGTGAGTGAGCTGAAAAGGGAAGTAAGACAAAGCGTGAGGCACCACTACTCTCTCCACTCACACCCACAGCAGGTCCATTTCAACCTACCATATTCTTTCTCCTTCCTCGCCTTGGAACTCCGGCTCAAAATCATTGTATTTCTTGGTTCACCTGCGATTCATTATCCTCAAATCTTGCTGTTGTTGCCATGGAATCCTTAATATAGGTTCACTTTGTTATAATAATACTCGTCGTAAATTCAAAGACCAATAACCTAAACAGACTCTCTGTTGAAGGTGGTGGTTGATCAATAATCCTATAAGAAGAATGATGTTGTTGGTAGTACTCTAATAATGATGCATGAAAGATGAAAAACAGTAAGTTCCACCTACTACTTGGCCTTTCGATAAACAACCCCCATTATAAAGGCTTATGACGTACAAATACCGATATCCCATAGGCATGTAAGAGTTGAACTGTGCGTAAGAAGAAATCTCTCCTTTATTGTGCCCCTGCTTTTATATACGTATACGATAGCGCAAGTATTCTTATACTGCTTCATAACGTGCGGCGACAACACTGGTGGTGGTGGTTCATGTCATAGGGCCCCCTTTTATCCCATGCTGCTGCTGCTGCTGCTGCTGCTGCTGTCAAAACCAGTCAGCTGGTTGGTGCTCGCCCGTTGCTGCATTTAGCAAGCTTACTTTTAAATCACAAAAGCACGTGCACTGGATTATTTATGCAATGTGCAATATCTAACTAAAGGTTCAACGACATACACTTGCTTGACGTTTGATTTCATAATGGTGTATCCTGTCATCTATGGTCTAGGAAATGCAAAGAAAAAAAAAGGATTGACCTCCCCATTCCTTCTCCTTCTTTAGCGCCCTCGGTCCGTGTGTGTGTGTGTGTGTGTGTGTGATGTGATCTATAGAGTATGTGCTTCTCCTCAAATCCACCCACCACTTTCTTTGCGTGTTGAAAAGAGGCTATTTTGCTCCTATCATCCTTGCCTCTTTTTTTCCTTCACCCCCTTTTTCTCTCTCTCACACACACAAGATCGATCCCCAAATCCTCCATCCTTGTTCTCTCATCTTCCTCCTTCTTATTTTCTCGTTTTCTACTGTTTTTTCGTGTTTTCTTTATTCTTTTCTTGTTGTTTTCTCTCTCAAACTAATATCGATTTGATACCATGGCCGCTGGAGACTGGTTTGAATATTCAGGTACATAGGATGATAGGATGAATCATGTCGTTAGACCATGTGATATGAACACACGCAAACACATTAGACGACGACATCCAGGCACGTAGCAGCATGGATAGTGTAAATGGATACCAAATTCACCAAGAGGATGAGATCAAGGAGTATGAGCTGCCACCAGCGGCGGCGGCTACTACAACAACCACCGCAAGGAGCAATGGGGTTGTCAATGGATATCCACATCATGAAAACAATGGCGAGTATATGCAAGACATGTTATCATCCTCAAGCTCCACAACTTCAGCCTCCTCCAGCATCAGCGGTGATCATCCTATCGCATCTCAACAGCGTTCCAGCAGCTTTTTTTCTCGGCTGACATCCATCCCCATTGTTCAAGATAGTCTTTCAGGAGCACAAAAGACAATGGAACAACACGCACTTGGAAGATTGGCAGGTCGTACCCTTTGTGCTCTTTATAATCGCACTGCACCCTATGTCAACTATGAGAGTCGTTGGAGTACACAATTGCAATTTGCCAATGATATTGGTCATCGATCCCTGGATTTGCTTGAGCAGCAATGTCCATTGATTGTGAATGGATCCAGTAAAGATTTGGCCCAAGCTCCGCATTTGATGGCAGATGAAATCCGTTGTCGTATCTCAAGCACCGTACGCAAGATTCGTGCACCTGCATCAGTAGGACTTGTGATGGATAATCTCGAAGCTGTGTTGGATCAATACTTTCCTGCAGAGGAAGGTGATGATGACAATGAGGAGGAGGATTTGATTGATCCAAAAGATGGAAAACGTCTAAGCGAAGATGATGATGACAATACGACACCCACCTACTATCAATTGTTACGCATGTACCGTATTGCTAATTCTCTCTCAGGACGTATTGCCAGGAGAATCACCTTGAATTTGAACAACAAGAAAAAGGTTCGAAAGGGTGATGATGATGAAGAAGAAGAAGAGGAAGAAGCTCGAATGAGTCAATGGCTCGTGCATCAAATGCAAATGCTTCTAGAGCACTTGGAAGCTTACAAGACCCAATTGCCCGAACCACTGCAATCCCTTGTAGTCCAACCCTTGATTCAATTGGCTCATCAAGAATATGACATCTTGCAACAAGAACTCGAGAAACCTGGATTGACTCCAGTAGAACGTGCTCGCAACGTGCTTGCCGTATCCCAGGATACCGTCATTATGCCTTTATTGCAACGTTCCGTTCAATCCATGCATAATCAAGTCATTTTTTATCGCTCACTTGCACAAGAGAATAGAGCTCATGTCATGAATGAGTTATCATCCAAATTGCCTATCCTTGCTAGTCTTGCTCCCATGTCAGCCTTGGCTAGCCACTACAAGAGTACTCAAAAAGAAGCAACACCTACTGAAGCGTACTAAACACGTTGCATCCCCCCTCCTTTTTTTATTATCACATTCTTTAGTTGTAGTTGTAGTTTTGCGTTTACATGACAAAAAATTCACTAAAGTCATTTGTCGGCTTAATATCTCGATATGGATGGTTGGCTTTTTTTGTGTGTTTGATCGTGTGTGATTTTTCAAGCGGCGGCTGTCAACCTTCTTGACCTGTTGCTTTATACTCTTCTTACCTCTTTCCTCTTTACCTCTTTCACCCTAATCAACGCACCACCATGGAGCTACGACGTAGTCACCGCATTCGTGTCTCCGATTACACAGAAAACCGCACTGGTCAATCAACGGGCCATGAAGAGAACGACAACGACAACGACGACGACTACAACGAGGAACGTGTTGTTGTCCAAAAGTACAAGAGCAGAAAGCGTCCCAGCGCAAAGCTACCAGAGGTGGAATCGATCGACACCCTCATTTCTGCCAAACGTCAAAGGTCGCAATTTGTTGACAAGAGTGATCAGCTTCAACTGGTAATAGTGGTACAGTTCTCTATATACGTACGTATCTATCAACTCACGCACGAAAACGCGGTCTTTACAGTTATTTGCCCAACTCAACGACGCACCTGCAACAGACGATGAGGAGGATGGAAAATCCTTATCCAGTGAAGAAGAATCGATCAAGCCAGAGTTACGTGAACGACAAGATCTATTGGATAGCGATCATTCGGATAATGACAGCGAAGTGGGCATTGGCGATATTCTGGCATCAACAGCACAAGTATTGGATGAAGAAAGGCATGAAAGACTTAAAGAGGTAACATTGGGGGATCGTACCAGGTACCCTTTCATCGCCCCTTCCATGCGTGTATGATATCGTATTGACGTGTGTCGATCTAGGTCTTCACTGATAGTCCAGCACAATATGACAATAAGACCGAATATCGATTCTTTCGGCGAAGGTGCAAAGTAGGTTCCTTTTGGATGGATACATGAATGGGAAGGTATTGATTGGTGATGAGACATTTAGTTACCAGATCCATTGTGGGTGGATGACAATTATCCATTACTCCAAGACACAACTCGACAGCGTGAGAATTCCATCTTTGAATTCTCTTCCAGTAAGTATCGATCATGGATTGTGTGTGGAAAGGAAGAAAGCATTGAGCTATTATTTGTATAGGTGCCTCGGGTCGCAAATTCATGCTAAGCAGTGGTTGTCTTCGAGCATGGTATCGTCGTGAATGGCCTCCGCATCATCTATACCAATGGCTATTTCAAGTTGGTAAGCGCATAGCCATTTACAAGGCAACTTTTGTCTCATCTCTGGTATTATCAAAACGTTAGTGGCATTTGAAGAAGATCAATTGGTTGCCCATCATGCATATGAAACGCTCAATGCGCTATGGAAAAACTTGGCAAGTAACAACGCACAGCATGAATTAAGGGTATTTGACTAATCAATGCATGTATTATCATGAATAGGGACCTGAGCCAGCAGCCTATATCCCCAGCGACGAATTAGGGAGCAAACGCAACACCAATCGACATGTTGAGATGGACGAGTTTATTTATGTGCTCAAAAACTATGGAGCTGTCAAATCGGAAATGGCAAAGGAAGATGGCGAGATTCCCCGATCCTCAAACAATCCACTGCTCTTTTTGGAAGATTGGTCTGATCAACCAGGAGAACAACGGATCCCTGTCATTCAACTATCGTACATCTTGCGCCTGTTTGGTTACTCTGTGAGGACATGGTAAGTTTGGATGGCATAGGAAAGATGATGGAAACAAGCTGATGGGGTGTGTTCATTGATTAGGCCCGAGGCTTATCAACAAGTGGGCATTGGATACATTATACGATTACTGCTACAGATATCTCTGGATCGTTCCATTGGCAATATTGTGAGACGAGATCTGCAAGATGGTATCGAATCGTGTTTATCGGTATTGGATAAAGCAACGTGGAAGAATGAGGTACGTTGAAAAGAGAGAGAGGGAGAGGGCAATGGCAAGAATAAGCAAACTTACATGGCATATGGGATTTAGCTCTTACAATTGGCAGCCGATTTATGCTCACGATTTACATCCATCACGCTTCAATGTCAATTAATCCATGCGCTCAAACCGACGTATGCTCGCTCAGTGTATCTTCGACGTATGATCGGTTTAACAGCCATCATGTATGAAAATCGACACGTATTCCACCCACCACCACCGCCATCATCATCATCATTACCTACCCAAGAAACGACAATGACAAATACCTCCAATAGTAATACACCCAACGGCACTTGCAGTGATAATAGCTCAGGATCATCATCGTACGAAACGGCTCCAACAGGGCTCACGAGAACTGACAGCTACATGTCCGTATCAACCATGCATTCGGATACAGTCGATGCCATGTCTATTGCAGGAACACCTATCGCTGACAGGGAAATGGAAGATGTCAATGAGCAGCAGCAGCAGCAGCAGCAGCAAGAGGAAGAGGAAGAGTACCCATTACCTCGTGTGGAACCTGAGAACATCCTTGAGCAATTATTACGAGTGATTGAAAACCCTGCGAGTGCGTTTCAGCAACGAGATCATGATGATTATGATGAGTTATTAGCGCAAATTCAATTGGTGGATGCTGCTATCGGAGGCCGGGAACTGGAAATGCTGCGGGAACAGGTAACATTGATCATGAATACAAAAGGGCCTACGGCTAAATGGGAATGTTTATTTATTGTTAGCCAACGATCAAGGAAATCATTCGTCACCTGCAAGTAATGAATCGTCGAATAGGTTAGTAATGAATGTCTTGTGATGTCTTTATTTGGTATTCACTCACTCGTCGTAAAATAATAGGTGGGCGATCTACAGGTGTGTTGCCTCGTATAAGGGTGAGTATCAGTGTGTGTGTGTGTATGGATGTGTGTGGATTCCTAAATGATGTTTGTATCTATCTAGGCAAGTGCCGCTGTTCAACGAGTGTGGAATCGGTTGGCGTATGCGACTGGTAGAGAAAGTGCCGGTGGCATGGATGAAGCATGACGTGTGAAACACCTTAGCCATGCAAACGCTATCAGCGATGACCTAACTCCGCTCCTCCTTGTTCCCCTTTTATCCTTTTCTTTACACACGCACACTTTACTTTCACACCTTTTTCACTGTACATTTTTTCTTATATAATGGTATGAATATCAAGCACACACAACATTCTACATAAAGAAGCATATTCACACTTTCAATTTCTCCGTATTCAAGAGTGAACCACGAGAGTACCTTTACAAGATTCTGGTCGTTGGAGATCTCGGCACTGGCAAGACCTCCATCATTCGACGTTATGTGCACAATATATTTTCGAGCAACTATAAATCCACAGTAGGTTGTTTGTTCCATGGTGGAGACTGGACTCGACCTGTTCTATGACACGTGTTCCTTATTTCTCTTACAACTGATACACACCCTTCTTACCCTTTCTCTGTGCTAGATCGGAGTTGATTTTGCACTCAAGGTCATTCAATGGTCACCCGAGATCATTGTAAGGTTGCAATTGTGGGATATTGCTGGTCAAGAACGATTTGGCAACATGACGCGTGTTTATTACAAGGCTGCTCTTGGTGCATTTGTTGTATGTGATCTTACACGTCAATCCACATTTGAAGGTGTTACAAAATGGAAGGATGATATCGATGCAAAAGTATCATTACCCGAAGCATGGGGCGGTGGTCGAATTCCTGTTGTCCTGTTAGCAAACAAGAGTGATCTCGCCAATGATGGCCATGGTCAACATGTCAATCCAGCAGAGATGGATGAGTTGTGTGAAAAGCATGGTTTTATTAAATGGTAAGATGAGCTTGCTTGTGTAATGAAAAATGGTTTATTGATATGTATGCTACATCATCCTAGGTTCGAGACATCTGCTAAGGACAATACCAACATTGATGAAGCTGCCAAGTTCCTGATCAAGTCTATCTTGGATATTGAAGAGCAACATGGTTCGCCAGATCTCGAGGAAGATGAAAGGATACAATTGGAAGAATCGAATGCAAGCAATAGTGGAGGATGTTGTTGAATGACAATAAAACAAATGGGCATGTGGTTGTCTAGTGATCGTCTTCTTCAGGCCCAGGACAATTCTCGTCAAGATCTCGTTGATCATTGTACTTGACAGCGCACCAAAAGCAATACGTGTGCTCATTCCTTAAATACGACACGAGTCGCTCTAATCGTTCTTCAAGCTGATCCATTCATTAGTGTACACCCTTCAGTAAAGAACACACGCCCCCTTCCTTACCGGCAATGCTTTGAGCGCTTCCACCTCTTCTTCAGGATACGGTAATGGGTCCTCCTCAGCCTTTTCATCCTCGCCCGATACCTCGCCATTATCCTTTTCTTGTTCTTGATTCCCTTGCTCATCCTCAGTTTTCTCGGGTATATTGAAGATCCATAATATATTCATCTGCAGAAGGTGGTGATGATGAGCCCCCAATAGATTTTGATCTTGTAGATTCTTACCTCGATGCCCTAAACAACAAAATGCAGTGAGTATGATGATGCTCGAGAATGATGCAAATCCCATCCATACCTTATCCTTATCAAGTTTTTCGATCAACGACGCAGCAGCTCTTGATCGACGCATACGTTGGGCCTCCTTGACGCGTTGTGCCATCAACTCACGATACTCTTCAGGATCAATATTGGGTCTCTTTGCTTCTTGTTCCTTTGCCTCTTCTTCAAGAGCACGCTTGGTTCCAATGCCACCACGACCTAATCACTCGTTTGAGCAAAGGATCCACCCTATGATGCATATTATCCACGTACCTTGCTTCAGTTCGACAGCAATGGGTGCCTTCATACCATCACCCGACTTGCCCAAAGCCATACCCTTCCTGTAAAGAAAAAAGGATCGTCAATAAAAAGGATCTTGCAACAACAAGAGCCATTCACCTACTTGAATCCCATCTTCATCAACATTTGCATGCCCTTGTTGTCTTCGCTAACAGACTGGTTCAATCCTTCTTCACGCGCCTTCTTCTCCATTTGTGCACGTGGTGCAATGTACGCCTTGCGCTCATGCTCACGAGTCGCCTGCTTTCTTCGCTCGCTGTATGTTTGTGGCTGCTTCTTTTCATGCTGTTCAGCCTGAATCAGGTACTTTTCGGACATGTAGTCTTCTTCAGAATCGCTCATTGTGTCGGGTGAACAGGTTGTTGGAGGAAAAGAGGAAGAGGTGTCAAGACTAGTACCCCGCATGATCAAGTCCGCATGATATTGAAGAAATGGCTTCGGTGCTACAACGATGGAGCATCGCTGGGGAAGGTGCTCAAGCAATCTATCACTCTTTGATTGATGATACTTTTCAAAACCAATGTTGATGCAAGTATTATGATGGGGGGGCTCTTTTGTAACCCTGTGAATGAGAGCTAATCTTTGTCTTCAATTGTTCATTGTTCCTTCATTGTCGTGGTCATCATTGTGCTATTTGGCTCTTTTTTCTTCAAGGTAAAACCTAATCATCTTGCGTGAGGAAGCACATTCCCACACAACTTTCGATGTAGCTAGCTCCCGCGAAAGATGCAATGTTGGATTAGGCGGTACATCCTACTACAGCCTATAGATCCCCATATGCTCAAACACACTTCTTACATCACAGGTCCCCTTAAATCGAATTCATATATAAAGTACAACAAATGATGGAATAAAACTGGGCTCTTAATCCTCATCGCAATGGTCATTGTGGGATTTGAGTGGTTGCATGTATCAAAGGGGATTTATACACAGCTGACTACATTATGCAAATGGTCATTGGAAATCGGTGCTCGGAATAGGGGCACCTGTCAATCCGATTGTGTCACCATGCAACCGTTGTATACGTGTAAAAAAGTGTAATTGACTTGAATTAGGCATATAATGTTGTGGCCGGGTATTACTAAGATGACAAGCAAGGGCCAATTTTGTCATACAAATGCAACTTGGAACAAGCTGTTGCATGGTGTTCCCGTGACCACGCAATTACGTTGTTGGCATCCTTTTATGCAATCTAATCTTGAGCAAAGCATCATTTTCAGCCCTGACAGCGCATGGTGACACAATCGGATTGACAGCTCCCTTAATGCTCCTGGTTACCAATTCCTACTAGTGGCCGCTGCTTGGGTTTATAACATGATCATATGCAATTTGATCCCCTTTCACTTGAGAAGACCACCATTGGATCACAAGCGACCCTTTTCAATAAGATACATGGTGATCCATTTTCTCTAGAGGGGCTCAGAGAGTTTAAAAATTACGATCCCACGGGGCTTGGTATCCAATCCAAAAGCTCTACTTGGCACGGACTGCGTTTGCGAGTACATAGGAATGGGAGCAATCATATACACATCAAGCATTATTATTATCAACATGCTCAAACTCGTGTCCTTTTTGAAATAGTGGCAGTACAAGGATATCCAATGATCAATTTGCTCAAGCATACACTTGTCAAAATACGCCAAAACCCGGATGCGCTCTAGACGGGGAAATGATCCCCCGACCCAAAGCGATGGAAAGCTTGTTTATCAATGAGATACTGTACAATACGCCAAATAAGATCACTTTTGCTTAGAGGATAACATCCACATTATCACTACTCAGGCTATTCATGTGCCAAAATGCGTATTGAGTTGACATTGGAAGGTGAGTTGACTACCTGGTAACGAAGAAATTTGCAAAGCCAAGAAGTTGGTATCATGTGCATTCATTCTCAGAATCATATGTTGAGTGGGATACACGTGGGTTTTGATTTACGCGATGTTGGGCTGTTTTGACAAACATCATAGATGATAGTTGCATTTTTAGACCATTCGGAAGTAGATGTCATTCAGCCTTTGATAGCGCACTACCTACTAGCCGCGAAGAATGGATGCCTTTTCGCCATGGATGGCATAGCAGCTGTGATTCTCGATCATTGTTAGTGTAATGGGTTTGTGCGATACATACTCAGAAGAAAACACAATTGCATCGCATGCTGTGCTACAAGGGGATAGGCTTGGCATCATCAACAAGCTACTACATCATGTATTCGTTGTTGAAAAAACAAGCGATGAATTGAGACGCTAAGCGAGACAAAGAATGATCATGTCCCTAGAGCGGTGTTGCTGATGATTTATAATAAACATTTATCTGTGACATTTTGTCATCCTGCAACGATGTCAATTCCCGGTATTCTCCTCCTCCCTCTCACCGCTTTAGTATTCTCAGATTCTTACCCCACCACCATGATGACGATGATGGTGATGATCGACTCTTCGATCCGCTTTCCTACTTTTTGTTACCTAGAGCACATCTTTTACCGGGTATGATCTTTGCATTTTTCAATGCTTGAATGATCACATGAGCACTTTGGGAATTGAAAGGCACACACACGTCATCCTTCATCATCACGTAAAAGATAACCACCATTGCTCCTTTTACTATTAGCCTTTCCAACCGAACGATTGGCATGTGCTATATCCTTGATGGTTTCATGGATCAATAATTGCAAACGAGCTTGGGCGTAGAGAGAGATCAAAAACGCTCGACTCGAGTACTAAGCCTAAAATAATATCCGCATTAGCCAGCTATTGATTCATAGGGTGCTTGAATCAAAGAGAAGGAAGGGGGGAAAACGATCCCCCGCCAAGCGAAACCTGGTTTGCGGACATGCATGGTTACTGTGACACAAATCGACCGACAACATCGGCGATCCGCTAGAATCCCCATTTTGATTCCCTTTCTTTTGCGTTTGTTTTTTCACCTGAGCGGCGGCAGCGGATCATGACTACGACCACCACCACCACCAATACCGATCCGCAGCAACAACAAGATACTCGATCTTCTCAATGCTTTTCAATTACATCAAGATGCGAAAGCAATCATAGTGATGATACCGCTTGCAATGATGTAGATGTTGATCAAGAAGAAAAGCAAGGCACACATGATGAAAAAATTCAATCCTACGCTGAACAAGATCAACCACCACCTGATGGTGGTTATGGATGGCTTGTTGTACTTGGATCATTTCTCTCTCTTTTTACCGTCTTTGGCACCATCTTTAGCTGGGGTAGGCTATGTACCTTCTTCTCTTTTGAAATGAATTAGGGGAAGAACCTCAATCATCATGTGTGTGGTTGAAATAACAGCACATCTTCTAAACACACATGTATACGCTAGGTGTCATGCAAGATTACTATGAACAAAACATCTTTGGTGCCTCATCCACGGTGCAACTTAGTTTTGTCAGCACTCTAATTCTAGTGTTTACTTTTGGTGGAAGCTTATTCAGTCGTATCTTTGAACTTGTTCTTGGCACACGTTTTGCATTGCTGCTTGCTACTGTGCTTTACACCGCTGGAATGGAAGCTGCTGGTTCAGCCTCAGAGGTATAAAATTTTCTCTCTCTCTATTTCTAATCTTCATCAGCCCTCTAAGTAACTTTTTTAATATAGATCTGGCATCTTTATCTCGCACTTGGCGTATGCACAGGCATGGGCAATGCCATTATCTATGCGGTAATTTGTCACCCTCGTATGGGATTTTACGATGGCTTATCATCTTAAGGACTTTATCCATTAGATCGCGATGCGTGTTACACCTCAATGGTTCCGTAAGCGGAGAAGCACTGCCATGGCAATGATTGCCAGCTCGACCGGTATCGGTGGTCTCGTTATCCCATTTATCATGACCGGTGTCAATCAAAAGCTGGGTGCTTCATGGTATGCTAGCATTTGTGTGTGGGCATTAAAACAATCGAATCCTAACGATGAATCACCACTTAGGACGTTTCGTATCATGGGATTGATCTTTTTGGTATTCAATTTGAGTGCCTGCTTGCTAGTGAGAGAAAGAACACAAATCAAATCAAAGTTGACCGGCATGGGCGACTTTTTTCAACCGGCTCTCTACAAAGACGGCACCTTTTCTTTATGGGCGGCAGCGGCATTGTTCCAAATCCTTTATTTATTCATCCCTCTTTTCTTTGTTCCTTGTAAGTGAGTATACATAGCACCACTTTAAAATATTTATCATGACTTCCTATAGCATACGCCACCCATATTGGCCTGAACGCTTCTCAAGGAACAGCGTTACTCGCTGTACTCTCCTCTGCCAACTTTGTAGGACGTATCATAGCTGGGTATGTAAACGACCGTTCCCATGACAACGAGCCCAGTTTACTAAATAGTTACCCTCTTAGAGTATTGGCTGATCGCTTTGGTTGTGTGAATACCAACATACTCTATGCTCTCATGTCATGCCTCTCTACGTTCCTTATTTGGACTTTTGCATACGACTATGGTAGTATGATGGCCTACGTTGTTGTTTTTGGCTTGTTTGGTGGATCCTTTTTCGCCTTGTGTAAGTCATGATACCTTTTATGATAGCCATTGTATATGCTTATCCAATCCGTTTCTATTCTATAGGCAGTCCAATCACAGTCGTAGTAGTGGGCGTGGAAAAATACCCATACGCATTTTCATTACTCATGGTCAGCATCGTCCCTGGTCTCTTTGGCTCCCCCATTGCCAGTGCCATTGAAAGAGTATCAAGCATTGAACCATTTCTCACATACAAGATTTTCACTGGTATCATGGCGTTTTTCTGTACCCTTCTCTTGGTCATTTTACGATTTCGCATATCTCCAAAATTCCTTGCCAAAGTCTAATCATCCATTTGCCACATTGTACGATCACTTTTTCATTCATTCACAACAAACAACCTCATCTGCTCAAGCCATGATAATGAGCAAGCATATTTTTGTATTTAGAGTAAAAGAAACAACACATGTTGTCTAGATAATCACATGGTATTCTTTGTATATGCATAATGTAGCGGGTTGAAAATGATATTCATGTACATGCGTAATAATAAAATCGATTGCTGCAGCTGTTGTATGTTCCATGCATCTACTCCTCGCGCTTCTTTTTACGCTCAAACCAAGCATCTCGTATCCTTGGAATCCTCTCGATAAGCTGTATATATATATATAAAAGATTAGGATCCGTCCTTCCCATTCACTCTCTTTGATGATGACCGTTCCACTTGCCTCATCTTTAGAAACGCCATCCCGGATGCTGCAAAGGACCTTATCGACTGTAGATTGGTGATTTCCATCAGGCTTATCGTCACGAAACCGCATAAACCGCCACGGTGATGGCAAGTCGTATCGTTCTTGTATCTCGGGGTCATAATTGCATTCAATGATGCGGCCTTCTAGTTTTTTGATGGGTATGGCTCCAAAGGTACGCTTCCACTCGCTGTCGGTGATGCCCAATTGATCGAAATAACGATACTTGTCCTCTCCTTGCCAAACCAGTAAGTCTATCCTTGGTGTTGCAGTGTAATCCAGTACACCGGGAAGGCTGCTGCCAGGGAACTTGAGATGGATCTTAAAGTCAATCGAATTTTCATTCGCTGGTTTCCATTTGATCCTACACACGCACATGGGTAAGATAAGCCATCCATCCCTACCCATCCTCCTCCTACTCCTCCTACAGCACTTACATCTTGTCACATGTACCAAGTGAATAAGGGGCATTGACAGACGTGAATATTAATCCATCATTGCCATGCTTCAATGCAGGGATGATTTGATTGAATACGGTGTCGAGATGATATGTGAATTGTTGCTCCTTGAACGCCACCCTAAGAAAGCAAACATGAATGAGCGTTACGTGAGGGATCCAAGGACCACGTTACTTACTGGAATGGCAGATATTTGGCCATCTCTGGGTTCTTTTTCAACATGTTTTGATGGGGTCGAATAACATCGTTTTTGAGATACTAGAAAGAAAAAGCAATGAGCCAGCCATCCGATTAAGATTGTCATAGTAGACTCTACTCACTCCTAGGCGCTTCATTAAATCCCTTGAAGTCAAGATCTTCTTCATAATGACGAGACAATCGAAAAGTAAAAAGCGCAATTGTGTCTATGGTATCTCCAATGAATAAACGACACGTTCCCTGTTTTATTTGACTTACTGTTCCATCAGGCTCCTTATCCAGCACCAACTCGCCATCAATGATAGTATCCGTAAGGCACTTTCGAAAGTTTGGATCTTGAGGAATGGGAAATCGAATATTATCCACGACATGAAAGTTGCTCTTGCGATCAAACTATGGCACACACACCCCTTGGTCAATATCATCATCATCATCCTAGAGAATCGAAAGATAGCATACCAAATAAACTTTGGGTCGTTTTTCCTCGTCGACCGACAGCAAAGCCAGGCATCGTACACCATCAGACTTTTCGGCGACAAAATAACTAGACATGGTTCGATCGAATAGCGCGATGGGTGAGCACGTCGAACTGGGCAAACACAAATGGGGGAAGGTTGCGATAGATTACTCTTCTCTTTGAAGTTCTTTCAACTGCTCTGATCCAAAGCTGACAGGTTGAGCACCTGGGAATCTACACACACGATAGTATATATCCAGTCAATGCATGCCATGCTACTCTTGAGGGATCGAACGCACTTGTATTTCTTCATGTCGAGCAATTGGGCGACTTTATCTTTCAAGGCACGGTCATCTCTGACAGGAATGCCGGGAATGTTGGGCACGGATTGCATAATAAGAGGGTGCAAAGAATAGAATAGAGGGAAGGAGTGAGAGATGGATTCCAAATTAGGTCGAGCATGGTCATCCTGCAAGAACCACCACCACAATGCTTTGTATCGGCAGCCAATGGGATCACATAAAGAACCATCACTTTTTATAGCACTTGATCATCAATGAACATAGTCCTTTGTCTACATAAATAAAGATCATACCATGACAACAAGATGTAGCCTTATCTTTTACACAACGATGGTTACGTGTATGCCAATGTAAAATGCTATTTATATAAATGTGTGCGTTATGTATTCTAGTACAGGTAGAAAGCAAGGAAACGTAATAACAACAATACAAGAAATCTAATCATCGCCAAACACAATCTTGGTTGCCTTGGGTGCCTCGGAGGTATCCTTGAAGAAAGCACCATAAGCGCTGTGGGTTTTCTTCTTGACGGTGGTGCCAAACTTGTATAACTCATCAGGAACGGGCATGTTGGCTTGTTTGAGGACATTGATAAGTTCACCGGAATGGGCCTTGTCCTCGGGGGTGAAGAAGGTGTAGGCAGTACCCTTTTTGCCGCCACGACCGGTACGACCGATACGATGAATGTAGCTTTCGATGGTGAGAGGGAAGGTGAGATTGACAACGTATTCGACATCGGGAATATCCAAACCACGTGCGGCGACATCGGTGGCGATCATGAGTGGATGGGTGGCGCTCTTAAAGTTGGCGAGGGCTTCGTTACGTTCATGTTGCTTTTTGCTGCCATGGATAGCTGCCACCTTGTAGCCATTCTCAATCAATCGACGCTCAATACGATCACATTCCTTTTTGTATAAACCAAACACAAGGACACGGTTCTTGCGACTGCCATGGATCTTTTTGAGAAGCTGCAACAACTTTCCTTCCTTGCTACGAGGCTCATCCACCACCTCCACAATCTGAGTGATGCTGTTGGATGCTGCAAGATCAGGCGAACCAATAGTGACACGAATGGGGTTGTTGAGGAAATCAGCTGCGAGCTTGCGAATACTCATTGGCCATGTGGCAGAGAACATGAGCGTTTGTCGTTGCTTGGGTACATGTCCAATGATATTACGGATATCACGCTCGAAACCTTCATCCAACATACGATCGGCTTCATCCAAGACAAGAAAAGAGACTTCAGAAAGGTCAATCGCTTCGTCGTTGAGTAAATCCAAAAGACGACCAGGGGTTGCCACGACAATATCGGTACCATAAGAAAGGCGTCGTGCTTGAGATGCCTTATCCACACCACCATACAAACAAATGGTCTTCAATCCAAACATCTTGCCAGCTTCACGTGCTTGCTCTTCACTTTGCATGGCCAATTCACGAGTGGGAGACAATACCAACATGGATGGGTTCTTGCTCTTGGACTTGTTGGAAGCAAGATGCACCAAACCCGGTAACGTAAAGCCATAAGTCTTGCCTGATCCAGTCTCTGCAATACCCACAATATCACGTCCAGATAACGTAAATGGCCATGTCGTTGCTTGGATGGGCGTAGGGTTGCTAAAGTTCTCAAACACTTTCAAAAGCTTGTTGGGCACATTGGTGTATGCAAATTGAAGGATAGGTCGCAACTTGAGATCGCCCTGGATATCAACCTCGTTCTTCTTCAGGTAGTCAGTGATGGTGCTCTCGGGAAGCGATGTCAACTCGGCATGCTCCTTGTAAGTGTACTTTGCAAGCTGATCAAAAGACGAATCGTCGTTGCTGGTCAAAGGCTGTTGTTGTGGCTCGATCGCTTTCTCGGGTTTGCTGTGGTCGTCGTCGTGCTGCTTCTTTTCCTTCTTGGACTTTTTCTTCTCCTTCTTGTCCTTTTTATCTTTCTTCTCCTTCTTCACCTTCTTTTGCTTCTTGAGTTCAGCAGCATCGGTGGCGGGCTCGTCTCGTTTACGCTTGGTAATGGCGGTGGGTGACATTGTGAGAGTGTGGAGAAAAAAGATCTAGGTAAAAAGTTCTTGGATAATGCCAGCTGCTGCATGGTAGAACTACACAAGCCACCTCCTTTTTCGACATCCCAAAATGGATACCCATTGGCGACGACGCTGCCTCAAGTTTCACATCACCAAACAACCACCCAAGTTACTTTTTTCCTTTTCTTGTCCCTCTTAATACACACGCACGAATACGTTCGAGTAGTTGATGCCAACCGCCATTGTAAGCATCGATAATAAATATCCCTATTGTCAATCCTCTTTTTCTATTTATGCAACGTCATATATAGGTTCAATCATACGTTGGGGTCGTTGTGGATGTTGATGGGTGCAACATTTAAGCCCGCTCATTGGCAACCTCTTGCATAGCCAAAATCATCGGCAACCGTTGCTATGACAATAGAACCCAGATGGAGTTCGCTATTCTAACTCACCGCCTTCATTCCCCAATCCGCCCTAGTATGTACCTTGTATCTTTGTTTTGACGTCATTTGACGTGTGATGCATATTGTTGGAGATGTTATGACATAAAAGGTGTTGCATGTTGACATGTTACAATCAACATGATGTAGTTTACAAAAGTACTTTAATATTGATTCGAGAAAATCGTACGATAAAGGCATCCCCAGTAAAATGAAAAATGTCAAGTTTTGCACATCAGCCCACAGCAGCGGCTCTTTGCGGTGGTCCCGAATACTGGACTAGCAGCTATACCCCAAACAAGGAAAATGAAGCGTGCTAACGTCTGTGCTCAACAGGTAGCACAAAACACAACATGGATGACGGCACGACAGCACATAGCGCTGCACTTTTTGAGCGCGCGGCGGCGTAGATTCTCCGAAGTACACGAAATCGATCTACGAGTAGTAAATTCAATCCTCACGAAAAAGAGCAACAAGAAAAACTATATGCATGGGTGTACACGGACATCATCGTGATATCCCCACGATGCCTCGCATATTGTAACCACACACAGACATCGCGAGGGTAACACTGCGTAACCATAAGGTCTCATTTATTGATGGATACACAAAAAAAGTCGGTGTCAAGAGATAACTTTCCAAGATTTCATCTTTGGCATCCCATTCACACGACGTAATGCATCAAGAAGCTTTACGACTTTGTATCCAATGTCTATCAGGGATATCGCATGAATGCATGTGGAACATCATTGCATGATAAACAACCCCAAAGTAACCACTAGTCTGGGAGCATTGCGGTGTCATTTTGGGTTCCCATCACCTTTTGACAAGGTTACCCAAACAAGCCTGAGGCTAGTTTTCTGTTGAACAAAGAGCTTGTTTGTCAACAAAGATTGCCATCCACGTAGGACGTACCATCATGCAAAAACACCAGCTATCCCTGACAACACGATCGATCAATCATCAAAGTATACACACACATCACCTAGTAAAAAGTAGTTACCCCCTATGATGGCAGTGAGGCGAGGTGATATACAAGGTAAACAAACATCAAAAGCAGCCGTGTGCACATGTATAGAGAGGATCTCGACCAAGCGAATGGGCGGTGGTGGGAGAGACGTTGCCTTATCAAGGCGATTCGTTCAAGTTTTTTTTAAGTTATTGTTTTTTTCGCTCTCTTTTCGTTTTTCTCTTTTTCTCTTTTTCTCTCTCGCTCTCCCCTTTTTTGTTGTGCTCACTTGAATCAAACTTGTCCAAGCTGGATGAGCACTTGTCGTCAATTTGGCTCTTTGTTCCTTTATTAGCATGAATCATAATCTTCCTTATCCATCACCAACCGCATCTTCAACGTCGTCGTCATCATCATCTTTCGGTCCGATCCCGCCACCACCAACTTTTGGATACACTACTGAAAGGTAGAGAGAGATACATACTTGCAAAAGTTGCCAATGCAAAAGGTATCCATAAAAGTATATTCACCCCTATATAAAAGCCAATCCTTCAGCAGACAACTGCATCCTAGTTCTCTTTCCACCAAACACAGCTATATCACCACCTCATCACCGCTTTTTTTCCCAAGCCCAACATCGTCACCGCTGATTCCATATAACATGGAACAGCATCAACATCATCAGCATCCACCTTTTAATCATCCACCACCATATTCATATTCGTCTCCTCGATCGCACATTTCTTCAACATCGACTATGTCAGTGGTTCCATCGCCACCCTCCAGCTGTCCTTCGTCATCCGCCGCTCCATTTTCAAAGTAAGGATTGTGTAACGCGTCTTTGCCCCCTTCGCTAATTGCTCATCCTTGTTAGCAACATGCGATATGAAGTTATATTGGAAGGTAAATGACCATCTTTGTGCATTCAACATTTAGATGCATCCACATGACTCATATCGGTGCTCATTAACAATGACGATCCTTCATTATAAAAATCTAGCTCCTACTGCAGCAGCACAAAAGAGCGAGGATTTACCACTGACTTATCTAAACAAAGGTGAGAGAGCAGCAGCATTGCCAAAGCACAAATGATCGTACGTGTATAAACATGTTGTCATACATACCATGTAGGCCAAATGTATGGGTTAAGCATAACAGATGCAGAGGAATTTGAAGGTGACATCTCGACCACCGTCAGCATCATGTTCCATGACGAGTCGCATCGAAAAGTCGCTGTTGACTTTTGGAAGTTTTGGTTGAGCCAGCAAAAAGATCCTGACAATGCACGTGCTATAGACATTGGTAAGTGATGAATGAATGAATGGCTGACAACAGATCACACCACTCACTAAACGATACATAGATACAACGCATAGCAATGGCGTTTACAATATCGAATGTCCTTACTTTGATGGTATCTCTTTTCGATGGAATGGCAAAGCTGGCGTATCTATCAACATTCGATTCAACTTTTTGTCCACCGATTTCTCTCGTATCAAAGGTGTCAAGGGTATTCCGCTGCGTTTACACGTCGCCTCACAAGCCGTTGCCGCCGAATCAACACCATTGGAACGATGTTATTGCCAAATCAAGCTCTTTCGGGATAAGGTAATGTCCTCGCATGACAACAATTTTCATTGTCTTGCATCATTGAATCTCATTTTATTCTCCAAAAAAAAAAGGGAGCCGAACGAAAAAACAAGGACGATGCACGTCATATTGAAAAGCAATTAGAAAAGTTACGTGGTAAGACAACAATGAATGATCCTTATTATACAAGGAGTAGTAGTAACTTAACGCCATCATGATGATAGGCAAAAATGGTGAACCCCATCCAATGTGGTTAGGGTATTTGCAAACGCAGCCCTACACGGTCCTTTGTGCCTTTGCATCATCCTCACCCCCACCATTAACACATCCCCACCATCTATTGCAGCAACAACAACAACAATACCATGATCACTATCGACGATTTAACGAGCATACTACTGTATCATCGTTACCTATGACCCCCACTACCACCACCCAAGGCGTTGGTGTTAAACGACCTTATGACATGACACCTGGTGGTGGTGTTACTATTCCACCACCACCCTCATCAGCAGCAGCACAGCATCAGCAGCCTTATTTTATGCCTCCAACAGTGACAGATATGGACCCATCCTATGTTCCTCAGCAACGGCGTCGTACAGCAAGTAAGTTTTGTCACCTTTTATAGGTAGCATGATGATGCCATTCGACCAACTCCTTTTATGATACTACTAGAATTATGCCTATTTGCAAAGTTGCCCAATGAGCACCTGCATCGTGCCATTTATCTCGAGGAATTGACTGTGGAAGACTTGAAGGACAAGCTCGCCAGCAAAATGGGACATGAAAACAGCAGTCAAATTAAGGAGGTCGTTCGCCGCGTGGCTGGTAAAGAAGATGTGGTTGTACAGATCGACGATACGGTCGTAAGCGATATGCCCGAGGAACAAGTCTTGGAGGTCGAAACAAAGTCCAATGACAATGATGACTCCTTGACGCTTATGCTTTTGTATTGATCCATCGTTGGCTGTCTCTTTTCTTTTTCCTTCTCTTTTTACATTTTGCTTTTCGTTTGCGTGTTGTGTGTGTGTGTGTATGTGTATGTTGGTGTCGTCGATGTATATATATATATGATAAGTTCAATGCATGGTGATCATCCCATTTTCTTTGTTTTCATACTAAAGATGCCCGTTCATTTCCCTTGTTGATGCTTTGTATGGGTCAATGTCAATTTCTCAGATTTGATGAACGCGATTGTCGGTGAAGGAATGCTATTACCATGGCTGTGTAACCTATAATTGTAGTGCAAGCCAAGACTATGTGTGAAAAGCTTGAATTGAACGGCTGAGCAAGGGCTCAGAAAAAAAACTGCCAAGTAGCTTGGCTATGACGATATAGACTTTATTTTTTTTAGTTTTGCCAGTTTACGCTAGATAAAGAAGAAGCAATGTTGACAGCAGTGACAATAGTAGTAGTAGTGGGATTCTATCTGTAAAAGTGCTAACTTGGAAGTTCGTATCACGATAAGAGTAGATCCATTCCCATCCAATCATCCTTTTGCGTAGAGCACTTCTCATGCATATACTGCGTGATTCAATAGATTACCGTGTGCGTGCCAAGTTTTTATTACGAAATGGATAAACATCACTTGAAGGAGGAAAAACATTATCCATGTATGTATGTGACACCTTGATCTCTTCTCTTGCTCTCTCTGTCTCTGTCTCTCTTTTCTCTTGGCAAGTAGCCCCGTTGCTAGGGTGATTTGTATCATCCGGGAAATCAAATCATGTGAACGGCGTAACTAGCGATCATCATGATATAAAATGAAAGCGAGGATCTTGTTGGTTGGGTGGGTATCTTTCCACATTTCTTCTGTGGTACCTTTTTCCGAGTTTGATGCACCACGCTCTATTACACTTGTTGTATCAACAGGCTTGATGTTTGAAGACCCTGCCCCCCTCCGTTTTCGTACATTGGACATTCTGCGAACATTGGCCAAGCACATTCTCAACGACTTGTCTCACGAGGAGGTCAGCATTCAACACAATACAGGTGCCGGACTTATTATCAGAGCTTTTGAAGGTGTCGATTCACCCTTACCTGGTACAACCAAATCCGCCAAGAAAATCAAGGTCGCCAATGCTTGCGAGCGATGTCGAAAACGCAAAACGGGTTGCGATGGGTACTTGCCTTGTGGGACTTGTGTCAAACAACGACACGAGTGTCGCTATGCACCAGGGGTATCAGCTCCTTTACGACCTTCCACCGCGTCTCCACCGCCACCACCACAAAACGACGTGCCATTGCCGACACCTCCTGAACCCAGTCCACGTATACAACAACAACAACAACACCAATCCTTTAGAATGGATCGATTCAATGCTGCTACGACGACTACGACGACGTCTACTACATCATCCACTCCTCCTGTCAACGTGGCTCCTCCAATGACATACAACCCATCCACACCTATGGCATCTCCTCCCACTACAACAAATTGTCCTGCACAGCATTGCATGTCAATTGATCCATCAGGTCACTTTATGGGTGAAACATCTTTTTATGTCAACAATGCCAACATGGCATCATCCCTTCTTCCAGCAACATCATCCGTGTTTCCGCCACTCGAGATTCCGAATCTATCGATTGAAATGCAATCCATGCTTGTGGAGTATTATTGTGCCAAAGTGGATCCGTTTTTCCCTTCGATCCTTGGTAAACATCGAATTTTCATCGAACTCGATCATTGTCGCACAGGTCAACCTTCCACGCTCTCGCCTCTCTTTTTTTACGCCTTATTTGCACGTGCCATAGCAACAGCAGCATCGTCTCATGGCAACAACAACAACAACCCTCCTCCTTTGGCAGCAGCGATTGATCCAAGTTTGAGCCAGCACTTTTTGCATATGGCTTTAAAGCATCGTGACGAATACTATGATACACCCCATTTCAGCACCGTGCTTGCGTTAGTGATCATCGCCAATCAATTGGAGCATAGCAAATTGGAAAAGCATCTCACGCGTGCATGGCTCTTAGTGGGTGAAGCTGTACGTCTAGCCATTGATATGGGTCTTCATCGGATTTTTCGATTCCGCCAAAAGGAGAATGATTTGGAAGCACAATGGTGCATTCGCACCTTTTGGTCATTGTTGGTGACTGAACGCACAATGAGTATGACCTATGGAAGACCTTCCATTCTCGATGAAAAGGACATGTAAGTAGTATCATGATCATCATGCCATTTCCACAGCATGGGCTCATTTTTTTATTGTAGTGACATCCCCTTACCAGAATACGTTGCAAGCGAGGATGATGAATATACAGCTGATTATATCAAGAGTCTTCGATACATGACCGTCATGAGCAACATTGCTGGGAAAATTATACGTTACAATTACAGCGTACAAACACAATTACCTGGAGCCTTCAAGGTACATAGGCAACATTATCATGCGATAGCTCATCATCATTGACATTTTTCATTTGCAGACGAATGCGACCATGTCCACAGTCGACACATGGCTTAGTTCTGAATGCCATCCCTTGGAAGAGTACCTTGCCAATATCCGGGGATCGCAAACGACGAAGAGTAGGATGAATGGCTTAGAGGCGCTGTATTTCATGCACAACCTTATTCAGGCACACCGCCCATTTGTCAACCAGGATAGTGGAACCAAGGCACCCTTTGCACGCCCGTCATTTGAAATATGTTTCCTTGCTGCCATCATTATCAGCTATGTGGTGTATACCATTCCACACTCTGAGCTGATTCAATTATCAATGTCGCCGCCCACGTTGCATGTTGTGGTGATGGCCTTGCGTATTCATCTGGCGAATGCTTCCTCACATGAGTCGGATCGAAGGACTACTATATTTAGCGAAATATCATTTGACAAGACGATGGCTCGATTGGATTCGCTTCCTATTATTGCAAACAATATCCATCAAGCTTCAATGCTATCAAGGACATTGGAGTATCTCAAGGCAAGATACCATCAACGATCGCAATCGATTGTATCTGGATATGCATCAACCATCACCATGACGTCTCAACAGCAACAACCCACCACCACATCCATGGCAACAACAACAACAAGCACTGCTGCAAATGATCATCATGGCTCAATACAAGTAATGTCATCACCCTACAAGACGTCAACAGATTCAAGTAGTAGTAGTAGCAGTGCTACCACGAGTCAGCCATTTACATTTATTGCATTTCACTCGGATGGCACAACACGCCGTCGAGCTTCATCATCTCCATCATCTTCCAGACGCAGGCAACAACAACGACAGCAACAACAGCAAACGTCAACTAACACTACCACCACCACCAACAACAACAACAATACGTCTTCATCATCCTCACCACCACCACCACCACCACCTACTGGATATGGACTTCTCGATATACCAACACCCGCATTACCCTCCTCCACTTTGGACATGTACAATAACCAAGCTGATTACTTTTTCCCTGCCCCTGAAGGAGATCCAGATCTTCCAAGTTCAATATTATCCAACAATGAATTTCATTACTTTTAAACATGATCTTTTGGGTTGAATGGATGGGTGGCTGATTTATTAGCATGGATCGGGTGGGGATAGATGGGCTGCTTTTGGATTTACTTCTCAGCTTTGACACCAACACATACACACACATACATACAATAACACCAATGCCGGCATTTCCAGCATTGCAGCAGACGTCTTCACCTGCATCAGGCACCATGACGGACGATCCAAGTGCATTGCCCATGATGGATCAACAACAGCAGCCCATTACGACCCATGACAATAGCAAGGGTGGTCTTTTCAGCAACATTACTTCGAACCCTTACTTTTCTGCAGGTTTTGGTCTTATTGGTGTGGGAGCTGCTTTGACGGTGCTTCGACAAGGATTGAATCTTGGTGCAGCCTATGTACAACGTCGTCTCTTGGTGACACTCGAGATTCCTTCCAAGGACAAGTCGTATTTATGGTTCCTGCAATGGATGGCACAACAATCACCCAAGCGACGCATGCAACATTTAGCTGTGGAGACCTCCTACAAGCAACATGATAATGGCAGTATCACCACCACGTTTGGATTGGTACCTGGTCCTGGTATCCATTATTTCCGATGGCATGGTGCATGGATGAAGGTGCAACGACAACGGGATGGCAAAATGATGGATTTGACAACCGGCAGTCCCTGGGAAACCATCACCATCACCACACTGTCAAGGGATCGTCACGTGTTTACAGAGCTACTCGAAGAAGCACAAGCCATGGCACTCAAAAAGCAAGAAGGAAAAACCGTCATTTATACCTCGTATGGCCATGAATGGCGTCCCTTTGGTATGCCACGTAGACGGCGCATGCTCGAATCGGTCATTCTTGATGCTGGTATCAAGGAACGCATTGTGGATGATGTCAAGGCCTTTATTGGTAATGGAAAATGGTACAATGAACGAGGTAAGTCTTTACAGAAAGTGGGGGGGGAGAGGGATCCATTGTTCAAACAAAGAATTCATTTGGATGTTGAAAGGTATTCCCTATCGACGTGGTTACCTCTTGTATGGTCCTCCTGGATCGGGCAAAAGTAGCTTTATCCAAGCCCTTGCAGTAAGTAGTATTTTGATATCGAGATGATGGATGCTGAACATTGGCTCTCATTTTTAGGGCGAGCTCGAATACAACATTTGCATTCTCAATTTATCGGAACGAGGTCTCACCGATGATCGTCTGAATCATTTACTAAGCAATGTACCTGAACGAAGCATCATGTTGCTGGAAGATATCGATGCAGCCTTTACAAAACGTAAACAATCAGACAACCAAGGGTAAGACACACAACCATGGCATATACACATACATATACTAATGATGACTCATGATGATATGTATATATATATAGATACCAGTCAATGATCACTTTTAGCGGTTTATTGAATGCTCTAGATGGTGTGGCATCGGCAGAGGAACGCATCATCTTTTTGACCACCAACCATGTTGAGAATTTGGATCCAGCCTTGATTCGACCAGGACGCGTTGATCTCAAAGAGTTTCTCGGCAATGCAACAGAACTACAGATTCGCAACATGTTCCGACGATTCTATGGCGATGATGAAAAGGCATTGGAGGATGCATTTGTGCAGCGTATTGCCGACAAGGATATCAGCACAGCTGGATTACAGGTATGTATGCCATTGGAAGGGAGGGCTAAAGAGAAGGCAATCACTCACCTGTACCTGATAGGGCCATTTTGTGTACTTTAAAGATAGACCTAAAGAAGCAGTTGAACAAGCCGAATTGCTATGGACTCAATTGCAGTAATAGATTAAAAGTAGCTTTTTGTATTATCTTATTATTGACGTGATCGACATGTGGTGATGAGTTGGCTATACATGAACATGTTGTAGTAATCTGCACCTCCTCCTCCGATAATTGAAAAGCAGACAATGGCTGAAGGTCGTGTAACTGTACAAAGAATGTGATGAATGATCACCATGCGAGATTACAGACCCAGCTTGCATAAATTTGGTTCATGATCTCTGACAGCCAAAGTTGTCGTGGGAAAGAATAGCGAGCGTTGTAACCCCATCAGACGCACAAAGGATTCTTTCCCACATCAAACTTAATAGCAACACCCCATAAAGTGCGTGTTTATTGGGTATGTTATCGGTACACAATCATTTAGCCCCACGTTACTACTACGACCCCAATGACGATGCCGATGCAGTGACCAGCGTTGATAGTGTGCGCACAATATGGCTATGCATGTGATATAGATGAGAGATTAGCATGATGATGGACATTATGGTTGCCATGTCAACAACTCAGCACTGAAACAGGGATATGCAAATTCAAAGTGGGTACCTAAAAGCTAATGACAAAAGATGAATGCATATCAAGATGTAGTGAATTGATCATATATCTACCCTGTAATTGTAGTTGTATGCATGCACCTTATCTGGGGGGGGGGTAACCATGCTAGGCCACATCAAGGTGACTCATAGGAGCAGTCCGATAAAAGGCGATCATTTTCCAGACAACCCACTTGTTGTCAATCCTCTTTCTTCTACCCCCGCTTTCACACCCATGCACCGATTCCACCGATCGACTCGTCTTGTTGCCTCTACACTTTCTCGACATGGTGCCAAGCCCAATGTACTTTATAATTGAACCTGATCCACGCTTGTGGTTTTTTCTCACGCCGTTCCCACGTTACGTTTGTTCACTCTAGGTCCGGTTTATGAGTAGTCTTCCCAAACCAGTGACAGAGGTAAAAGAAAATGCATTCAATCTATATCACAACGTCTTATAGAATGGTATCAATAGATTACACATCCTGATGCCAATGTATCTCCAGCAACACAAGAGACTGTTCAACGTTTCAACCAATACACCATGTCCACCTATGGTCGACCTGATCTTGTACTGAACCGTGGGCAAGGCTGTTATGTGTATGATACGGATGATCGTGCCTATCTCGATTTCACTGCCGGCATTGCTGTTGTTGCCTTGGGCCATGCCGATCCACAAGTCGCCAAGGTATTGGAAGAGCAAGCCAAGAAACTTGTACACACCAGCAACTTGTATTATAGCGAGACGGCTGGCTTGCTTGCTGAAAAGATCGTAAAGACCACGCAACAACATGGTGGCGATTGGGCCAGCAAGATTTTCTTTGCCAATTCAGGAACTGAGGCAAACGAAGGTGCATTGAAATTTGCTCGCAAATGGGGCAAACACATTGCAGGCGAGAACGGCAAAAAGACCAAGATTATCTCTTTTGTAAATGGTTTCCACGGTCGATCCATGGGTGCTTTGTCCGCCACTTACAATCCCAAATACCAAATCCCATTCGCTCCTTTGGTGCCTGGATTTTCATCCGTTCCTTACAATGATGTCGACGCTGCTCTCAATGCCATTGACGATGATGTATGTGGTGTGATCATTGAACCTTTCCAAGGCGAAGGTGGTATCCATTCAGCCAACAAGGAATTCCTCGAAGCATTGCGTAAGCGTTGTGATGAAAAGAAGGCATTGTTGATCTTTGATGAAATTCAGGTAATGTTTTATAAAGTGCACATATGGATCGATCGGGTTACTCATTGGGTACATGTATAGTGTGGTCTTGGCCGTACGGGTAAATTGTGGGGTCACGAACATCATGGTGGCATCAAGCCTGATCTTTTGACTATGGCCAAGCCGCTTGCCAACGGTGTGCCCATTGGTGCTGTCTTATCCAGTGACAAGGTGTCTCAAATCATTAAGCCTGGTGATCATGGTACCACTTTTGGTGGCAACCCACTTGCTACCGGTGTGGCCCTCCATGTCTTTGGAAGGATAAGCGATGAAAGCTTCCTCAAGTCTGTGCAGGAAAAGGGTGATGCATTGAAGGGTGATCTTAAGGCACTTCAAGCTGAAATGCCTGATGTCATCAAGGAGGTTCGTGGTCAAGGTTTGCTTTTGGGCGTTGAGTTGTTCAAGGATCCTTCGCCCGTTGTCAAGATGGCTCGTGAACGTGGTTTGCTTTTGGTGACAGCTGGCTGCAACACCATCCGCATTGTTCCCCCACTTGTCGTTACCCCTGAAGAAGGACGTGAAGCTGTCGCTCGTCTTGCAGGTGCTTTGCAGGAATTCAAAAAGTCTGCTTAGATTTACTAGATCTGTTATATATAAAGTTGTATCAATGACACCAGAGAACTCTAAAAAAGGGTACATTATGGGAAAGGCAAGGGATTTGATAAAAGGTTTCTTGAGCACATAGCCTATTCAGGATGAACCCGATGCATAAATCAGGCTACCATGCATGGACGACATTACACCTAGGCTCTTCAGACTTAATCCTGGTATCGCTTTATCAGCTCATGTTCCAATCGACTAATGTATCATCCCCCAACAAACATTTTATCACTTTTGGCGAGCACAGAAATCCCCACGCCCACCGTAAACAATAAAAGGATGGTGTCGACGCCTATCATGATCCCACGCCTCTCTTTTCTCTATCATACTTCCTTGATTGCTTACCATTTCAAACGTCCAAGGTTTTGTTGCTTCATTGTTATCCTGCTCTCATTGTTGTCGTGGTCGTCATTGTCATATTGAATCCTTGTAATAAGGTAAAGCCTAACCATAATGATTGATAAATCACCGTCTCATGTAGATTACAATGTTGCTTTCGATATAGCTATTTCCCGTGATGCATCCGCAAATCTAAATTCGTTCCATGGTCTAGCGTTGGATGCTGAAATTGAGCAAAGTCCCTTAATCTCGTTCTCTTTCACTTCACGAATGCCAGCACTATACCACATTTATTTTCTAACAAGCACGCGCCAAAGAGTCGAGGTGGCCGTAAACAAAGCAGCGTTGGACGCCAAGCATAGCAATGACCTCGATTTCAAGAATTGGGTGACAACATCACTGCTTGTAACTATTACAAGGTGAGTACATCAGAACCTGTTGTAGCCATATCTTCCAATTTACTATTGTCTTTGATAGGAACAACCTTATACTAGTTCCGTCAAGTCATGGATTCATGGCTTGTATTCCCTCCCAGCACCGGGACCCGTTATTCATCACTTACACAAGACACTATATACTTTAAAACAGATCACCTTGGCAAGATAAAGCTAAACCATGGATGTTTGGGTCATTGCCGGAAACCCAGAGGCTACGAACAAGTTTCTACCAAGATACGGCTCATTGCTTTGGGGCCATCAAAGGATGGAAAGGCGAATGTTCAGGGTTATCAACCCTATAGAGGGCTCAACCGCAGCAAGAAATGGAGATTGGCGATGGTCACCTTCAGTAATTACCGTGTATCCGAAGTAAGTTGCTTTGCTTATCACTCTATATGACCATTGTCTCATACAATTTCTATGCTATTGAAGGGGTGTACTACCAATGCCATAAACGATCATCTCCGTCTTGCTTTGTGGAAATCAAAACTGTGTACCTTTTGGAACCGAGATGTAATGCTCAAGAACATCTTTGGGATTTCCAATGCCTTGACAACGACCACAAGCATTACATCATTAGTAAGTAGCAAGCATCCATAAGCACCCGATGACTCCCTAATTTATCCATCCTTAGTTCATCCCGCTAACAAAAGCCGGCGATGTTTGGTCACATTGTGTGATCAATCGATCAAAGTCCAATAAATGAGAATGTGAATAATGAACAACTTTATCCAGTGAGCACAATGTTGGCTTTAATGCAGTAAAGAAATGACAGGGATGATAGCGTAGGAGATGTTGTATAGAGATCGTAAAATGTCTATTGTATGAAATCTTAGGCGGTCTCATTGAGAGCTTCTTCCAATCGCTCGACAAGGGTCTTGTTCTCTTCTTCTGTGCCAACGGTAATACGAAGACAACCAGTGCATCCATACTCCTTGCCACGGAAACGAACGACGACATCCTTGGATTCAGCCATAAGCTTGTATATCTTCTCACAGCGAGTGTTGCAAGGCTTGCCATCCTTATCCAAGATCTCGAGCAACACAAAGTTGGCATCGTTGGTACCCAAAATGCGACCGAGGCCAGGAACCTTAAAGTTTTGGAATTGCTGGATAAGGACGTTACGTTGAGCAATCAAGGCGCTGCGGTATTCGTTCATCTTGGCAAGACCTTCGGGGGATAAAGCATCATAGGCGATTTGAGCGCTTGGCGTACCAATGTTGTAAGGGGCCTTGGTGTTGTTGAGGATTTGAATAAGGGCACTATCAGCAATAGCAATACCCAACCTGAAAAGAACATGTTAGGACAACATCCCTCCCATCATTCATTCATCATCCATCTTACCGGATACCAGCAAGACCAAAGCTCTTGCTCAAAGTTTGCATGACCAAAAGATTGGGATACTTGGAAGTCCAGCTTGCAACGGATCCATTCTCCTGCTCAACGAAATCAACATAGGCTTCATCGACCACCACAAGACCTTCATAACCGGATTCAAGGATCTCTCGGATGCTATCGTGCTTGAGGCATGTGCCTGTGGGGTTGCCTGGTGAACAAAGAAAGACCACCTTGATGGTAGGATCGGCTTTGATCTTGGCAATCACCTATAGGATAGCACCATCTCATCAATCAATGACTGATTCTATTTCCCAAATACAACAACATGCATGCATATACTTACATCGTCTGTACGCACTTGGAAGGCACCCTTCTCCACATCCAAGTTTGATTTGACAACACCCACATCATTGATTTGTGCACACACGGAATACATGCCATAGGTAGGTGGGGTGATAAGGATCTTGTCTTTGCCGGGAATACAGCAGATACGAAGCACCAAGTCAATAACCTCATCAGAACCAACACCGAGGAAGACTTGGTTGGTCGAAGGAAGGTTGCGATACTTGATTAGGCGTTCCTTGACACGCACATGGTATGGATCGGGATAACGGTTGAGATCGCCGTCGACTTGGTTTGCAAGAGCAGGGCCGTAAGCATTCTCGTTGGCATCAAGAAGAACACCGCTATCGTAGTCATCGCGTGCACAACGATAGGGAAGCAATGCAAGAATATTAGGACGAATGAGCTTTTCAAGTGTGAAAGGCATTGTGAACAACGACGACAATAGAGAAGGTAAGTGGGTGGAGATAAAGCAAAAAGGGCGAAACTTGGATTTTGACAGGCCCAGCAATGACTCATGAAGCGCTATCCGTGACTCACAGAAGAGATGGAAGTGATAGAAAGTATAGCTCTCACATATCATAGCTACTACCTATCCCCCCTCTACGACTCGAATATTTTAAAGTAGCATTATTTCCTTTTATCATTTGTATTCATTCCTTCAAAGGCGGCATATATAAAGGTGCCATCATCCTATTACTCGTCTCAGCATCGATATCATCATTTTGCATTGTTTGTTGCTTTGCATGATATGTCTCCATACCAGGGGAAGACATGAGACAGCCCAGTGGGTGGATTGGTGGTGATGGCATAAGAACGACATCATTGTCATGCTAAACTATTCCCCGAAAAGTACTTTATACCATGACCCGGGCGGGCTGTTGGAAGATTTCCATGCAAGAGATAAGGCGATAGTAGAGCGGTAATTGTTTTGCGCCATGGGTGAAACCTGCATTCTGGGTGAAATAAAAAACCGAGGAATTACTTATAAGAACACACGCGATCTTGCCCTTCCCTTCTTCTCTCTACACTTATATCATGTCTTCCTCTTCTTCTATTGTCAACAAATACTTTATATCATCGGTGCAAGAACATAGACCTTTGGCCCCAAAGCAACCCATTGAGCTATACAGCAACAAGTACTTTTTGGCTTGTGGGCTAGGCGGTATCTTAGCATGTGGGTATGTAATACATACACGCGCTTTATGCATCACTTGGAAACAATCAATTCATCACGAATGTGTGTCTATATGTATAGCCCAACACACTCCCTCATGACACCCCTTGACCTTGTCAAATGTCGCTTACAGGTAAATGATACATGCACCACCAACGCGTCAATAGTGTATGCGATAGCAATATACTTATCATAGCCCCTACAAACGTTTAGGTGAAACCTGACCTTTACAAGGGTATCTTTGATGGCTGGAAGACCATTATCAAGGCTGAAGGTTTTGGTGGTATCTTGGTGGGTCTTGGTCCTACTGCCATCGGTTACTCATTCCAGGGTGCTGGTAAATACGGTCTATACGAGTACTTTAAATATACATATGGCCAAGCCGTGGGTGAAGAAGCTGCCCACAAGTACAGAGGCATTCTCTATCTTACAGCATCGGCATCTGCCGAATTCGTTGCTGACATATTTTTATGCCCATGGGAAGCGCTCAAAGTACGCATGCAAACCTCCTATCCACCGTTCGCACGAAATGCAAAAGAAGGATTCCAAAAACTCAAGGCTGCTGAAGGCTTGAAAGGCTTTTACAAGGGCATTGTACCTTTGTGGGGCCGTCAGATCCCATACACCATGATGAAATTTGCCTCTTTTGAAGCCACAGTGGAAATGATTTACAAGACATGCCTAAGCAAACCAAAATCTGAATACAACAAGATGCAACAGGTAAGGTTGATGATGATGGAGTCCATTACTATGTATTCGATTCACTCACTTTCAACATGATGATGTATATAGCTCGGTGTCAGCTTTATGGGCGGCTACATTGCAGGCATTTTGTGCGCCACTGTTTCACATCCTGCTGATGTGATTGTCTCCAAATTAAACAACCTACCAGAAGCACCCTCAGGACAAAAGCAAATGACCGTCATGGATATTGCCAAGGATCTCGGTTGGAAAGGTGTATGGCGTGGCTTGGGACCTCGTATTGTTATGATCGGTACCCTAACAGCCTTGCAATGGCTGATTTATGATACGTTCAAAGTGTATGTTGGTTTACCCACTACAGGTGCTTCAGATGGAGATGATAAGCAACCTACTAAGAAATAAAGATGTCGGCTATTTCATTGTTAACTACTAGTGAGGGTATACTATAAGAGTGTTTATTGTATTTGAATAGACCATGGTTTAATTAAGGAGATCATATAGAGTGGTTGGGGATCACTGCTACAGCCAAGCATAGGTCATCGGAAGGCCAAGGCCAGCCTAAAACGGCAAACACTTCTCTCGTCGGACTTGAGTTATTTGTACATTCGTTTCTCTCCTCTCCCAAACACACCCATTCAACCCAACCTACACACAATCCATTGCAATGGCCACTCTCTCAAGGTAACTTGAGGATGATCAAGTTGAATTTGGACGTTTACTAATGGATTCATAATAGTCTATTGCCGAAACCTCGTCAACAGACAGTGGAATCAGCACCCACGTCATCTGCACCACAATATGAAAAGAAGTTGAATCAGCTTGCAACGACTCGCCCCAACGATCGCATTCCTCCATACGGCAAACGAGGAGGTTATCGACCTCGAGTACCCGAAGATTTCGGCAATGGTGGTGCATTTCCAGAGATCCATATTGCACAGTATCCCTTGAATATGGGACGTAAAGATATGCAGCCTACTGAACGCAGTGGAGGAGCCTTGACACTTCAAGTGGATGCTGAAGGCAATGTGAAATATGATGCGATTGCACGACAAGGACATGGTGATGATCGTATTATCCATTCATCGCTCAAGGATATGGTGCCACTCAAGGAGCGCAAAGATGTGGATGTTGAAAAGATTGCTATGGATCGACCCGGTGAAGAAGAAGTACAAAGCGTTGCTGAAAAGACAAAGGCAGCTCTCGAACGCATTGTCAATGTCAAGATCAAAGCAGCACAACCCAAGAACGTTGTCCAGACGAGCGGTGGTACCAACAAAGATCCCACCTATATCCGATACACACCTGCCACCAATCTAGCCAATGACAGCTTCAACGCCGGCGCCAAGCAACGTATCATCCGTATGGTGGATGCGCCTGTTGATCCAATGGAGCCACCTAGTTTCAAGCATAAAAAGATTCCTCGTGGACCACCCTCTCCACCAGCACCTGTCATGCATTCACCTCCTCGCAAATTGACAGCCAAGGAACAAGCAGAGTGGGTCATTCCTCCTTGCATTTCCAACTGGAAGAATACAAAGGGTTATACCATTCCTCTCGACAAACGTCTCGCTGCTGATGGCCGTGGCTTACAAGAAATCACTATCAATGACAACTTTGCAAAGTTCTCAGAAGCACTCTATGCCGCTGATCGACATGCTCGTGAAGAAGTTCGACAACGCAATCTCATGCAACAGAAATTGGCACAAAAACAAAAGGAAGCTGAAGAGGAAAAATTACGGGATTTGGCTCAAAAAGCACGTGAGGAACGGTAGGTGGTCTTTTTTCATTTACATCCTTCACACGTTATTCATTTATTGATGGTTGTTATTTATAGGGCTGGTCTCAAGCCATCGTCGTCGTCAACATCAGCAGCAGCAGCACCTCCTTCATCAGCCAATCGTCCTACAGCAGCATCTCTTATGCCGGATTATGATTCCTCCGATGACTCTGAAGAAGCAAGTGGCAGTGAAAGTGAAAGTGAAGATGAACGTCGACGACCTGCACGCCGTGATGTTGAAGAAGATGATGAAAGAGCACGTGAACGTGACCGTCTACGTCGTGAACGACAAAAGCAAAGAGAACGGGAAATGCGTATGAGTCGAATGGGTACAGAAGCAAAGGCAAAACACTTGGCTCGGTAAGTAAAATATCCCCTCATTTGGTATATTTCGTATAAATTCACACGCATGCATGCATATAGTGAATCCGGTCGTGACATCTCTGAAAAGATCGCATTGGGTCTTGCCAAACCTACCATGAGCAAAGATAGCATGTTTGATGCTCGCCTTTTCAATCAATCATCGGGCATTGGATCAGGATTTAAGGATGATGAATGTAAGTAATGGTCAAAGGGGGAAAGAGGAAGAATCCAATATCTCATCATCATGCATGATACAGCCTACAGCTTGTACGACAAACCATTGTTCAACCAAACCTCCTCGTCGATCTATCGATTCCGTGGCGATCAAAACGATTCGGACATCTTTGGCAGCACAGACGCAGAAGAATTGGAAAAGAGTATCCATCAAGACAAGTTTGGCATGAGAAAAGGATTTGCTGGTGCTGAAGGTAGTGGTCAAGGATCCAGTGGACCTGTGGAATTCGAAAAGGAGACTATGGTTGCATCATCTGCTGCTCCCAAGGAAGACGTCTTTGGTTTAGATACCTTCTTGAGCAAAGCCAAGAAAGGTAAAAGAAAGGCTAGCGACGATGAAGATGAAGAGTACGACCGCAAGGGCAAAAAGAGAGCATAAATCATCACCCCACCCACACACACATGTTTGTTTTTTATTTGATTCACCGTATAATAATAAAAAAAGAGTTCGGCGCAGCATCCGCGATCATATCCACGTTTGACTATTAAATGATCTCCCACGTGAAGTCCTCCTTTTCTGTAAAACTATAAAGTCATCTGACATGCCAAAAGCTGCAAAGCGCACAAATGCTTGTATTTTAATATGAGGCTGCACAACGTACAAGATTACCATTAGAATGACTAAGTAATAGTAAAAGTAATAGAGAAAGCATGTAAGGAACATAAAGAAGCATTAGAGGTATATACAATGTAAATGTGTATGATAGTATAAACGTTAATGATGGGAGTTGGTGTTGTGCCCCAGTTCATCTACCACCAGACGACCGACTCCTTGCTGGTCATTTCGACCGAGTGTCCATATTTGTGCATGACGGGAGAAAGTAAGAGATTTGGGATCCTTTAAGACGTAGAATTCACCATCGCACATGATACAAATCACGTTTTCACGTTCGTAGCGGTTCCGTTTCCACATGGAGCGGCGCCACCATGAAGAAGAAGGCTGCTGCGGCTTTGGATCGCGAAAACGGATTTCAAAGGGTGTCTCGAATTGGCCAAGGCGTGATACGTGATTTCTTATATTGGCAAGCTTTTTAAAATAGCTGATGAGATTCTGGATCACCATAATTTCCATGCGACCATCGTTGGCTCGTTGTGGTTGCCAATTGGATGGATCACTAGGACCACTTCTACGGCGTACGGATTCCAATCCTGAACGCGCTTCACCCCATAGATCCACTTCTCGTCCCCTGCATATCGTGTGACATGATGTATGAGAACGTGTTGACGCATCGATATAAACAAAGCTGCATATAGGATACTTACCAGATGTGAGGAATGTTTTGGATAACAAAATCAATAGGATGGTTCGTCATTTCCGGCAAATCGCGATCATTGTTGTTATGACCATGACGGGTATTCGGATCGGGTGCCTTAAGAACAGGCTCGTTGCCATGAACAATGGATTCAATAAAGTGGGTAACAGGTGGAAAGCGACGCCAAAAGACCCATTTGGCACTTTCAATGGTGTAAACAAGCACGTTGGCCATGCGATTTCCTGCACGATGTTTTTCAAATCCACTGCCAACATAGCCTTGAACGCCAATAGACATATAGTTGCACATTTTGCGTGTGAGAGAGTGGGCTGTGTTGCCATGGTTGCTGGGTTTCACTTCTGCAACGTCGTGACCATCACGCCTATCAGGTCCAGCAAGACGCACATAACCACTAGCGTGTGCCGTCATTTCTACCTGCCAAATATCCAAACGTGCTGGCTCGGATTGTAAAAGCCGTTCCATAACAAGTGTTTCCAAATGCTGTAATCCATGGCCAAGAATATCACGATGGGGTATGGTACGACCCCAGCCAAGCACTTGGCTAAAGTCATTACCAGTGCCAAATGGAATACCTAAAGTGTGTGTGTGTATTTCTCAAAAGTCAACCAACCACCTCCATAAACCTTCTTGATCTGCTTTACTGCTACTACTTACACGAAAAGAACACCTGGTCGAGATCAATATGATACGATGCCAACATTTCCACCACGCTCATGACTGTACCATCACCACCCGCACTCCATACTTGAAGATGACGCTGGCTTACAGCATGTGGCAGTTTCCCTTCTGGGATAGGCGGTAGTTGATCAAGGATTGATGCAATGCGTGTAATCTCCGCCATCCCAGCTTCACGATCTTCCTTGTCGAGAATGTTATGGATCTGAACTTGCACTTCTGGAAGTCGTCGTAATCGAAAATGTTGAATGGGAAGGGTAATCAATTCACGACCCTTTTCGTCACCAGATAATGGATTCACAAATATAAACAAGTATATGCTGGGAGCTGTCTTTGTAATAACAAAGTTGTCTACAAGGTGTGTGGATGCATGATGGAGTTGTTGCTGTTGCTGTTGAGGCGTTGTTGTGGATGACGGCCAATCATCGCATGATGATGTCGACATTGAATCAGTGGTAACAGGAGATAAACTTCCTTGCTCAACCTCGTCTTGACCCACAGGCCCTGAACAATAATAATAACAACAAGTGTCAGCTACGTCTACTACGCTTGTTGTAAAAAAAAGGGGGGGAGAATGTCGTACCAGAGAGGTGTTGTGGTTTCAAATGCAAAAGGTCGTCACTTGGATGATGATGTTGCGGTGAATCCAAGAGCGAAGATGAATGATGATATGTAAAGGTATGATGTGATGCTGTCATTGAATTGTAAAGAGAAAGAGAGGAAAAAGAAAAAAAAAAAAGAGATGGAGGAGAGGTGAAGAAAACGAATAAAATAAGCGCGCCGTTGTTTGTGAATTACATCATTTGCTTCGGTAACGGGTTGGATCACAAGTGAGGAAAGAAGGGGGGGGTGTGTGGGTGGTGTGGTGTGTGTGTGGATGGGGTTACCATTCATGAATGGCAGGCTTACAAACTAGCAAATAAGCGTCGTCTTATTTGGATCACATGGTGCCTTTGTTTAATGCACGCTTACCTGTCAAATGCTTCCCAACCAGTCTCGTTGATTCGGCTTCCTTCGGCACACCTCTTGAACATTAGTCATGCATCGGGCCGGCTGTGATCGTTCGTTCGTATCCATGGAAGAGACCAAGGTAAAACAATTTCTCCCATCGTATCATGGCAACACCATCACCATCCTAGCTACACCATCAAAGATGGACATGCCTTTGAAGGTCTAGAGCCAAATTAATAACATACCCTAACACAAGCACAACCTTGCACTTTGCTTTACTACTCTTAGTGTGGTTGGGGGGTCAGGCTAGTGTCTGCAACTTAAGCCAGATGAAGAAGATTGTCGTGTGATGCGGGGTGTATCATTTTGCCGAAATCCGTACTAATAGATTCAAACAAGGAAAGTAAGGAGGGGGGAGTTGAATGATCACACACAATAATCATCCATTGACTCGGTGCCACTGCTCCCTTCTCACTCGCCCTGCTTAAAGTATGTACAATTACATTATTCATTCAATCCAAAAAAAGAAGCCCTTGCTAAAATTTGATATCCAATTTGTCTGCGTAATTGGAGTCGTAGCGAAAGCATAATGCAAGATGATGCGCGCGAGTAGTGCTGACAGAAAGATGATGTTGCGGCTGCTGCGTGAGACTGCATGAAACTCGTGTGGTATATGTCATGATCACTTGTGTAACATCCCGCTTAAAATGGCACTTGCTGACCTTCTTTCTAGTTCCATGGCACTCGATAAAAGTCGATACGTACGCTTTTGTCAATATCACGTTGCTGTATCTCTAGCCACACACATTCATGCACAATGATGCACTAGTAGTCCCCCATATTTCTTGTGGCTGATATCCAACCATTTCACCTTGACGGCATAAGCACTCACCATCTCATCATCATCCCTTTCCTCCTCCTCCTCCTCCTCCCCTGCATTGCAAAACCAATCCAGCAGCCATACTCGTATATAAAATCCGTGTATTGATGTAGTTGTATTTGTCATTTCACACCATTTTTGAATCGTGTATCGTACTCGTGACAAGGTTGATTTTGGTGCTGCCGTATTACTAATGAATACATACATAATGACGAAATATCTATAAAAAAAAGTAGTTACATACATGTCTCATCACTGTACATTGGCTTCCTGCATACCTTGGTATACTTTCAAATCAAATCATTCCAAATCCCTCAGCATTGCTTATGCTTGTCAATAGTCGCTCACGTAATTTCTCTTTGCTATTGTACTCGCAGAGCAGTAGGACATTGTAACAGGTGTGCGACGTCGGTAACCTATCAAAGATATGAGTCTTCGTTTTGATTGCTTAATAAGCATGCATTTTACCTGTCAGAATCTGCTCCATTCTTTGCAATAACAAACTGCAGCTTGCCTAATCCTCCTATCGGGGCCTAAAAGATATATAATGTCAATCAACATGGCTATCCAATGGATATTGCAAAACTTACTCGATCCGATCCGGTCGCAAAGAAAAGTAGTTTCTTTTTCTCTTCATAGCTGAATTCATGGACAATCTCCCAAAAGTGCCTTTGCAAAACACAATCAGCATTTGTTTAAACATTGGAACAACATACTTGTTACCTACCTTATTATAGGTGAATCCTTTGTCCATCCTCCATCATACACGGTCGATTTCTCAAGTGCTTCAAAGTCCAAATCAGAGCTCCCGCATATCAGCTGTTCAATTTCCTCTGGTCGAAAGATCTGATGCATGATTAGTATGTCGTATCGATGATCCATGTAACAGCAACTTACATTGATGGCATTGTCGTGGCATAGCAATTCAAATCCTTCTCGAAATGCGTCAAACTCCTTTTGTATGGATTCGTTTAGAATGAACTTGGCATATAAATCGACAAATTCTATGCAGGGTGGTTAGTCACTATCCCAATCATCACCATTGGATGCAATTCTCATACCATGCTTATTCTCGTTGGTGAGCTTGATTTCACCACCCATAGGCTTGAGGTCGACCGTAAACACGTGGCCAAACGTCTCCATATCCACTTGGAATGATCGCTCAAACTCGGCTTGTACGTCTCCTTCAAACAATAACAATCGCTCCAATCCACGTGCGAGGCTCTTGATGAATAAAAAGCGATTAGCTTTTCATATACATCATTCACCTATCGAACCCACTTACCGGATCCAATTGCTTCAAATCTTCCAATCCAACCTCAACGCCCATCAATTTCTTATACAATGCAAGAGGTAAATGCAGGTCGAGAATGACGCTGTTGTATACGGCCAAAGCAAGGAGCAATCCAGCCAACTTGAACTCTGCCGTGTTTTCACCAGTTTGGTTTGGATTTGGCGTGAACCAATATAATCGTGACTCCTCGTTCATGGTAAACATGCCTACACAATGCCAAGTTAAACTATGTATCACTTTGATCCCCACATTTGCTCACGGTACGTACCATACTTTGGATCAAAGAGATCACGGATGATAAGTTGAAAAAACTCCTTCTGTACGCCTCCTTCATCCACGCCTTCCTCGCCAACAAATTGAACTCGTAGTTGCTTTTTGAGATCATGGATTGTCTTTTGTTCGAGCTATCATCATCATCATCCATCATCAGTCACGTGCTAAATGAGCGAGAGAGAAATGCATCCATGCGTACCTGGTGTAACGTATCGGAAATGATATGCTCTCGTCGGATGCAAAGCACTAGATACGGGCTATTGACACCTAATGGCAAAGATTAGACATACCACTATTGAGGATTGAGATAAGACATACCAGCGAACAATGCACGAAAAAAGGCATCTTGCAATTCATGTCGCATTTGAAAGACACTTTCCACTTTAAGGATATCGGCTTTGGCAGTGGCGTTCAAAACGAAGGGGTAATCACAAAAAGAGAATCTACCTCATCAAAGTTAGTATTCCATTACCCCAATTCGGTATTCGTGTACTTACCCTTTGCGTTCCTTGTAGTTGGGTATATCGACCTTGATCTCAAGGTGGTCATTGATAGCATCATTGTAAAAGCTGGTATAATCGACAAAATGGCGTTGCTCGTTGAGACGATCTGGGGATAGTGGTGGTATAAGATGGCTGATCAAGTATTCGAATTTCAAGGCTTACATAAGATGGCAATGCATTTGGTGACATTGATCACAAGGCTGTCCTGATACGGTGACACCTTTTTGTCGGAAATGGTTGAGCGTTGCGAGAGCCGTGCATGAATGGCCTGATGTAATATATCGAGGAGATGCATAAACAAAGCTTGATGATCCTTATCGTCGTCATTCGTAGGTTCAATCAAATTTTGCACAAGGAGATCTTGATGCGGTTGTGATAGGTTGGTGATGGATTCACATAGCTCCGTCAAGAGATTGTCGCTATAGCTGGGATCAATGAATGATGGACACTAACCCCTTAATGAATCAATAAAAGATCCTCCACAATCAACATGTCATTGTATTTACCTGGAATAAGATGACAATGGCGTGGATTTGTTCTGATGCATGCTCATCCATACTGTGTCCACAACGCAAAGTACTCTGTGCAATCCCGGATAATCGTTTGAGAGCATCTCGTGGAAGCTATGTACGCTGTATTAGTACCTTTTCATACCGGACCAGTAAGACTAAAGAAGTGCTCACATCGTTTTGTATAATGTCGAATGCCTGCCTTGCTTGTGCTTTATCAACCGGACATGGCTGTTGATCGACCTGGTAGTTGAATAGCCAATGACCCTGATTAGGTACTCCCTTCTTTGTTTTATCGTCCAAGGACCTTACTGATACGAAACTCTTGGCAAGAAGGTGGACATTGCCAAATGCTAGGAACAATCGATTGACAAGGGGAGTCCAGTCGCTGGTCGCTTGACACCGAGCATTGAGCATTTGGATCACTTCAAGGTCGACGGATACTAGGAACAAGTCAATACAAGCTATCCACGATGCCCGATTGGCCAATGACAACGGGGTTTACCTGATGACGATTTCATATTGGCAGTGAACAAGGAAGAACAAGAGAAACCACAACGACGACAATGACACCGCTCCTGTAACACAAAAGCAGTGGTCCCTTTATGCACGCTAACGAGTCATCAGGCTGATCATGTAAAGCAATAACAAAAGAATGCCAATAAACCTACACACAGCATGTACATGTTTATCATCGTTATCGGATTTCTTTACTATAAACGTTACTTGATTTTACTACTATAAAGCGAATGGGTCACATGACTTGGCGATCACCTTTGAACGTGGTAGTAGTGGTATGGGGTTTACTTTTAATCAAGTGAAGATAAGAAAGAACTATATTATTATACAAGGAGGAGGAATACAATGTGTGTGTTGGATGATAGAAATAATGGGGTGTGAGATGTGATGAGTGATGTGACAAGTCTAGTGCATCTTTGATGCTTGGATTTCCTTGGCCTTCTTTGTAGGATCAACCAGGGCAAACCAAATAATGGTACCCATACCAATAAGAGCAGCAATGATACAAGCAGCCATAGCACCCTTGCCCTTGGCAGTAAATCCATCGTAAATAAGAGTGACGCCGCTGGGTGCACCCTTGAGATCAAGGCCATCTTTGCCAGCACCGTTACCAGTGGCTGAAATACCTCCTGCAGTACACAACTCCTTGAGTGAATCGGGCAAGGTCATTCGTTGCTGGGCAACATCAGGAGCTTCGATCATAACAACAGCAAGACCAGACTCCAAATGCCATTCAATATGACAGTGGAAGAACTAAATCCAATCATCAGTATACCTAAACCACTTGCACTTTGATATCAAGTACACATACCCAAGCACCAGGATTATCGGCACGGAAACGAATAATGGCAAAGCTTTCAGCTTCTACTTGAACAGTGTCACGTTGAGCAGGATTATCGAGTACCCAGTCAACGTTGCTTCGGTTGCCATCGAAAACGCCCTCTCCACGTGCAACAATTTGGAACACGTGACCGTGCAAGTGGACTACATCATGGATGTTGTTAGTGTACCATTCTTGAGCAATGCATGAGATATGAAATGTTACTTACAGGGATGTGCACCAGCATCCAAATTGTTCAAAACGACTTCAACCATGTCCAAATGACTGAGAACAATGGCACGAGATTGGGGTCCATACACTTCGGGACTCATTGCATATTCGCCTTGCGAGAGCATCGTGTTCAAAGTAGGTGTCTTAGGTGCCAAATACGGTAAACCATTGAACTAGAGAGAGAGGGAGAGAGATGATGGATGATGGATGAGTCATACATTTCATGCCATACATACATACATGCATCAAACGACTTACCATTCCTCGATTGATACCATCAGTGCACACTTGGAAGTCAATTGTCAGGTTGACCTGATGATCGGGTTCAACAGCAGCGGCAGGTTGAAGAGGATACAAATCGATATCAGTGAAATTGGAATCCATGCCGACGTCCTCACTTTCAGCAAAGTTGGAATGGCTCTCGTCATAATACACGGGCGAAACGAGGTCTATCATTCTCGTGTTATTAATCATAGTAGAAGATAACATAAATAAAAAAGTGACTTACTGTATTTGAGGTCCTCTGGAAGTACATCGAACATGTCTGTATCCATGTCGGCGTGGAAGTAGTAATTGGTGTCGGTGGTGTTCTTTGCTGTTACCAAGACCGATACACGTTGAGCAGCTGTAAGATAAACATCCTTGACGGTCTTGCGTTGTGTATCAACCTAATAAACATCGAATGTCAGCAAGAGTAGCACAACAATGAGATTAGAAAAGGATCTACATACACCATCAATTTCGATAACGTCAAGGTCGTGGCCATCAATGCTGACATAAAACATCGAGAAGGCGGACATGTTGATGAGACGAAGACGATAGGTCTTGCCAGGGGTAAACTTGAAAGTTGAGTTGACATTATCCCGAATGATACCAGATTGAGGAACAGGCTCGGCACCCGTGGGGTTGTAGACATTCAAAAATGTGTCAAGACCTGTAGAACTTTGTTCATGGTACCAATCTAATAAAGATGACAATGATGAGATTCAATGACCCTATTCAATGCAATCGTCATATGACTTACCGTAAATAGGAACGTAAATATCCTCATCGTATTGATATGCTTCTTGTGCAGGATGCAAGATAAGCGGAGTACGCAAACCATCCATATATTGTCCCTACAATCCTTTGTTAATATAAAGGGAAACGGTTTTCATATGAGTAAAGACATACCATATAGTGGGAATGAAGCCAATAGGATCCATGTTGGGTAATGTTGAACTCGTAAGTGAAATCCATGCCAGCAGGAATAGGGCTAAGGTGACGATAACCTTGTAAGTAATCAAAAAGGAATGCATGGTTTCATTGTACTTACCATTGAGTGACCATGGAAGGACCATCCATCCATCCAGTGCCATTTTGGAACATGCCGTGGGCGTGCAAAGCAGTGGGTTCATCCAAGCCATTGTGAGTGTGGATCACCAAAGTGTCATTTTCGTTGACTTCAAGAACCGGTGGGCTATGAAGATGCAAATACCAATTTAGCCTTTTGATCTTATGAAGCAGCACAACGAACCAAACTTACGGCCATGTATTGTTCACACCAATCACTCGACGTTCAAAAAGACCATCCGGGTTGGCAGTAGTGTAAGTGATGTTCCACCAGTATTCGACACGTGCGGCATGAGCAACTCCTGCTGCAAGCAACAACAAAGCACCACCCAACCTCATGACTTGAAAGATAAAGAGGGAGAGAAAGAGAAGAGAAAAGCGGTGGATCGATGAGAGTGGTGTTGTTTGTTTTGCCCTTTTATGTTGATCGGACAAAAGAAGGTTCCCGGAATGGGGTGTTGCGCTGAATAGGATTATCAGATCCAGAGTGATGGTATCAAAAAGTCAAAAAAAGATCGGACGGGGAAAATCTCGAATGATCTGATAACAAAAAAGGTGAAATTTTTATCAAAGTCCATGTTGTGTGTGTGTGCGTGCATTGTAGATCAGGGCTCTCTTGATTTTCGATCTGATAAACGGGTACACAAGGATTGAGCAAAACGATGACAAGTTGGGGGGACCAAAGAAAAAAAAACATGATATAATAGCTGATGTGCAATTCCACTTACCTTTCTTCTTTCCTTGCTCACACCCACACCCACCCACACATCAATACCACCTTTCCATCCAGCCGTCATGTCGCAGGATCTCTTTGATGTTCCCATTTTCTTCATTGTCTTTCGTGAGACAACGGAAGCTGCCATCATCGTATCGGTGTTGTTGGCCTTTTTGACTCGTATGTTTGAAAAGGGTACTCCCACATATAAGCGTCTTCGCAACCAAGTGTGGATCGGGAGCGTCCTGGGCCTATTCATTTGTGTGTGTATCGGTGCTGCCTTTATTGCTGTATGGTACACTGTCCTCAACGACATCTGGGGCAATTCTGAAGACATTTGGGAAGGCGTATTCTCCTTGATTGCTACTATTATGATCACCATCATGGGTCTGGCTATGCTCAAGACTGAACGTATGCAAGAAAAATGGAAGGTCAAGCTCGCCAAAGCACTCGAAGCTGGTGCTCTAAAGAATGCCAAATCCGGTGGATGGAAAATGAGCTTGCAACGCTACTCGTTCTTTATCTTGCCTTTCATCACTGTTCTTAGAGAAGGTCTTGAAGCTATTGTTTTCATTGGTGGTGTACGTTGCTATTGTTGTTGCATAGATGCCATTTATTCAACAAGTTGTATTAACATGTATCCTATATAGGTCTCTTTGGATGTAGAAGCCAAGTCTATTCCTATTGCTGCCATTATGGGTTTCATTTGTGGCTGTTTGGTTGGTTTTATCATCTATCGTGGTGGTAACATGCTTCGTCTTCGCTGGTTCTTCATCTTCTCCACCTTGATCCTTTACCTTGTTGCTGCTGGTTTGATGTCCAAAGCTGTTGGCTATTTCGAACAATACGCCTGGAACCAAGTCATTGGTGGTGAAGCTGCTGAAGAAGGTGGTGATGTCATTGCATACAAGGTGACAACGGCTGTCTGGCACGTCTCTTGGGGTGATCCTGAATTGAACGTTGACACCAACGGTGGCTGGTATGTAATCCTTCATTCATCCTCGTGAAAAAAGACATCTTGCTAAAAGGGCATCCTTGATGTGTATAGGCAAATCTTCAATGCTATCCTTGGTTGGAACAACACGGCTACTATTGGAAGCATCGTCAGCTATTGTGGCTATTGGATCATTGTCTCGCTTGCCTTGATTTACATGTATTACAAGGAGAGAAAGGAAAACATTGCCAAGGCCGAGCGTGGTGAATTTGGACAAGACACTGACGGCGACCTTGCCTTGGAGAATGCAAGACAATACGTTGATGCTGAACAGGGTATCATTGTCGGCAAAGAAGAAGTCGATGAGGAACGTGTCATTGCACAAGGCGGCGTTGAGAAGCCTCACAACACTACTACTGATAAAGCTTAGACATAATGCACTTTCTTGAAGAAAAAGACACCCTCTCTACACACATACTGTATATATTCTGTTATTCCCTAATACTTGATGCTATTCATTTACTGAACATGGTCTTGTGAAATGTCTGCAATGTCGACGTGTGGGTGGGGGGATCAAAAGGAACGAGATAAGAAAATCTACTCTATGCCGCGCGCACATGGGAAATTTGACGTCATGTGCCTTTACGTGTTGCTCTCAATGATAGATCATGTGCCTCAAGAGCAGCAACTAATCCCTCGGCTACAGTATAGACCCACCGCGGTTGTTGGGCAGGTGCGGCAATGGATTGACCGTTGTACAATAGAAAAAATTGACTATATTCGGATGTGCAACCATCAAAGAGCAGCATCTGATAAGGTAAAATACAGCTGAGCGGATCCCGGCAACCTACAGCTCTTGACATTTATGGGCAAATTTTGCTTTACGCTCTTTACATCTGATAATCTGAGATTTTCATGCCTGCAGGCTGATCTACTTTACACTCTTCTTTGGGTTACGCTATATGTAACATCATCCGGCCGCGGTGAACACGGAGATCAGCTGGGTAAATCATTCACAATAACATCAACCTTTCATTCATATCTTAATCTTGTGTACACCTCTATCGACCTCCCCCCCCCCACAATACGCGCAATAGTGATAAAGTCTCAGGTTTCGTTCATTACCGGGAATTGTGAACCTCGGTAGAAAAACATCGGCACCGTGTCCCGTATTATTAACGTCTTTCTTTTTTCCCACAACGCACCATGTCACATACCACCCCACCATAAGACATCACGCCATTCAACACAACATCGGGTGTCACAACCCACTGCCATGGATACTTTACATGGGTATCACACGAACAATGACCGACATCCTTTGTTTCTAGTCAACACCTTTACAAGATATCGGAGCTCCCAAAGAAGATGATCAATTTGACAACGCGGTTTCATTCTTCCTCCTTGTTATCAGATCCAACAATGAAACATGTGCTGGATCAGATCAAAGAGGTATTACAATTCATTCATTCAAGCTGGGTGTCATTGTTTTCAATTGTAGTACACTTGTTTCATCGATTGGGATTTGGAACGCGGATCGATCAAATCGCACACACACCCACACACACTTTTACCTCCACAATTCTTTGTGCCCCATCTGATCTTTTATTGTAATACTACTGGTATATGAGAGAGCAAGTTTTACATATTAGAAATGCTTCCGAAGCTCAATAAAGAATGCACTTGAAGGATCACGTAATGCGTCTGGAGCACCAATCTCGGCAAGATAGCTATCCACAACATGAATCTTTTGCGTCACTGTCTTTGATCGGAATTGTTCGTTGCCCTGTAGAAACGTTGCAAAGTCAACAGCAATCTGCTTTTGCGACTGTATAAACGATTGCATCAATTGCCCAAGCAATTCCTCGGCCAAGTAATATCGCCTGGTCTTTTCCATGGCTTGTCGCATTGTCTTTTTTTCGTGTTGGCTTTTACATGTGGTACTCAAAACAAGCTCATCATCGGTTGTCAGGACAATAGGTGCTTTGCCATCCTATTGCATGTCAACATTGCCTTGTCGTTTTGTATCAAAATAGCTTTTTAACCTACTAGTACGTCTTGCAAGTGCTTTTTGATATCCATGATTTTGGAGTCTATCATGGACGGTTGCATCAGCTTTGCTAGTATTTCGTCATTATTATCGAGCTGCATTGAAAAAGTATTATCCTCGGTAGATCCGGGTTGGTGTGATTCAATGTTGCTTTTTGCAAAAACCAACACGGGTCCCTACGCCCTTTATAAATGTGGTGAATGGGTAAAGGGACGCAATATATGCATCATCGTGCATATTCAAAAGAAAACAATGGGGTAAGCTCACACACGCATACACGCATACACAACCCCCAAAACAACACCATTGACCAATAGCTTTCGCTTATGGGCTATGTAGAGTTACTGTTTTCGGCATGCTATCTCAAGCGAAGAACGTCTACTGACACTTTTGTTTACACTGAAAGATCCCCATCAATGATGGATGATAGTGTTTGCTATTGTTGGGTTGGTTTGTTTCCTGAGGCATTGACGGGGCTGGTTGCTTTTAGGGCCATTTTTTGGGGTATGGCATGCACTGCGTATGAAAACAAGCAGCTGATCAGCACTTGGCATATGTACATATTCGTTTGCGCGGGCAAAGCATTGTTTGTATCGGAAGAAGAAAGCTAGCATTATATATGGAAATAGGTCCGTGTGCAATGGAGCACGTGGGTTAGCATGGAAGGATCCAAGTAAGCCACTACGAAACATTTGGTATAGGCATTTCAATTATCCGCGTCGCAGATCTTGCATTGACTACATGCTTGTGCTATCAACAATACGCTTAACGTTAGCTTGTTCCCCCAATCACAAGCATGCAGCTATTGATTTCGCAGCCCTGCTATCAATCAACGTATGCGATCTCTCACACTGATATTAACGTCTGGATCCCATGCAACAACACGTCATCCCTTTGATACCCGCATCATCCCGCGACAAGATCCAAAAGATACATGACCATGAAATCCAGTTGACAAGAAGAAGCAAGTAGCACCATCCCTTTTACAAGTTGTATCTACCCCCCTGATCCCTTATCCATGCATTGTACCATAATAATGCCAACATTCATATCCAGAGGAATCCTTCTGTATTGTAGCAAGTTGATACACGTAAATAAAGCTGCTTCTATACAATGGCTATCCACTGTTCACGGGAAAGGCTGCAAGTAACTTGAGACAATGGAGTAAAGACCTTGCTGATAGCAGCTGCTGTTACGTTTGGTCGTGGTAGAGTGAGAGTACAAGAGAGCGAGTGATGTAATAGAGTGACAAAGTTATGAACGCTGTTTGAGGCGATGGAACAGAGACCTTGCTAATTGCAATTGCTGCAATGAACGCTGCTACGATTGGCTGTAGTAGAGGATTGTACAAGAGAAGGTGTAGTGTCAAGAAACGCGAGTGTTGTTGTAGGGTGCACACGCCATGGACTTGCCATTCAGTCAAGACAATCGGATCAAGAGAGTTGTAGGATTGACATAGTGGGTTGAAGCAGGACAATCATACGCAGGTAGTAGATGTACTTGGAATGGGCCACCAAGTGGGAATGGGAGGAAGAGGGAAGAGGCTGAGAGTGAAGGAGTGGATATTAAAATGGTTTGATCTGATGTTGAATGATACTTCTTTGTTTGAGCGTATCTCAGTCAAATCCCGTGGGATCAAGAAAGTCGAAGGATGGACATAATGATGGGGGAGCAGGACAATCGTTTATATGCATTGGATTGGGCAATAAAGGTGAATGGGAGGAATGGGCTATCAAGTAGCAGTTTACAAATAACTATTCAATTTGATCATTCTCATTTTGGATGATGTTTCTGTGTTTGAGCGTTTTTCAGTCAAGTCCTCTCGAATCAAGAAGCTCAATGATGGGAATGATGGGCTGGAGTAGGACAAACGTTCACATGCATTGGGTTGGGAAACAGTGCCAGCTTAGAGGAAGTGGTTGTTCGCCGGCAATACACGCACTCCTACTGAATAGTGTAAAGTAGCATGCATGACCCTTCCCATCCTGCATGATAGGCTGTGTTACACAAACACACCCCTCTGCAACTATGGCTCTATTGTAGTCATATTACTTGACAATGGATAAAGAACTCTTTTCATATAGCATCACGCTTACAGCATATGTAAAACATAAAGGTGCCTGTATCTCTAAACTTTCCAATCAAACGTGGGGTCTTTAATAGAACAGTGTTGCTCGGCGGGGTGAAAGCGATCTTGTGTCAAGCTATGAAGTCCATCGTGGCCAATCCCAGATTTCGCAATGTCGCTACCAGCCAAACTGGATCCGGTGCTCAACCTCTTTCGACGACGACCAAAAAAATATTTTTTGGGCTGTTTGCGACATTGAACGTGAAACTTTCACACAAGGTGCTGTTGGCCAAGCCGAGCACATTGTTCTATCAAAGACCCCACGTTTCATTGTAAAGTTTGGAGATACAGGCACCTTTATGTTTGTAAGCGTGATGCTATATGAGAAGTGGTCTTTGTTCATTGTCAAGTAGGTGGACCCTGACAGTGCAAAAGATGCAGAGGGTCGTGTTGTGTAACACAGCTACGTTTGCATGAATGAAAGGGTCAATGTATAATTACTTTATGGATCATCTAGGAACAGGCATGTATTGCTAGCTAACGGCCACTTTTATCCAATCATCATCGTTGCGAGATCCACTGCATGGGAACGATGCCCCTGCTCTAGACATTCATTTCCATGATTAAAGTAGGTTGATCCGAGCTGATTTGATTGAGCTACGGTCAAAGAGAGATTACATCACTCTGGACATAAAGCACGCTCGATGTAGCTCAACCGATGTAACCTTGTGTGAGCGTAACTCAACCAAATCAGCTCGGATCAAGCTACTAGAATCATGGAAATGAATGTCTGGAGCAGGAGAATCGTCCACCAACAATAGAATGCACAAAAGTTGTGAATGCACAAAAGTGGCTATTAGCTGCCAATGTATGACATGAAAATGAGGGTTGCGTACCTGTCATGCATGGTCCCTGAAGTCCAAACTTTTTAACCCAGTTACACAAACACGTCCCTCTGCATCTTTTGCTCTGCCAGGGTCCAGCTACTTCACAATGAACAAAGACCACTTGTCATATAGCATCACGCTTACAAACATAAAGGTGCCCATATCTCCAAACTTTACAATGAAACATGGGGTTTTTACTAGAGCAATGGGCTCGGCTTGGCCAACAGCACCTTGTGTGAAAGTTTCACGTTCAATGTCGCAAACAGCCCAAAAAATATTTTTTTGGTCGTCGTCGAAAGAGGTTGAGCACCGGATCCAGTTTGGCTGGTAGCGACATTTGCGAAATCTGGGATTGGCCACGATGGACTTCATAGTTTGACACAAGATCGCTTTCACCCCGCCGAGCAGCGTTCTTCTTTAAAAACCCCACGTTTCACTGTAAAATCTTGAGATATGACTGTCTTTATGTTTTTACTATGCTGTAAGCGTGATGCTATATGTTGAGTGGCCTTTGTTCATTGTCGAGTGGTTAGACTTGACAACAGCCAAAGACGCAGAAGGACTTGTTTGTGTCACAAAGCGAGAGCTGCTCTTGAAGCGTCAATCCTATTGGGGGAGTCATGCATAATGGACACTTCCCCTGCCTGCCTATAGTGAGGTCCGCCTATGATAGCCCGCATGGAGCATGGCTCATTCTTATACAAGGCTGCGTATGATAGCGTTAGCTGAAATCATCATAGGTAAACATGGTATGTCCATGCACTGATGCCACATCGCATCATATAGCTCTCTCTTCTTTGAACATAAAAGCATCTCGATACGATGATGTAAATGACCCCAACTCGCTTTCCGACATTCATATTTCTATTTCCCCTTTTAATCCAGAAGCCGACAACCGAGTGATCCTCATCTACACATGTGAGCCGATAGCACGATACCTTTCTAAGTGCTATGTTGAATCTAATTCATTCACTTAAAGAGTCGAAGAGTAGCATATGGTAATGTGGATGTTTATCAAGTAAATATTATAAAGGTACAGCATTGCAACTTGACTAAGATACAGGTGAATCACATAGAGTCCATAGGGATAATTGTGCCATTGTATTCTTGGTTGCTGCCGTCATACACATCTTCATTCATGGTTGCAAAATAGCTGCTGCATGCATTGACACGAATGTCGTAATATCATCCATGTGGCAGTAAAACATGTTCGTCAACGGCCATTCCAATCCATCATCGTCCTCAACCGTACAATATAATATGATCCATCCTTCCTGCTGGCGACGCGGCAAGTAACCAGCAACATTCCAAAATACCTCATCCCTGCACTTGATTGCCTCCATCCCATCATAAGCATTACAAATCCAATATATAGGTTGAAAGAGCCATGTGATTGCTGCTTCCTTTATTCCTTTTCCATCCTGCTGCTGATCTATCTCTTTCTTGGTATACGCCTGATCCAGTCAGCAAATGGCATCCCGACGACATGCTGTATACGGGACGCCCAATCCTGGGTTTCCGGAAGATCTTCACACAACGTCGATGTAGGATGACTCTTGGTCCACAAGTCGCCAGCCAATATAAGCAATTGGGTTGTTAGTATTGCCAACTATCCGCTCCTTGATGCCAAGGCAACGATAATCATGATGCTTGGAGGCAATCCCTATTATATACAGGTTAACAAATGCAATGTCCATTCGCATCCTATGTTGGTATACTTACTTCCAATCCTCAGGCCAATCATCCCATGCATAAATTGCACGGTCAAGCGCCACACGTGCTTCTAGACGCACACCAAAGCGCCTGATGGGAAAACCCTCAAAGGTTGCATCTAGGAAACTCTTTAAAAGAAGATAAGCAAATACTCTATAGACAAACATACATGATAGTTTTACCTTGAACCCTCTGAGGTGTCCTTCCTTGATCTTCCCCAGGTTCAATAGATTTGCCATTACGGTCTTGGTGGGGTGAGTGGTTATAGAACGGCACCTTCAACTTGCCATAAATTTGTGCAAACGTAGCACCGAAATACCCACAAGGTAGGCCATCCCTTGCATGTGTTGCACAGCCTTCCAAGTGCTCAAAATGCAAGAAATGGTCCATTCTATATGATACAATCATGTATTAGCCTATAGGTGAATATATGAAGTAATGGATAATATACCTGGATTGGCACCGATTCTCCAAAGCATCATTGCCAAAGTTATGCTGCATAGTAGGCGGCAAGTATGAAGCCGAAGGAACGCCCACAGCAGAGTTCATTGGTATTGCACCGTACTTGAGCTCGTATGTCGACATCCGAAGGGACAAGCATGCACCAATGGCCCATACCCCATTGCTGTCAAGTATGGGACAACCTTCTTTGGACGTGCATTTTCTTTTAACACCATGCGATAGGGGTCCACCTTTAGCTGACACGCAACCATCCTTCGGCTCTAGTACAGGTGTAGGATCGAGACGATGGGCTGAATCGGAGCAATTGTGAACAAGTGAAAAGTGTTTTGGAAGTGTAGGAGAGTTAGAGAGACGCGATGCCTCCAGGTGTCTCCAAGGTGTTCACACTCCGCCAGGGCGTCCAAGGCTACTTCCTCAGTAAATAAATGCTGTCAGCAGGAAGGGAGATACTACAAGATTGGTGCTTATGATAGTCCATATGGAGATTCTTACATATTAAAGACGCGTCAAAATGCATTACTTGGCCATCCTAACCGAAGTACAGCCAATATGTTGTTAATCCTTAGCGTCAAAGTAGGGTAAAATGGTGGCACGACAACCACGCCAGCAGCATTAGGGAATGTCCCAACACCCATCCTTTAGTATAGCTCTCTCAACATGCAGCCCATATAATGATCACTACATTATGCACATGCAATCCAACTCAGAGACATGTATGTAGTTGTGTGGGTCATGAATGTGGGCAGAATACAGTAGCTGTCGTTCATTTTGCAGAAAGATGCAATCTTTTTGGTAATCGGCCACGCCGCTCCACAATTTAATTTTTCGCATGTGTTACCTACCACGCACAGAATCCCAACTCCACCACTTGAATAAGCTAAACAACATCTATAATGCTCAAAGTTGACGTATGGATGGCATCTATAAAATGATTTTCGAGCACTGGTAGTTGTTTAATGGCACATAGCTAATGCATTAGCAGTAACAACAGCTACATGATGATGGTAGCACTGATGCAGCATTTTCTCTTCGGGATGACGATCTTGTTACACGATGATCTCATAGGGTTAGCGGCTTGAAGGCTGCCTGTATTTACCAGCATCCTGTATGAAAAGTATATACATAGGCTCTAAGCAAGGAGAACAATGAATTGAGGAGTGACCCATTACCACTTACAAGAACCATCCCCTTCTCCTTGCTTGCTCGCACGGTAATAACGCACTTGTATTGCAAATGTGTATGCGGCTTTGAAGCAACAACAAAGACGTTAGCCTGTTTAGGATTAACAGCGTGCTCACTCGATCAAAAAAAAGCTGCAGTGTTCACATTGTGCTCGTAAGTTTTGATCCCGCCTTTTCATTTCCAATCCAAGCGTGCGGCTCTTTCCTTTTCATCTTTTTTTCTCCCTTCCCCTCTTTCCTTGTCTCAATTACCACCTACCTTTCATTGTATTCAACAACCACACACTCATTATTTCAACGCACCTTTGAATGCCAGGTAAAAAGATCACTTTGTGGGAAAAATCAATCTCATTCGTATCATGGTTAACATTGTTTGTATTCTTATCATTGTGCAGATCCTGACCCCATGACTCTACCAGGTACATTCATTATCAGTAATACACATTGACGGCTTTCTTACGTATCATCAACAACAGATATCGACCGCCGTAGTCCCTATTATGTGCGTGTTGCCGAACCTCCCCCATCGAAAAGAGCACCACCTTCATCAGGTTAGCTTGAGCCATTACATCGTAATTTGTCGATCATACTCATATTGTTTGTAGAGGGGGATGCTAGCTCCGATGATACTGCCACTGAAACTACCCCAGATGAAAATTCGACACCATCGGACGAGAAGCAAGCTACCACTCCAAAAGATGAAGCACAAGCATCACCTGATGATGGTGGATCTTCCCCTTCAAGTACTCCCGAAGAAGAGAAACCTGATACATCACCAACGGATGAGGATACGGCACCAACAACAACAGCTGATGCTCCAAAAGATACCACGACACCTGTTGATGATAATGGGGATAAAAGTGATGAGCAACAACATGAGAAGGAAACAAAGGCTGATGCCACCCCTACCGAAACGAATGATGCTGACGCACAGACACCAGCTCCTACAACAACCGAAATAGAGGAATCTGATTCGACAACGAGTGCTCATGGTGGTGGTGAAGAAACGACCACTGCTATTGAGGATGGTGATGATTCTACAACAACAATGGCAGGTGGCGAAGAAACAACCACTGCTATTGAAGAAGGTGATGCATCTACAATAACAATGGCCGATGAAGAAACACCTACTCCTACCGAAAGTGGTGCTGATTCTACCATGGCAGATCAAACGCCTACTCCTACAGAGGATGGTGATGCTGCAACGCCAACAAATGATAACGTTTCAGAGACATCTGGTATTCCATCGGAGGAAACATCAACTATGGAAGATGTCTCATCAATGGGATACCCTTCTGAGACACCTGATATGTCATCAATGAGTGATCAACAACCATCTGCAAGTGATAGTTTCAGTGATGGCACTCCCGTATCAGCAAGTGATAGCGCAATGAATTCGTTACCAGCATCCAGTGGTGCGTCATCGGCAATGATGTCTGATCCTGCCGAAAGTGGTGCATCAATGGATAGTAGCAGCGGCGTGTCAGCATCAAGTGAACCCACGAGTGGTGTTGATCCTGCATCTTCTTCAGCTATTGCTTCCGATTCAATGGCATCAGGATCATCTCAAGATAGTAGTATGGATCAAAGTAGTGTTACCCAACCAAGTGAGCAACCTACGCAACCACCATCATCACCACCAGAGTCCACCACTACCCAACCCCCTGATACAACGACTCCTGAACCATCACCCGATACCACTACGACAACTCCTCCACCCACCACAACCACGCCTGATCCAACAACTACAACAAAGGATAAGGATGATGATCCTACAGTGGGCATCCAGCAAGCAATGACAACTCGAACATTTTCCATCACCTCTTCAACAGCAACACCCTCTTTGGTTTTGGGCCAACAAGAATGTGGCAATGACCCAGTGGCTATGGATGGCAGATGTCCTGATGACTATTTTTGTAATGCTGCTACACAAGCTTGTGTCCAACTCAAAAAGCTTAGTGATCAGTGCTATGAGGACTTTCAATGTCAATCCACCTATTGTGGTGATAATGGTACTTGTGTAAATGCTCCCGAGCATCAAGATGACCAAGCATTATCAGGTGGCCAAATTGGTGGTGCTGTAGCTGGTTCAGTGATTGGCGCTTTGGTCCTTGTTTGCCTCTTTGTACTTTTCCGAAGACGATCCCAAGCAGCTCGACGACGACAAGCACGCGAACGTCATTTCAATAATTTGATGCAAACCGAAGAAAACATGGCTATGGGTACCGATGGACCACGCAATGCTCGTATGTCCAAATACAACTTTTTGGCGCAAATGATGGGATCCTCCACACAACATTTGCCATCCACCAATGTTGCCAATCCTGCTCCTGGTGCTGGTGGAGCTGCTGCTGCTGTACCCGAAATGCAACAATATCATCATCATCCACCATCACCTCCACAACAACAACAGCAACAAGCCGTCTATAACAGCTATGGTGAATGGGTAGGCGGACTTGGTGATCATAGCAACGACCAAAATTACTATGCTACGATCATGACAGGCCCTGATTGCAACCATTCAAGATCACCTATCCCACCACCACAACAAGAGGATCAAAATTACTACGCCACTGTTATGACAGGCCCTGATTGCAATCATTCGAGATCACCTATCCCACCACCACAACAAGAGGATCAAAATTACTACGCCACTGTTATGACAGGCCCTGATTGCAATCATTCAAGATCACCCATTCCACCACCCACGGACTATACACCTGTTACTCGTGAACCAGGTGTTGTTGCTGCAGCTGACAATCATTATCAACAACAATCCTCCCAACAACGACACATGTCCTATTTGCCACAGCTTAACCCTGGCCCAGTAGCACAACAGCAACCTCCTCACACCATGGACTCGAATCCTTTCAGACGCACTACACAAGAACAGGATCTGGCATCCTACGCTTTGGCTCAACAATCGGCAGCCGCACATCATTTTAACCAACAGCAACCTCCTTCGTCCAACCCACAATACCAATATTTTTAATCCCATTCTTTCGTTGTCGATTTTGTGCCATTTTGTACCATACTGCTTCGATGCAAATAAATAGACTTAATTGCACTACGTGTTCCAACCAACATCTTTTATATATATATATAACATGATAATGATGTGGGGAACTATAGGAGGTCACGTGCTTGTTATGAAATGTCTGGATTCTTGTTCATCTCCGGTGTTTCACAGAGCTCTTCCCTTTCATTTGCACATATACACACATACCATGGCTGACACTTTAGCAACCGACAAGGTACCCTCCTCCCACCCCCCCCCCCAATGCGACAATGCTATCATATAGATACGATCCTAAACTTTTTTTCGAAAAGGAATCTGCCGAGCATCAGCAACAAGAGATCGAGGTCAGCCATGAGTCAACAGGTCAAAAGCGCAAAACAGACGATGAGTCGACCGATCAACCAGCGCAAAAGCAACGGCGAGTGAAGAAGCAACGTCAAAAGGATTTCCGTGATACCAATGATCTCGATAATGTGGAATACGTTATTGAAAATGGTATGCAACTTGTTGGGAGAGCAGCTTTTCATGATCGGGCAATCTGACAACATAGTACCCTAGGCCTGCGAAAGGTGAAGCCATACTTTTTTGAATACCGTGCCTATGCAAAAGGCCGATGGATGAAGCGAGAGATCTTGAACGTCTTTAAAGAAGAATTCCAAGACCGTGATGAAAAGTATTATGTAAGTCAAAAGAGGGAAGGATTATATATGTATCCAGGCAACGAACTCACTCAATGTTTAGCGTCATGCCATTGAAACGGGATTGATCACTATTAATGGCGAGCGTGTTCCTCTCGACTACGTTATAATGAACAATGATATCCTTGGTCACAAGATCCATCGTCATGAACCTATTGTCACGGCTGAATCGATTGATATCGTACATCGAGACGACGACCTGCTTGTGATTAATAAACCTGGCGGTATTCCGGTAAGTTTGGAGCAGTAATACATGATGCGCAAGGCAACTGATCTTTTGAATCTTAAAAAGGTGCACCCTGCTGGTCGATATAGACACAACACCGTCATCCATGTGCTACGTAAGGAGCTTGGTGTGTCTAGATTATACCGTAAGTGTCACGATCCTATATATCCTAGGGTTCACTTTTTCTCATACATGGGGGTTCCTGTAGCTGCAAATCGCCTTGATCGACCCACATCTGGACTCATGCTTATTGGCCTTAATTCTGAAAGGGCAAGACAATTTGAAAGCCAAATGGTACAAGGCAAGATCCAAAAAGAATATGTATGCCGAGTGGTAGGTGAATTCCCAGAGTAAGTAACAAATAGATTGGAGGGATGATCAACATGCGCTAACTTTTTTATTCCAGGGGTGAAATTACATGTGATGCGCCTATCAAGACTATCTCCTACAAGCTTTCTTTGAACTATGTCCACCAAGATGGCAAGGAATGCAAGACCGTTTTTGAAAGACTCAGCTACAATGGCAAAACAAGCGTGGTTCGTTGTCGACCCAAGACGGGAAGAACGCATCAAATTCGAGTCCATCTTCGTTACCTTGGATACCCTATTGCCAATGATCCTACCTACAGCGATGATCAACCATGGTCGCCTTTGATGGGATATGGACAAACATTGGATGATGAACAAGCGGACAAGGTGGTGCAAAAGGTGCTTGAGGCTTCCAAATTTCCGGAAGGCATGTGGAATGACAATGACAAGGAGACCACTGATGACAAAGTCAAGGAGGAGGAGGAGGAGGACGATGAAACACCCAAGGCACAGAAACCTCGATGTAAAGAATGCGGGCTGGTCCTGACAGAAGAACCAAAATATAGAGAGCTCAAGATTTGGCTTCATGCATGGCGTTATGCGGGTGAGGGTTGGGCTTATGAGACCAAGATCCCTGATTGGGCACAAGAATCATTTGTAGAATAGATTTCATCTTCATGTACTTTTTTTTTTTCCTTTTTGCAACAACAACAACGAAAGCAACCTTGTTTTTCATTTAATCGCATGACACATTCAACTTTTGCTTTGTCTCAGTAATAAGCTCATCTACATCATTGTCCTTTGCATCATTCTCTTTGGTGGGGGTGGGAGTGGATGATGGTTCTACGCTTGCAGTTTCTTTGGGCGTAGCTTGATGCATGGATCTACCATAGAGTTTTAAATGAATTGCATGGATCATTATCAATATTCGTTAGGGTGACACTTACTGAGAAGGATCGGCATAGTGTACGGGTTCGCCCACAGGTGCCATACCAAGCATAGCTTCAGGTGTAATTGGCATAGGTCTTGCACCTGCACCTGCTGCCGTTGCCACAGCTGCTATACTTGCTGCCATAGTTCCAGGGAGTGGTTGAGGAAAGCCGGCTGTCATGGGCTGAAACTCTCGTGGTGATCTAAACATTTTCTTGCGTGCCGTTTGGCTCTTGAGCTTTTTCTGAGCGGGCGAATCAGCAAATCGCACTTGCAACGGTGCCGAGGAACCATCCACGGTGTGGCCATTGAATTTTTCAATGATAGCTAAAGCTGAAGGTCGATCTGATAATCTAATAGACACATTCTCCCCCCTATGAGTATACGTACAATCCTATTCCAACTTTTCCAATTTTACCTCGCAAATCCGACACCTCGACTAATACCCGATCTTGGATCACGTAAGATTCTGTTAGACACGGTCTTGTATGGATGAAAAAGTGCTTCGAGTTTCTAATACATTGGGTGATGGTATGAGTATACTTGTTCTCTTTTTCCTTTACCCTTTGATCACATACCTGCTCAGTCATATCCAATGGGAGATTTGAGACATAAATGTTGGTTGAACCTTCGTCTTGCAAACTCTTGAGTCGGGAGCTGAATGATTCCTAAATGGTGACGAGTGAATAAAGAGAGAGACTTTGTGAATAGTTGGGGGGGAGAAGAGCCTACCTGACCCACTCTGGCAAAAGAAGCTTGTAATCCTTTCTTGTTGAGCTCATTGATAGCCTTTTCACAATCCTCTTCCTTCTCATACATTGCAAATCCATATCCTTTGCAGAGACCTGTTTTTTGATCAATCATAGCTTTGGTGGATACAATGGTGCCAAATCTAAAATTGGGTGTGTGTGTGTGGAGAGATCAGCAAGCTTGTTGTTGTACCTGAATCGGGGCGGGGGAAACTTACTCTTTGCATAAGTCTTCGAATGTTTCATCCGTGATGGACTCCGCTAGACCACGTACATAGACGTTATGAGTATGATACTGATAGTCTTCTTGATGCCGTTTATCGAGGCTGAAAGCACTTGGCATATGATGATGATGATGATGAGGGGGTGAACCAGCTCCAGTTAAGATTGGGGATGAAATATGCAATGGTGGGAAATGATGCGGTGGTGGAATCATGTAAGCAGCATGCAAAGGAGGTGACAATGTGATATTGCTGTACTGGAACGGTGGACTGAAAGGCGGACTTGTTGGGTTTACAGGTGGTGATTGTGGATGCATAGCAGGTGATCCTGGATAACTGCTGCCATCTGAATAATATTGAAATTGTGGACTCATTGGATACACGTCAGGATAAACGTAAGCAGTTTGATAGGGTTGATGATGATGATGATGATGATGTCCTGCTGCTGCTGCTGCTGCTGCCACATGGGGTGGTGGTGCTGCTGGATGCTGCTGCACGTGAGGAGGAGGAGGGGGAGGGTGTGCAACATAGTGAGTCGTTGCAGTGCCACGTTGCTGGTCTTCATGGTTGTTGTTGTTGCCTCGTACAAGATGCTCGTACATTGCAGGGTCGATGAACCCACTTGCATAAGGTGGATAAGGTGGCGATGTCGGTGTCATGAGTCCTGTTGCTACGTGTGGATGGGTGGGTGTCTTCTTGCTGTCTTTGCTCGTATTCTTCAAAGATTGACAGCGAACAGCGTTTGCTGTGGTGATCATACAAGGCTGAATGCCAAAAGAGACTGAAACTCGGTACAAGGTAAAACGATGGAACTCCAACTATAAGCGATGACGATCAGCATAACTTCCAATGCACAACAAGATAAGCATAATCGTATTACAGTCTCTACGCAAAGTGAATCGCTTTACTTGTTGTCGCAGATGTCAGCCGTAAAGAGTACCGCGTGGTTGACGGTGAGGAAGAGAGGGATGAGCTTAATAAAGCTACAGCGGCGTAAGTTAAATGGCCGCTACGAAATAATATGCCTACCATATCCTTATCACCCACTCACTCATCTTTTAGCTCTTGTCTTTTTGTTCCTTGTTTGCTATCCCCTTTCTTGTTACTCAACAGCTTCTTCGTTGTATCGCTTCTGATATTCAAATACACCTTGCCACCTTGACTCTTTCATTTTAGTCTTGTTGCCTTGCTATCGTTTGCTTGCACTTGAACCTGCATCTGCCAAGCCAGTCAGTAAACTTCATATGCAGGTGACACCACCTTCCTCTCTCTCTCTCTCTCCTGTCAATTAATGCCAAGATGTATACCATTCTACCACTCTCCCCTATCAAATGCACTGTTCCTTTATCGCCAATCATAGTGATCAGCTTTATCATCCATCTCATATTACTCGTATCAAATTACCTCATGTCAAGGAATAGATACATAACTGATTTGGTCAATAACTGGCGTTGATCCATCGCTTGAACTATATATCATCCCTTAAAACATAACAACCCCCCGAAGCTTCCATCGCCTATGCTATTTTCACGGTATAAGTATGGCATCACACGCTTGTTGATGCTATGATTATCTTTTACATTTGCACATTTACATACATGCGCTATGCACTTTGACAATAAAGGTACATGATGCAACGAACACTGTTTAAGGGGTATTGTAGAAGACCGCCGCACTTGGCGACCTGCTGGCATGCCACACAACCCCGACCAATGATTTGAAAACTTGACTTTGATATGAAATTGCTGCACACTCCGCTTCCTAAAAACCACGACGTCTTCACCAATGGATCCCCAAGTACCTCCGCTACAATATGGTACCAAACACGAGGGGTCAATTAAGACATTTTGCTTTTCTAAATATGGAAATTTTTTGCGCTATTATGAACCAGGGGTGAAACCAAACAAGAGGGTCTTGTGATGTAATGGTTATCATACAGGACTTTGAATCCTGTTATCCGAGTTCGATTCTCGGCAAGACCTTGAGTTGCAAATCACTAAGATGTGATCGCTTCAATCTTTTTTTCAAGTTTGGATTGAGTCACGTGATCTTTTCGTTGATATTTTGGATAGTGAGAATTGCTATTGTTAGGTGTCCCTATGTCCACCTTTTTTTACCTTGTTCATAAGGATACGTCTTTAAGCATTCGATGCACATGAGTAGCTTGCTCAGTTAATATCATTTGCCGTGGTGGTATGCAACATTGTATTCTCAACAACGTAAATAGTAATCACACGCCAGCAAAGATGATTAGTGATGACAAAGGAAGTTGCTGCAAACATAAGCGGTAAGTTCTATTTTCATATGGATATTTATGTACATATGCGACATGCCAGCAACGTTGAGCTTGTGAGTTATGCAATGTTGTTGGAGGATTTCGGTAGCTGGTGTGTGGTACGCATGATACCCCAACAAACCTAATTGCCATGAACGACACTGACTACAAAGTCAAAGTTGAGTATGGGTTCTAGAACCGCATGGAAACGAAGCTTAACTATGCTTAACTATGATCGATATCATGTGGCATATCAGAAGGAGCGTCGTGAAAACGGTGAATTGATCGATATAGCCACCACATGTATTATTGTTTGCCAAAAGAATACCCTTGTTGATGAACCATGGTAATAAATTGAAATCTCTCCTTAGTCTTTTATCATATACACATGTATCCATGGAAACAAACACCATGATTTATATATACAGCAACAATTAATCCATAATGCAAGCAATAGTTGTCATGATTGCAGTTTGAAGGTGTCACAAGACTAATTGCAAGCTACCACCTGACAAACCAATTCGCTTCTTTTTATTCAAAAGTTCCAACACTGCTAGCTTTGTTCCCGCTCCCCAATCCTTTCATTTACAAATGTCTACTCTTTACGGTATCGATCGTGGTATGTTGCTTCCTACACCATTGCAACCCACCCTATTGATCCACCATGCGTTAGAAATCCACCACAAGATCCAGTCTAAATACTCGATTGACCATGAGCAGCAAGCGCGTGCTTGGATAGAGAATGTCGTAGGTGAACCGTTGCCAAGCGACGACTTTCAAGAAAGCCTTAAAGATGGTGTCATGTTATGCAAGTGAGTGTTTTGTATGCAATGTATCCGTGTCACGGTGAGTTCTAATGCATGTATCCAGGTTAATTGATAAGCTAGCGCCTGGTCAAGCAAAGTACAAAGTCTCCAAGATACCATTCATGCAGGTAAAGTAAAAGAGGAACCGAATACCTGGATCATGACATGTGTGTGTGTGACACGAACATTGCTATTGCAGATGGAGAACATTGCTTGCTTCCTCTCTGGAGCCGAAAGGCTAGGTGTCCCAAAGTATGATCTATTCCAGACCGTGGATCTATACGAGAAGAAGAACATGACCCAGGTAAATCAATCATCAAACACTGAATGGTCGTCGACATGATGCTTATGGATAAAGTAAAGGTTGTAGACACCATTTTTTCATTGTCACGCCATGCATACAAAGCAGGTGCTTGCTCAACCGTAAGTCTCATGTGCGCTGATCATGCTCCTACAATCATAACACGATCGTGATAGTTTTTGGGTCCAAAGCTAGCAGACAAGCACGAGGTATCATTCAGTGAAGAGACACTCAATGCAAGCAAAGGAATGTTCAACACGTATCAATACGGCTATAACAAAGGAGCCAACCAGGTAAAGGGGGTGGAGCTGTTCGGCACATGGTATGGATGACGTTGATATTGATGATTGCAATGGCCATAGTCTGGTATTGTCTTTGGTGGTCGACGTGAAATCAGCCAATAGTCTACAACTTAGAGCAAGCTTGCCTACCAGAGTGTAGTTATTCTTCTGGAGGTATTTCTTTAGTTTATGTCAGTATTATCGTAACGAATAATATATATTATACAATGGTATCAAAAGAGAAAAATGAAAATGAATGCGAGCAATGTGGTACATAAAAGTGAAATGTGATGTGCAGGGTACCCACTACTGCCACCGTTTTCGATCACAATGTGTGGCACTGAAGGGAGAGGGAGCAGCCTTGATCGAATCTCATTTATATGAGGCAAGTTACTTGGCCAAGGTAACCCCGGTTGCTTTGTATCGGCATCGATAGAGATATTGTTCAACATCGCGACAAATTGTAAAGCCTTTCCATGATCGTAAAAGTCAACTTCAACAAAATTAGGTTTCCTCCCAAATGCACGATGACAATCATCAGCATGCTTCGACAAAGAATCCATGCCGTTGGTGACTGAAGCCTTGTCGAGTTGGGGTACCTCGATTTCCTTGCCGACACGAATGACCCCATACAGGAAATGGTTCATGACATACATCATGTCTTGTGGGTTAGGAGGACTTTGTGGACGATCAATAACGCATGTGAATCCATTTGCATCCTTGTTGTCGTAAGGTGTCTCAAAGACATAAGTATATTGGTCATGTAGCCTATAAGACGATCAACAGCCATTAGAATCAGCATCTTCTTCATGGAAAGAGAAAAGAAGCACTACGCGTTATTACCATGGTACAGCAGATGCATCAGCCTTGGAATCTAAAAAGTTGACAACCCTCTTGTTGGAATCAACCATTTCTTGTAGCGTTGGCCATGGCTTCCCTGGTTCTTGCACGTGTACCATTGGCATGATGTTGCTAGCTTTGTATGCTTCCGCCAAGTGAGCAACATTAATGTCGTACAAATTGTTCCACATGATGGTAATGATTTGATCTTGGTGAGACTCGAGCCATTTGGCGACGTGGTTGAGAATATCGGTTGCTGGGCCAGCGTCCAAAATGGTGCAGGTTGTATGGCAAAGATGCACCTTTTGTTTATGCATCACTGCAGAGAACTTTAGGCCGCGTACACCATCATCAAGTTGTTGGGTAATTGACTTGACCTGCGTGGATGCAAGATTGGGTCCGTGCGCATAAGAGTCATGTGTAACCAGAAAAGTGACATTGTTAAAGGGTTGACTGCATAATGATTCGTGGCCATTGCATGCATTCCCACCGTACACATGTTGGGAGAACAACAACAAAAAGAGTGCGAAAAGACAGTGATATGGAAGCATCCTTTGCAAATTGCGAAAGAGAAATAAAGGTGATATTTATTTGGCTCTTTATTATCATGGGGGATATGGTAAAAGGAGGATTTAATATGGACTATTTCGAGTTGAACTAGTGAAAAGGTGGTAGTGTGCTGAGCTACGTCTGTTTATATCGATCACTCTTCGACAATCACCTGGTGATATTTGATTTTGATGTGTGAATGTTGTGGGCTTGAAGAGAAAAAGTCAACGATCCATTCCACGAGAACAATGGGGGTAAGTGTAATCGACCTTACCAGTAAACGTCAATGTGGTTGGCGCACATTTACAATGAGCTGACATTGGTGCATCAAAGCCGGACTTTTTCATTTCCATCCCCCGCAAAGTTTTTGTTTGCTTCTTACTCTTGTTTATCTTCGCTTCTTTTCGCATCAGGATCTTCCGCCTATGCCCCCTCGCGATCCGTCCGTCGTGAGTGAGCAGCTCGATATCGCTCAAGAGTCACTCAAAGAGTCACCTGAAATTCCCATGAATGATGATGGTGATCCACAAAGGTGTCGTCCCTGGCGTGAAAGATCAAGGTAGCTTGCTGCTGAACCTGTCACCCCGTTCAAAAGTGATATTAACGATCCCGTAGTTCCATCAAGCCTATCTATACACAAAAGGAATTGGTACGAGTATAACTTGCAAATGAATGCATCACACAACGGCCCACTTACTGTATATCCCTGACAGCTTTCATACGCAAAATGCTTCATATCCGAAGATGATACACTTGCCATGCATACACCAATGATCACAAAGGCCATTCAACTGATACGATCCGTCCCCAGTGCCATCATTCGATACGGCATCTTGTTTCCCATCCGATTGGCTTCATTGAGTGCTGCAACAATCGCCTTTTTTGTATCGCTACCCGTTGCTGTAGGGCTTGAAAGCAATTCCATGGTGGTATGTCACATAATCCAGCATCCGCCGCACATGCACACACGCAACCAAGCTGATGATCATCCATGTCGATAGGCAACGCTGGTCAAATGGTATTGCAAAGGCATTTTGTTTTCCTTGGGAACAGTGCCACGCTATATCGGAGAGAAGCCATGGCTTTCAGAACCTCATGTCTTTGTTGTAAGTCCAACTCTACTTTTTTGTCAAGGAGTCAACAACCAACATACTCATGGCAACCCCCCACCCCGGCATTGTAGGCAAATCACACCTCTTACCTCGATTACATTGTCGCCAGCGCCCATCAATACCCGCATGCCGTCGTCATGGCACGCCATAAAGGAGCACTCGGCTTCTTGCAGAACAATGGGCTGAACTTTTTGCACTCCATGACCTTTGATCGAGCGAATCTGTACGAGCGAAAGAACCTCGCTGAAAGGTAAACCAGAGGAAGGAAAAAAGATAGAGCAAGAGCTAACGTGGAAAAACAGTTTGCGAAAACATGTCTCGAATCCAATCACTTGGCCGAATCCAATGCTGATATTTCCAGAGGGAACTTGTGTCAATAACAAATACACGATCCGTTTCCAAAAAGGAGCATTCGAACTTGGTGTTAAGGTGTGCCCCATTGGCATCAAGTAAGTTGGATGGATGGATGGATGTCATGGCAACTTGAAGACTGATGCTTGCGTGCATTACCATAGATACGATCGATATTGGGGAGACCCTTATTGGGATACGCGCAAAGGATTTCTCAACTATGCTTTCTACCGTATGACGCGATGGTTTACACCAGTGGATATTGTATTTTGCACGCCACAAGCCCCATACGACCATGAAGATCCAGTCATGTTTGGTGATCGTGTCAAGGCATTGATATCTGATACCATTGGATTAGAGAATGTCGACTTTAATGGAATGGCCAAACGCGATCTGCTTAAAGTGATCAATTAGACAATCAACAGCATCCTTCACCCATTCATAGATACACATCTTGTATAGCATTAGATTCTTGTTCTTTTCATGCCTCTCATTTTCATTCATCAATCCCCATTTGTAAATACAACAATATCTTTCATAATAGAAATAGAGCATCTTGTACTGTATGTTAGTCCCAATAACAATGTTGCAAATGCAAACGTACCTTCATACCAACGTAACGTAGATTGGCCTATTGTTGCTAGGGTGATCATTGTTTTCTTGATAAAGCAACAAAGAAATTGTGGGTTGTCACTTGTCAGCAGCAGCCTCCTCCTGTGCACCATTATGCAGCACCGTTATGAAACTCAGCTGCTCAATCGAATCAAACATGATCTTTCCAATGCAAATTACTCCATACACACCTCCCCAATTACGTTGCCAGTGATACCACGTTGCTTGGCAACATCTCCGCTATCGAATGATATACATATTGAAGCACTTTGAACGCCCAAAATTTTTTCCGAAAAAGGATCGCATTAGATTCATCATGTAACTCCTGCACAGATTTTTAAGGAGGGGTTATAACTCAGTGGCAGAGTGGAAGATTGCAGATCTTCTGGTCCCGTGTTCGATCCACGGTGGCCCCTCTTACACCGTACATACACGGTAACACCCTCTTCAGGGTATTTTTGTTGGCGCCGAACATCAGATCACGTGACATGTCGTTTACTTTTATCAATCTCTTCTGTTGTAGCACATCAAATGCAAAACTAACCTTTTGTATTTGGATACGACACATTGCCGATGTGTATCATCATGATTTACCAAGGTATTGTCATATGGATCGCCCATTGGCATAGTTTTCCTCGAACCATGTCCTTCTACAATCATTTGGGTGCAATGTTGTATTTGAACAACGACAAATCGATAATCAACCATCCTGTTGAGAACAAAGTTTGCCTGTTGTTATCGTATCTAACCATCAAGAGCACATAAAAGATGACATAACCTTGGCCATAAAGCAAGGCAATGCATCATGTGGATTCGAATCTGGTTTATTGTTCTTCTTTGCTTCTCGAAAGGGTCTCGGTTTTATGAGCGTTTGGAAAAATGATCATGCTTCAGGGGCCGGGTGGGGGTGATGAATGATATATATGATTTCTTATTCTTCAATAGAGGATCGTTGTTACACCCTCTCCTATTATCTAGGCAATCTATGTGTTATAAAGCATACAGAGGGAACCGCATGATGAATGATTTAAAGCTTTTTTTTCATCCGTGCATTCTCCTTTTTGTCCCTCCTCAATAGAGCATGACCGCGTAAATGGTTCCGCATTGGCCAAGTAGCAGAAGCACTCTTGCTCCTTGCGAGGGTTAATGATGCAAGCAACCCAATGACGCATGTAGCAGCAGCAGCAGCAGCAGCGACATCTTTGATGTATCGTGGCCGTAATTACTACTATTGTGTGCTTATCCAGATTGCTTTAGATCATCCTCCGATCAAGTAAAAAGGATCAATCCTCTCCATACAAAGCAACGCAATACAAAAACGTTGACTTTTTAAATTTGACCGTATCCGTGTTTCGGTGTCATGTGTGATTTTTGGATACGTCGTTATTAAAGAAACCGCTTCAAAGTCAATTCTCCCCGTCATAGATGCCTTTTTTCGATGCTCACCCACAAAGATTTTGCTCTACTACCAACTTGTAACAATAGATGCTATCATCACAACAACCAGAAAATCTATCCAGGACCCTTTTTTGATGATGGTATGTTTCACGTTACCAGCAAACATACTTCTCCTTAAATATGCTTATGGTACGGTTCACCCCTAAGGGGTAAACAACAAAAGGATAGAGCTCATACAGTGAAGAAGGTTTCATTAGTAGAAAGAGGTGGAGGTATGCTGAATGATGCATCATGTCATGCATCGTCTATTCCAGTATAACCATAATTCTTCTTGCTTCCGGACCTTGATGTCTCGCATATGCTCTTGCTCTAAATATCAACTAGTTTATCCATTTAAGCAATTTCATCCCCACACCCGTCGCATCCTCTTTTTTGATGCTAGCAGTATAGATTACAACAACAACAAGTCCCATATTCTTGATAAAGCGATATAGCATGTTATGGTTTCTCTCGTCCTATTAAGACTTGCATACACTCAAAGCTCATGTTATGATACCACCATGGGGGTGGATGTTGTGAATGATGTGTTGGGGTTATCCCTCCCCCGGGCGACCCTCCACAAACATTATTACTATAACGCTATGCACAACACCACCACATCGATGCTTGTTGTCAGACCCAAAGTAATGGAGTATACTGGATCAGATACAATTGTGATGGATGGCTGTTGTCGTCGTCAGATGAGAATAACTCGGATTTGAATATCATGCATTCGGCTGGTTGGGGTTGAAATGTGTCATAAGTGCTTAAATGCTTTGTTCTTCTTCCCCGCGCATTGGGACGACCAAATTATCGGGATAATCTTAAAAAGGAAAGAGGATGCAGTAAAGCTTGACATATGCACATTCACAGTTACAAATATATGACAACTTTTTGCAGCAGGGTAAAGGAAGAAGGAAAGGGGAGAAGAATGTGTGATGTCGGGTATGTTTTCAAATTGGCAAGCTACATTGAGGATAAGCTCAACATCGACGTCGTTTATGATGATATCAAAAAGGATAGGAGTAGATCAACTTTATTACCCATATCCCTCATTTTTCTTGACACATGATCACTTTCATTCTTATTCGCACTAATGTTACAAGGAAGTGAGCGTGTATGGGGAAGATAATTGCTCATTCTTGAAACCATGGGATTAGGAGGAGATGCCGTGTGTGTTACAAAACACAGTTATCTTTACAATAATATCAAGTAGCTAAACCAGGGTGATGTGCGTAACGGCGGTGATACGAAGAATGTCAACGATTAGTAGTATACGCCCATCACAAGGACTCCCATGCTTATAATTAAAACAAAGCGTTGGGTGCGATCGCAATTAAAAGTGGCGGGAGATCCTAATATCAAACGATCAAAATGGGTATAGGGGTCTCAATCCAAAGGGGATGTAGAAAGCACGAGCATTGTCTTTGGACAACCTCCCCCCAATGAAAAGAGCCATATGCAATCCAGACATGGTCATATCTCCTGAAAGCCCCTTACACTTGCACTCATTGTCTATGATTCCTTAGTACTTTACATGCCTCCTCGTTGATACAACTAGTGGGCATCGCATGTAATCATCACGATTCGTACACTGAGAAAGGTCACTGGGTCGTCCAAATAGCAGCAAGTGGTTCATCAATTAACAGTGTTGTATGCGTGCCTTTGAAAGAGAAGGAGGGAAAAGGGTGAAAAATGGGGAGAACACCATCCTACTCGCTCATCCTAGCAATGATCTATAACGCAAGCCTATAATGCAACATGGTTTTGGTTGTACGATATAGATGAGCCAATGATGGGTGACAAGTGTATCAGCGCAAAAATCCCGGCCGTAGTAGTACCGTCATACGTTTACATGTATGTTCCTTTCCATATACCAAAAAAAGGTTTACTGTTGGACAAACAAACGCTTTGACGACCATCGTGTATACACGCCACCAGGGGCACGTGAACATTGTGGTGTTCTTTGTTTCGTCGTATGCCTCATTATGGTGCCGAACAAAGGATGCCGGAATCAACAGTAGTAGTGATCATTTTTAGTATTCGATTATAAAAGTTACCCCGTCTTTGTATCTTTTACAGCGCCACGGGCGAGGGAAAAACAAGAAAAGGTTTCATAATTAAAAAATGCGGCACCGGTATCGGCTAGGAACAAGGTTCTTTTTTTCCATGGAAATGATTTAACATCCAACCCGCGATACTCAGCCAAGTGCTCAACAATGCAACACTATACACATCACCCATCACAATGCTAATTAGGCTTGTTCATGTGCCTTCAACACTTGGGGGGAAGAGCAGGGATTGGGGGTGGTACATGCGTGTCCTCTCACTACAACAATACACCAACACATGGGCAGCAAGTGATCGACTGCCTTTGTGGTTACATGATCAAAGATGTCATAACGGCATATGTAGCACCATAATGCAACCTTGAGCTTGATTAAAATATGGGTAGAGAGCTGATCATGTACATGTCATTGCGTATGTGCATGCGTGTGTATGTGTGTAGTGTGTGAGTGTGTGTGTGGTATCGGGAAGATCCATTGCAACGGCCAAGTTGTCGCTGGAATGTAGGTTTTAGAAATCTTGCTTTTTCTGTCACGGCGACCGAGATCATGCATCTAACGTTTCAATAACGTCCATTTATTATGCCTTTAATCGGTGAATAGTAGTTTGGTCTTTGCCTAGTCGTCATCAATGGGGTAAAAGGAGAGCGATCGTTCAGGGGTGGGGTAAACCTTGGGATCAAGAATGGGTATTGAGTGTCTTTATTTCGCTCTGATCACCGTGACGTTAGAAAATTGGGGAGCTAAATCGTGCGAGAACAAAGGAGACGTATCGTTTAAGACACATACATACACACGTCAGTGTCATAGGTGGGCACATGTGTGTATGTGTATTATGTGTATGCGTGCGTGTGTGCGTGGGGATAATAACGATTCCTCACTTTCCCAAAGAAAAGGATTTCACCGTGGATCGAGAATGAACGCGTATACACATACACACACGTTTATTACTTGGAAGCATTCTTTCCTTTGGCATTCGCTCACGACCACCTTCTCACTTGTACTATCGTAAACAACGTTATGCGTGCTTGTGTCGTCTACTAAAGCGAGAACAAGACATCTACTTGTATTGCCAGACACAGGTTTCCCGCCATTTCCGGGAATTTGATAAAGTGCCTTGCAGTATAATGTGAAGGAGAGGGTGTGCCCATATGGGTGCTCAATAGTCACCCACAAACTTGGGTACCCCCATTTTTCCTCATACGGGCTTGGCTTAAGCACCAAATCATTAATAATTTACCTGCCACGGCTCCATAAACCTTAACAGATTGTCATTTATCCAGATAAACGTGGTTGTAGTATCATCAGTGTTTCGTATTTCCAATTCCAAGCACAGCAACAAGCCATGGCGGAAGCGGTCTCGACTCTAGCTGACAGATAACAAGCGGATAAAGTGGTTGACTGAAAGGTAAATCAAGATTTTCCCGATTCAGAACAACGGGTGCTCGTTTTAGCTTTTTTCTCGCATGTGTGCTTGCACCCCCCACAACGGCAAAAGAAGATGCTTGCCAAGAATGCGCATGTATGCATAATGCGGTGTATTATTTTTGGCCCTATGTTTCCCTCCCCCCCTTTCAGACGATACGATTTCAAGTGAAGCTTGTTGCTTTTGTTATCGCTCCCTTATAAATAGCGGTCCTTGTTTCTTTTGTTGCTCATCACTTTTCCTCGCACCCTTCTCTTCGATCTCTCTCTCTCTCTTTCTCTTTCATTTTCATTCTCACAACGTTACATCGCTTTCTTTCCATTCTTTACGACGACAACGATAACAAATGGAAACATACATCGGCTATATCAAGACCCCTCAAGATGCTCTTATCGTATTTGAAGCATGTCGACGTGGACAACTTCATCGTGTGCAACGACGCCTCTCAACCAAAGAACGTATTCATATCCAATCTGGATCGGTGTTTGCATGGGATGAACGAGAAGCTGGAATGCGACGTTGGACCGATGGCCGTACATGGTCACCTAGTCGTGTATTGGGAAGCTTTTTAACCTACCGAGAACTTGATACCAAACGTCGTCCACGTCGTTCATCATCATCATCAACATCATCGGCACACCAGCACCACCACCACCAACACCATCATCATGCACCTGTTAGCAAAGCAGCATCAGCATGTTCCTACAAGCCTGATGGGTTGATCAAGCAGAGTTTTTCCATTTGCACAGCTGCCAACCAAAAGCTGCATTTGATTTCTTATTATACCAAAGCAGATGTACTTGCAGGAAGACTGAAACAACCTAGTGCTGATTCAATGTTGAGTCAAATTGTTGTACCCAAAGGCCTTTACCCAGAGCTTAATCCACTTGACACCAGTGGTGGTCATTCTGCCACCATCCACAACATGCGACAATCCTATATGAGCAATGCTACAGGTGCAGTAGCAAACACTACATCATCTCCACCCTCTCCACCACCTTCTTTGAGCTCGTCTCCTGTATCATCGGATGAAGATATGATGCTCGTAGATGCACCAGCAACAACAACATCATTGAGTACGCATACAACACCAACACAACAATACCAGCATCGTTATCATTTGCGACACCAGCAGCAAGAAGAGCAACAACAACAACAGCAGCAATGTGATGCGGCGGTGTATGAACGTTATGCGTCGCCATCGGCTGCTACAGGTGGTGCTGGTGGTGATGATGGGGCACCACAACCACCATCATCGCTTTATACCACCACTCTTCCTCCACCATCATCCACATCTTTACAACCCTCATCACGCCTTGCCATACAAGAAGTTGCCTTGGATCGGATACCTTGTTCAGAAGATCAACGACAGCTTCGTGCATTGCCAATTGAATTGTAGTCAATCACCACACACCCCCCAAAATTCATCATGTATCATTACGCAAATCCGGTGCCAGGATGGGTGTTTTTAGCGCCGCTTCTTTTTTTTCACTCTTTCTCTCTCACACATACAACTGACGCACAAGGATGCATCATTCATTCATCCACTGCACGCTATATATATATATATCTATATACACCCCACACCCACACACATACCTTCCCTCTCGTTATACATATATCTTTTACTAGTATCTCTTGATCTCATGTGGATATTTAATACGATCAGCTAATACAAATTTGACCTCATGATACGTCTTTGATGTGTATATAATTATGCAGCAATCAACTTGATGCTTTCGCAGCACCCCCAAATGACGACCCCTATTTTCTATTTTACACAAAGAAAGCCGATAAGGTTGCATTGGCACCAGGGTCATTATCAATTCTTACTCTTGGATTACCATCATCCCCAAAAAGAAACAAGGGGGGTTGCATAACCAGCACCATGCTTGTTAGTGTGCAAGACGATTTAAGTTTTCCTTGGGGGAGGGGTTGCATCTTAAGAGAGAGAAAGAGTGAAAGTTAGAAGCACAACCTTAAATCTCATTAATGCAACCCATTGCATTTAAATCACGCATACGTGTGATATAATCAAAACAAGCTTCTCGACCCATTCTTGCATCACACTCCACCCCCAAAGTGGCGCATTTGCATTTGCATTTTCATTCTTTTTCTCATTATGATTCTCATCTCCCCCCCTCTCACCCTCCCTTCACGGGTCACATGTTGTTGTGTGTATATGCTATTTCTCAAATCTAATGATGTATTCTTCTTTTTTTTATGAAATGTATGAAAGAGAGAGAGAAAGAGAGAAAATATACATAAACGTTTTCGAGTGATGATATATGTATGTGGGATGAAGGATGAAGAAGGATGATCATGGTGGCGGATAAGGAGGGAGAGGGTTATGTTTTTTTTATATGTGGGGGGATCATGCTAGTAGAGTATGGATCAAATGGATGTTTTTAGATCTTGGGACCAGCAGCGATGGTCTCGGGAGCAGCTTCATCTTGGTAAGTCTTGAAGTTTTCAGCGAACATGGAAGCAACCTTGTGAAGGGAGGTAGTGTATTCTTCAGGAGTACCCATCCAAACCTTACGAGGATCAAGCATCTCATCAGGAACGTTGGTGACCTTGGTGGGGACCTTGAGGTTGAAGACATCGTAATCGGCATATTCAGCATTGGCAAGTTCACCATTGTGGATAGCATCAAGGATAGCACGAGTGTACTTGAGAGGGCAACGCTTGGCAACACCAGCCTTGCCACCAATCCAACCAGTGTTGATGAGCCAAGCATCAGCCTTGTGTTGAGACATCTTTTCAGCAAGCATGGAAGCATAACGTTGAGGATGAAGGACCAAGAAAGGAGCACCAAAGCAAGCAGAGAAAGTGGCCTGGGGCTCAACGATACCATCTTCAGTACCAGGGACCTTGGTGGTGTAACCAGAGATAAAGTGGTACATGGCTTGAGCAGCAGACAACTTGGAAACAGGAGGCAAGACACCAAAGGCATCACAAGTCAACAAGATAATGTTCTTGGGGTGGCCACCCATGCAAGGAATCTTGGCGTTGGGAATGTGGTAGATAGGATAAGAGGCACGAGTGTTTTCGGTAAGGAAGCTGTCAGCATAGTCGACAACACGTGATTCCTCATCCAAGATAACGTTTTCAAGGACGGAGCCAAACTTGATGGCGTTGAAAATATCAGGTTCCTTTTCACCAGAGAGGTCAATGCACTTGGCATAGCAACCACCTTCAATGTTGAAGACACCAGAGTCGCTCCAGCAGTGCTCATCATCACCAATCAATTGACGCTTGGGATCAGCGCTAAGAGTGGTCTTGCCGGTACCCGACAAACCAAAGAACAAGGAAACATCACCATCAGGACCCTCGTTGGCAGAAGAGTGCAATGAAAGAACACCAGCCTTAGGCATCAAATAGTGCATGACAGTGAAGATCTGTGCAACATGAAATGATCAGATTCTTATTCCCATGACCCAAAACCTTATTTTATACTTACACCCTTCTTCATTTCACCAGCATATTCGGTACCAAGGATGACCATTTCGTTGCGCTTAAAGTTGACAGAGACGGAAGTGGTGGAAGTCATACCAGTGGTGTAACGGTTGGCAGGGAATTCACCAGCGTTGAAGATAGTGAAATCAGGAGTGCCATAGTTCTCAAGCTCTTCATCAGTGGGGCGGATCAACATGTTGCGCATAAACAAAATGTGGTAGGCACGGGAGGCAACAACACGGACCTTGATGCGGTACTTGGGGTCCCAACCAGCATAACCATCAAAGACATAGAGGCGAGGACGAGTGTTCAAGTAGTCAATGGCACGCTCACGGTTAATTAAAAAGACCTTTTCATCAAGAGGAGTGTTGACAGGACCCCACCAGACATCCTTTTCAGAGGTCTCTTCACGCACAATACGCTTGTCCTTGGGAGAGCGACCAGTCTTCTTGCCAGAGTAGGCACAAAGAGCACCAGCAGAAGAGATCACGGTGCCTTGTTCATAGGTAAGAGCTTCTTCGTAAAGAACAGCAACAGAGGCATTACGCTTGATGGTGACCTAATGATATCAAAATAGAAGATATGAATATCGAGTTGAATGCATCAAATGATAAACAAAGCAATTACCTTGTCATAATCGATACCAGCGTATTCGTGAAGTTCTTCTTCAACCTTGCTACGGGTAGAAGCAGAGCTGCCAGGGCGGCCAAGGGGAGATCCAGGTCTGGGAGAAGCAACCATGATGTAATTGAAAGATGAATGAAATTGAATTAAAGGAACAGCCGATAGCAGAAGGAAGGGGGAGGCTTTATATATATGCTGAATGATTTTGTTCCAAGAGGTAAGCAGCCGTCAACGTGAAAGTGCAAGTCGGAACGGAAAGGTGTTATTTTCGTTGGCTCCCCGCATTAAGGCGTCAAAGAGCTCAAGTATCACGGGCCTCCATCGGAAAAGTTCGGGTGGACGCCTTCCGAAAATGCCCTATAGGCAAAGACACTTCTTTTGGTCATTTTGTGTTCCCGTGTATAACATGTGAATCGAAGCTCTACTTAGCTTGGTTGCTCCCCTCCCGCGGTTGATGGTTGTTTAGTACCGCAAATATAGTGGTGGATCTATTTCGTCGTGTGTGTGTGTGTGTGTGTGTATTACTCTCTCACTCTCCCTCCTGCAATGGTAACATGGTGTTCAGTGTTGTTGTTACAAAAGGTTCTATTGTTCTTTGATGGAATAAACAAGTTGTTGCATCCTCCTTCTCCTCCTCCAATACATTGCTCATCATGTGTATGTATGTGTGCGGGTGAATACAGCTGCTTTAATGAATCATTCATTCAATCTAGACTGCTGATACTAATTGCATGATAATCGTTCATCACAAGTCGCCTTTTTTGCATAGTTGTCGTCCACATTGGCAGATCAATTGTACAACCATGGTCAAAGGACACCGTGGGATACTATATTCCATGTGTGGCATAGTTGTGGTATGCAGCGTGGTCCCGATGATGTACAAGCTGGTATAACTCATGCACTTTCTCCCTTTGCCATCCGAAGTATCCATCCGCATCGGCTAAATCACGAAAAGGTCCTTGCATGTGAAACACCTCTTTTCGTTTACTACACGTGTATACATACAGCGCATCATGGATCAGCATCATCATCATCAACATCAACATCATCAGCCCACCGCTTTCTTGTCCCGCACTCACTACTCATGACCGACTCGACTCGAGAGATCGAATTGCAACAAAGAATTGACGCCCTTCTCGACCATGAACTCCTGAAAAACGTGCCCAAGAATCCAACAATCGAAGAACTGGAAACGTTGATTGCCATTGAACAAGGCAGGGCTTATCGTATCAAAGTCGATCGCAACAAACTGGAGCCCATGTGTAAGTCCATTGTTGGAGGGCAATGCGATTGATGTTGACTTTGGAGGGTATATAGATATTGTAGTGAAGCAAGCGTCGTCAATCCGTGATATCAAAAGGTTGATCCAAATACAGTTTGGTCGCATTCATCCACAACGACGAGTGAGCTGGTAAGAATACATACACATACAATGAGGGTATTTGGCTGGTGGTGATTGATGATGTCATTCTATGTACAGGAAGTATATTTGGAGAACCTTTTGTCTGTCATTCAAGGGGAAGAGGTTATTGGATGATGAAGCTGTTGTCAGCCAGTTGGGAATTGCTCAAGACAGCGTGCTTATGTTTACCAAGCTTGCATTCGAGAAGGGCAATCATAGGCCCGCATGGCGACGTCGACAGCATTCTTGATTTGTCGCTGTAAGAAACTCCTCCAGCCAACCAGAATGTTCGAGCAAATTATGTGCTTTACTGGTGGATGCAAGAACCTTCTGGCAGCTACAAGACACACAATGACAAATGGCCTCTTCCACATCACCTATATAAACCACTCCACTTTACATCCAACCCGGCTCATCATCATCATCAACTCTTTTACTCTTTTACTCTCTCTCTCTCTACTTGCTCAACACTATGGAATTCTACATTGAAGAATCACCCATCTTTTACCTTCCAAGACAACAACCATCTTCCTCTATCATGCCATTGGATATCTTCTTCAAGCCATCCTATGATCAACAGCTCTATTATGAACAAGAGCACCGTCGGGCCATCCAACGTGAACATCAACGTCGTATGATCGAACGTCAATTGGAATTAGAGCGTCAACAGGAACTACAACGACACTTGGAGCTTGAACGTCAACGTGAACTTCAACGTCAACGTCAACAAGAACTTCAACGTCAACGTGAGATCCAACGTCAGCGTGAAATTCAACGTCAACGTCAGATCCAACGTCAACGTGAGCTTCAACGACAACGTGAGATCCAACGTCAACAAGAACTTCAACGACAACGTGAACTCGAACGTCAGTGGCAACAACAGCAACTCAATCTCTTGCGTGAAAAGGAACGTCAACGTCAACTTATGGAAGAACAGGAGTATCAGCAGCAACTTCTCAAGGAGCAACAGCAACAACAACTTTACAATCAATGGATGTCTACCATGCTGCGTGATTTATGGGGTTCAAGTGACGAAGACGAGGAAAGTGACGAGGAAATGCAAGATGACAACAATGAAGTTGGAATCCATGGCGACAATGAGCAACCGCAGCAAACTTCTATCTCCGACAACGATGAATCCAGCAATGTCCCTATCAACTTTACTCATCATCACTCGAAACAACAACAACAATCCACTCCTGCTCCCTCTTTCTCTTTTTCGGTGCCCATTCATTTTGTCAATGATTCTCAACCCAAGGACGCTGCTGCTGAAGAGTCAAGACAACAACAAGACGATTCAATGGAAGAAGATCCTACACCCGAGGAACAAGAACAATCATCCGATATCCATCAAGAGGATGATCAAGGGATGGAAAGTGACAGCAGCACTTGGGAAACCGTTTCTTCCAATGATGAAGCCGTACTCGAGGAGAAGCATGCCCAGTTGCGTAATCTTGGTGAACAATTGGCACTCTTGTCGGAAAAGGAAGCTATCACTATCCCAGGCACACGGCTACAGTTCCAGGATTCGATGAAGGATGAGATCATTGCTACAAGTCCTGATAATCGGCAATTTTTGGGTCTTGAAGATGAAGTCATGCGATTGATGCTCAAGCTGGATGCCATTCAATCTGACGGCAGTGAAGAAATACGCAAGGAACGCAAGGCTCTCATTCGACAAGCTGAAAAGTTATTGGACAAAATGGATCAACACAAGCAACATGAATGGGAAAGGATATCTCTCCACTCCTCTGATGAATCTTCTTCCTCTTGATAGACAACCCCTTTTCCTTCTCCCTATTCCCCATCATTTCATAGCTATATCATTTCATTTGTAAATAGCATGTTTCATACAAATACATTGATCTTTAAAGCAAGCTTTTTGTTTATATTCTTTTACGAATGTTGAGTATCGGTTAACTTGACAGCTCTATTGGCCAAATTTGTACTAATGATACCAGAGTTTACTAATGCTTTTGTGTGCTTGACTTGGCAACTTGCACTGTACTAAGATGAGGCAGTAACCATAGTAACATACATAGCATCTTTATTGTCAAGGCGTGTGTATTGAGCTTCTGAAGACAACAAGGTTGAGGTAGTTGGGGTATATGGCTAAAAGTATGTAAGCTTTTGGGAAATCAGCTGTATGTGTGGAAGAGGGAGAATCAAAAGCGAACAAGCACAAAGCATTGTAACAGCCAAGAAGTGGGCACACTGTAACAGCACCACTCGCTCATGGCTACAATCGAACGTGAGGTTCAAGTTACCTTTCCTTTAGATCACAACAACGATTGGCCATGGGTTACTTTGGCAACCGAGATCATAGCAACGATCAGACAGGTGTTGCTTGGCAACCAAGATCACAGCAACGATTAGCCAAGTGTTACTTTGGCAACGCGTTTTAGAACATGTGAAGAGGCAAGAGTATGTATGTGTATTTAAAAGACAAGTTTATTTATCATAATACTAATACTAGGACTATAAAGAAGCAGCTGTTGGTTTCCTTGAGCCAAAAGACCAAGTACTCACAGGGATGACCACGAGAAGGTCGCTGCTCAACCATCCCCACCTCTACCTGTGGGCACCAATATCAGGTCGACAAGGTGCAGTGCTGGGGACACCGCTTGTACCTTTTTTGAAGACTGAGAGAAGTAGTTGGAGCCCCCTACAACTATCCCTCGAATCAGGTGCCGGGTCTTGACGCGCCAAAACCTCGTTGGAAAGGAAGGGTAAAGAAAAGAAAAGGAAAAAGGCGGTTCTTTTATAGCCGTTACTGCGGATGGTTGCTGCGGCTGAAAACGAGCGTGACACCAACATACCATATATGGGTTACAGCAGTCATTGCCTTCTTTACACCATGTTCACGATAAAAGACATACATAAAGACACACTTCTTGTACCTTGGGTCATTGCTATATGGGGAAGGTGGGAATGCGTGAAGCGTGCACGGATCACCAGCAGCAGTGGTTGAGTTTTAGGTGATATTAATCGGAGACAGTCAAGGTAGTCCCTTTGTGTAAGGTATGAATTGAGGCATCATTGTAGCAGAAAAAATACGAATCATTCACGTAACTAATATTATCATACACACATATACAGATGCGTTGAAATCCTTCTTCTTGTGTATATCCACAGCTGTATATGAATTGGCAGGTTGGTTTCCATGGCGGCGTTTTTCTTTCTTCGCAGCACCTACTCAACGCCGACTCCTCCAGAGCACTCACTGATGCCGTTTCCATCGCAACAACAACAACGTCAACGGTGAAAGATGGAGCGTGTCAAACAGCGATAGGTGCCCCATGCTCCTTCCTCATTGACCAAGAGAGTAACCGCGATCCACCCATGACTGGAACAAAACAATCAGGTATGTCCAAACACTTCTTGCTGCTTTTATTAAACGCCCAGAATACTAACAAGGTATCGTTCACTCCCTTGCACAAGATCCAAGGCAAAAGGGGATGATATAAGGCGTATCTCAAATTGGCCTTGCTACGTTGGACGATCCCATGGCAATGATCACAAGGAGTGCTTTTACATGGATATACTGGTATCAATGGTTCGGCAAAAGCAATCATCGAGCACGCAACATTGATGACATGACATGATTCACCAAAGGTTTTGGGCAATGATGGATGATGGAGGTATCAAACAGGATGAAAATGGTAAGGTTATTTCACAAGGCACAGGGCATTGGTGGATCTATCTTTCTATAGCAACAAGGGAACAGTGACAAGATCAAGAGCACTCTGGGACGAACAACTTGTTTATCCAACCAGGGTCATCATTTGTTCAGGCGAGATTCCAGGCATGGAAGCAACACTGGTAAAGATTTGGATGATTGGACCTTGGTCAAAAGATGATGGTATCCATGATTGTATTATGTAGCTATTAGCGTGGTAGTGGTGGTTATGGTTCTAGAAAGGATGATGGCCTTAAAGATTGTCAATAAAATGAGATGAGTTGCCGCAATTAACTGGTGCAAATAGATCATTATTACCATCATGATGTTGTATTTAGGATAAATGATGATGGGGTAAAAGGAATTTACATTTCAAGCTTCACACATTTTTCACACACAAGATACTTTCAGACTATCTGCGGAAGGGAGTACACTCAGAGATATAGCCGATATGAATGAGATACCAATCCTTTTTCATTGGGTATGGAATGCAGCTTGACGATGGAGTCCTTGACGAGATGCATGAATGACTTGGTAACACAAAAGATTTGAACGCGGGACTTCATTGCTTGTTGATGACATGATCCATCCATAAGACACGTATAGTTGCAGAGATCCATCAAATGGATTGCCGATAACCAGAACCACGAGAAGATCGAAAGGTTGCTGATATCAAAGATATACAAGTTGTTCCTTGCTGCTGATGTGATCAATCGATAAGAGAACTCCATTTCAGGACGCCCACCGAATTGCCGATAACAAGAAAACCAGATGATAGGGTAAAGCTTGATGTGGAACCAACGATATGGATGCTGTTGCTAGCTGCTGATACAATCCACTCACAAAAGACGTCATTGGCTGACATTCTCCAGAGAAATCGCCCGTTGCTTGGTAACCAACCACCCGAGACCCAATAAAGGTTGGCACCACCAAAGACATAAACACTTCCCCAAGGCTGACATGATTCACCTATAAAAGATGCACCATAAACAATTGTCCAAACTCATCCAACAATACTTAGCAATCATAGCTGTGATCTTGTAAATTCCAAAGCACCAAAAGACAAGCAGATCTCTGCAATGGTCCCTCTAAATAATGGTAGGCGTTTCAGCAAAGGTCTCCAAAAAGCATGAGAGTCATACATACCTGAATCATGCAATCATCACCCGCAGACTTGGGAACCAAATAGGCCATCAGGATGTATAGTAATAATCAAAGCGCACAGCCAAAGAAACGTCATAGTACCGGTACTCTCCTGTGGATCGACGCGATGAAGTGCATCAATAGAGATACCATCTTCTCTCTAAAGGCAAGGAGATCAATAGCCGTAAAACGATGGAGCCGTGCGAACAGAGGATGCATTTTTAAATCCCTGAGGCCGCAACATGAGTCGCACTGTCCCCGGGCACAACATGTAGAGCTCCACAGGAAAGTATAGTACAATGACGTCCTTGACGTGCAGCCTTGATAATAATGGTACCGCCGAAAGAGGCTCTGCCATTGTATGGCGTTTGGTAAGTTCACTTGAATCCAACCAATCCCACAATGAACACACTTACCTTGTGGTATTTCTCAATAGCATCATTGCCTCAAATAAAACCGTATCTCCATATTGTCTTGCTGCTGTTTCACTGTAAGTCTCGTTAATTCACAGGTTTCGCTTTGTAGATCCAATACCACGCATACCATTGAGCCAACCATACAGCATTCTTGCTTTGAGATCCGTATCCTGTTGCTGCCAGAGGTACCATCATCCAACATGTTCAACCTACCATAAACGCAATGTGAGATAATGAGTAAAACCAACCCACACGCTTTTGTTGTCAGCATACCCAAAAGAGGCAATGTGAAGACGTCTTGAGAACTCTCATTGTGGACAACTCGGTAAGGGAGACACACGACGCCCTGAACCATGGTGATCACAAGGAATTGCAACCAAACACACCATCCGAAGGCAATACAATAATCAACCTGCAGCGCCAAGGTATGCCATCATATGTACCATGCTCTCATTGGATCCTGAAATTGGCATCATAAGAGATATCCACCTTCTCTCTGTAGGCAAGGAAATCAATAGCCGTACTTGGATGGAGGCCGTGTGCACAGCGGATGCCTTTTCAAATTGGTCTTGCCATCGCATCTTGAGTCACACTGTTTCCGGGCCAAAATTCCCCAGGAGAGCGCAGTACTATACAATGACATCCTTGACGTGCAGCCTTGATAATAATAGTATCGCCGAAAGAGGCTCTGCCACTGTATGGCGTTTGGTAAGTCCACTTGAATCCAACCAATCCCATATAATGAACATCTTACCTTGTGGTATTTCTCAATAGCATCATTGCCTCGAATAAAACCGTATCTCCATGTCACCCATATTGTCTTGCTGCTGTTTTATGATAAGGTTGGTTAATTAACAGGTTTCGCTTTGTAGATCCAATACCATGCATACCATTGAGCCAACCATACAGCATTCTTGCTTTGAGATCCGTATCCTGTTGCTGCCAGAGGTAGCATCATCCAACGTATTCAAGCTACAGTAAATGTAATGTAAGATAACAAGTAAAACCAACCCACACGCTTTTGTTGTCAGCATACCCAAAAGAGGCAATGTGAAGACGTCTTGAGAACTCTCATTGTGGACAACTCGGTAAGGAAGACACACGACGCCCTGAACCATGGTGATCACAAGGGTACAACCAATACACCGTCCGGGCTTAATACAATAATCAACCTGCAGCGCCAAGGTATGCCATCCTTATGTACCATACTCTCATTGGATCCTGAAATTGGCATCATAAGAGATATCCACCTTCTCTCTGTAGGCAAGGAAATCAATAGCCGTACTTGGATGGAGGCCGTGTGCACAGCGGATGCCTTTTCAAATTGGCCTTGCCATCGCATCTTGAGTCACACTGTTTCCGGGCCAAAATTCCCCAGAGCATAGTACTATACAATGACATCCTTGACGTGCAGCGGTGATAATAATAGTATCGCCGAAGAGGCTCTGCCACTGTATGGCGTTTGGTAAGTCCACTTGAATCCAATGAATCCTATTAGACACTCTTACCTTGTGGTATTTCTCAATAGCATCAATG